TCCCAGCTCAAGTCTAATGATCTATTGTTTCAGTGAGCCATTTAACTTTCCTGCATGAATACATCTGCTTTTAATGGTTTTCTGGCTGTGAAGGTTTTTATTGCAAAATACTGACAAAGCACAGACTGCCGTTAATAATAATAATAATAATAATCCTTGCATTTGATATAGCGCTTTTCACGTCTTCTAGACATCTCAAAGCGCTTCACAGAATAGACTCTAAAGTGAATTGACCGTATATTTGTGGGCGAACGCGGCAGCCAATTGCGAACAGCAGTGTCCCACAAACAGTTGTGGATTGAAATGACAAATTTATTATTGTTTTATTTTCTTGAGGGATTATTATCAGGCGTGTGGAGTAAGAAAACTTGCCCAAGTTTCACCCTGCTGGGAATCAAACCCAGGTCTCTCGCTTGCAAAGAGTTGCAAAGGTTGACAGTCTGGTGCATCCTAACAAAATATAAAAAGCGTAAAGGGAAATAGCAAAACTTCAAAGTTTATATTTTGACACCTTGAGCCCAGAAAACATAGGAGAATAAGTACCCCCACAACCAAACGTTTCAGACTGAACTCAGATCCTTCAGCTTAGTGAAAGAGATTCAGTACATGGTTGAAGTATTATGTTGCTGGATAGATCGAGGTCAAAGTCGCTGAGAGTTTTTTCTATTAAGCAATGGCGTGAAACTTGTGGTATTGTCAAATATGTCCATTAATTATTCATAGTATGATTAAGAAGAGAACATCAAGGTGACTGGCACATCACAAGCTGTTTTGTAAAGGCAGTGCTCTCAATGGCTCAGCAGTACCCCATATCCCACAGCACAGTCTGGGACCCCCAAGCCTTGGCTTTTGCCAACCTGCTCCTAATACTCTCCGGAATAAGGTAAGCAGGATAGGTCCCTCCAGGGAGAGAGTGTGCATTCCACTCTAATGAATATCTCTGGAATTTCCATGTATAGGTGGTATACTTGGACTCTGTTTGGTTGGATACTCTCAAGCATGGTGGTGGGTTTTCACATGTGCCAGGCACCCGGTTTAATTACAAAATTAAGAAATGGATTGTGTTTCAAGAATTCAACATTTGCATCCCATATTCTTTCAGAATAATCTTTGTTTAATACTTCACAAAAAAATCCAACATTTTAGAATGTATAACAGTCTTTCAGATGGAGTTATTAGATTCAGTAATGCACTTTCAAATTAATCGTTTAGATGTGTCAGAGCTTGTTTTTATGAACAATTTAACACAAGTTCATCCATGCAGAGATAGGTGTATGTTCGCAGGAACATGACTTGCATAGTGAAAACATATTGTTTCTCAGCTTACCTTGTAAGCTACCTTATTGTAGTATATCATCATTATTATTATTACTTCGCTATGTGTACAAGGACAAATCAAGCTCTATGGCAGTGGTCCACCCTTTTTCTGCTCCACATTAGAGATTCCAAGCAGTTAATGCATTGTCAAATACAGTGATGACAACACTTTGAGTTAATAAAGTGCATTTATTGAAGTTCAAGTGTGAAGTCCTGTAGTGTATTGGTTAGAGCACTCGCCTTGCAAGCGAGAGGACCTGGGTTTAATTCCTGGGCAGGGCAAAACATTAGGCAAGTTTCCTTACTTCACACACCTCTGTTTACCTTGCAGTAAATGGGAACCTGGTTGTTAGGTGATTGGTGGATTGCTTTCCAGGGATAATAATCCCTTCAACAAAAAAACGTAATAATAATTTGGTCACTCAATTCATGACTGTTAGTGGGACACTGTTGTGAACAATTGGCTGTCGCATTTCACCCACAAAATATACAGTTATTTCAATTTACAGGATATTCTGTGAAGAACTTCGAGACATCTCGAAACGTGATGAAATGCAAGTATTATTATTATTTAATCACAGAGACTTATCACGTTTCAGTTTGTAGAAATCCTTTCCCATGATGAATTTCAGTTGAGATGTAAATTACATTTATTAATAAGATTGGTCATTAACCGTACTGTATTGCAATTTCTACAGGCTGTAATGCACTGTGCGTGTGTGTGTTTGTGCATCCGCACAAAGGGAATGGGAGAGCACTTGAATGGCACCTTGGTAGCATAGGTGAAATCTTGTAAACAATTGTGATCTAAAGAAGCATTAAGCCATGATTTCACTCAAGTTTGTTTTGGGGCATATTGAAAATGCAGAACATAATAATAATAATAATAATAATCCTTGCATTTGATATAGCGCTTTTCACGTCGGGAGGACATCCCAAAGCGCTTCACAGAACACACTGTAAAGTGAATTGACTGTATATTTGTGGGCGAACGCAGTAGCCAATTGCGCACAGCAATGTCCCACAAACAGTCGTGGATTGAAAATGACCAATTTATTATTGTTTTTGGTTTGGAGGGATTATTATTAGGCGTGTGGAGTAAGAAAATTTGCCCAAGGTTTCGCCCTGCCTGGAATTGAACCCAGGTCTCTCGCTTGCAAAGCGAGTGCTCTAACAGACCAACTGGTTATTTAGCTTTAAATTCCACTAGTAGAGGAAGACTAAATATTACAGTTGTAGAATCCGGTGATAGCAGCTGGTTCTATCATGCAAGTCCACATGAAAATCAGACAGCAGACCCGTCCTCCCTCCAATACTTTAATTGTTATAATTGTCACCACCATTGCTGTAGAGACCTATGAAGTATTTCAGATGCTTGTCTGATAAATAATAATCCATACATTTGATTGATGTTGTCCTGTGAAGTCCCAAAGTGCTTCACAGGGTTTTTAATGTGTATTTTAATAATAATCCTTGCATTTGATATAGCGCCTCATCACGATTCTGGACAACGCAAAGTGCTTCACAGAATATACTGTAAAGTGAATTGACTCTGTGTATTTCGTGGACGAAACACAGCAGCCAATTGTGCACAGCAGTGTCCCACAAACAGTCGTGGATTGAGTGGACAAACTATTTTTATTTTGAAGGAATTATTGCCCCCAGAAAAGCTATCACCAATCGACTAACAGCCAGGTTCCTACTTATTGCTAGGTAAACAGAGGCGAATGTGATGACACAACAACAACAACAACAAGATTTCATTTATAGAGCGCCTTTCAAGTCAGGCGCTGGACAGTTGGGTCAGGACCCGAGCAGGGGGAAATGGTGAGGGGAGGGAAGGGAGGGAGCGAGGAGGGGGTAGAGAGTCGAGAGGAGAGCTGAAGGCACGGTCAAAGAGAAAGGTCTTGAGACCGGCCTTGAAGGAGGACACAACTGAGTTATCAACTACAGTAGTACATATTGACATTCTTCAAAGGGTGGAGCCAGAATGGGAACTTCGTAACGGCAGACTAATATAATCATGGGATTCATGAATGACCCTGATTGTGTGACAGCTTGGAGTGAATGAAACATTACAAGTCATGGATACAACCAAATTAGATTCAGTTTGGGAATTGTAAAGTTATTTTGTTGGATATCATGTCCATAAAAAGAACCTAATGATTGCCATTTCTCCTCAAATGATCTATAATACCTCCCTAACCACTAGAGTGCCCTACCTTAATCCCTCTGCCCCTCTTTCTCTTTTTTATCCTTAAATCCTATCTGAAGACCTCCTGAAGTAGGTCATCAAGCCTCTCCCTATTTAGTTTTTCAGCCCCACCACTGTACATGCACTGAAATGCTATCCTGCTTGAAGGGGGGGTTCTGTAAAGCAAGTTATTGATGATCTTTGATTTAAAGTCTCATCTGAAGGAAAGCAAAACCAACAATGCAGCATTCCTCCAATACTGCACTGAGTGGCTCAGTCGGTAGAACTTTCACCTCTAAGTCAGGTTGTGGATTCAAGCCCTATGTCACAACTTGAACTCACACAATCTAAAATGACACTCAAATCCAATGCTGAGGCTATGCTGCATTGTCAAAGGTGCCGTCCTTCACATAAGACATTAAACCAAGGTCCCTTCTGCCTCTTCAGGTGGGCATTATAGATCCCATGGCACTACTCAAATCCAAAAGGGAGTTTCTCCAGGGGTCCTGGTCGACAATCCCTCAAATAAAATTGGTGATTAGTTTCATGGTTGTTTGTGGGACATTAATGTGCGTATTTGGGCTGGTGCATTCATCTACAAATGCCCAGCAATTGCACTTTATAGTATATTCTGTGAAGCACTTTGGGATGTTCTCCCAATGTAAAAGGCACCATACCAAATGCAATCATTATTATTATTGGTAGTAGTACTATTGACCTCTCTTCTGTCATGGTATTTCAGTAACTGTGGTCAGCTTATGGTCTAGAGCTGTTTACATTATATTAGCAGTGTCAATCTGGTTCAATGGGTCAAACTCTCACCTGTGGATCAGAAGGTTAAGGGTTCAAGCCCCACATTGGCACTTTAAGCTCAAAGCTCTCAGTACAGTTTTGGAAGAACAGTACATGATTGGAATGCTTTTCTTCTTTTGAAACTGTAAGCCAAAGTTACATCTGCCAGTTCAGGTAGACATTTAAAGATCTTATGGTATTATTCAAAAAGAGAAAGGAGCTTCGCCAGACCAGATAAAATTAGTCATTCACTTCATGGTTGTTTGTGGGAATTGCTATGCATAAATTGGCCGCTACATTTATCTGCAGATACAGCACTTTAACAACAATAGCAATGCTATATTTGTTTCTGACCAAATACAGTATCTATGTATTAGACATGGATAAGGGTACATAGAGATACATAGAGTGGTATGGCACAGTAATAGGCCATTCAGTCTATCTAGTCCTCGCCAGCGTTTATACTCCCCACTATTCCTTTTCTATACCCCTCTATTCCCATCTCCCTCATGTACCACATTGTAATCTAAGATTATTATTATGACTACACTTTATTATTGTAATTTATACAAGAAAGATGGGTCAGTTACTACTTTCTAATGGCTAACGATGGATCTGAGATTGATTGCAGTATGAAAGTAAGAAGCTGTGACTTCTGTAACATGCGGATGGTTAATGAAAATCTTTTCTCTTTCAGTGACCAGGAACCACCCTATACAATGATGGTACTACATGAACTGGCAGAAAAAGGTTAGTTTTTCTCTTACAAATATTAAACTAAAAAATCTTTAAAAATACATTTCTTCCTTCTTCAGAAATGTCTTTGCTGGCGAGCGGAGTCATGCTTCTGCTAGTGTGGTGCAGAGTTGTGTCCCTGCGCACAATGTGATGTGCTCTGGAGTATTCCTTCCCTCCAAACGTGGAAGTATCTGGTCTTTCCTCCCTGCATCTCTCTGGTAACGTGGACAAGATTGAGAATTTGACCTATTGAGAATTGTATCTGCAGACATGCACCTCTCCATCATGTGGCACAGCACAAGTATGTTAGTCGCTTAAAATTTAAATGTGAAGATCAATGAGTGCTTTTTGCATTGTATCTCACCCTTTGAGACAGGTGGCAGATCTTTGCTCTTTATCTCACTTTGATCATATGCCTGAGAACTTAGTGTGCGTATTTGGTTCAAACTTATACTTAATAACAAATGTTTAAAGTACCATTGCTCTGTACCACTACAAAACTAAAATAGCAAACTATACATTATAACGCTTAATTTTACAGGAATGCAGCTTTGTCTTATGGCAATTTATTTTAAAATTATCAGATGTTTATAACTCTATATAACTCTATATAAATATGTTGAAATTAAGAGAAATAAACATGAGGGAAAAGGGAATAGAAGGCTCATGAGAGGGAGTAAGGAGTGGGTGGAGACATGTGGAGAATAAACACTGGCGCAGACTGGTTAGGCCAAATGGTGTGATGTTAGAAATATTGCAAATTAGGAGTAACAATGTGTTCTGATAATCCAGGGAATTGAGTAAAGGTTTACTAAATTTGTGTATGTAACCAACCCCCGGGAGGTTGTAACTAACCACTGGGAAGGGGGATGGGGTGGGGGGTGGGGGGTGGTCGTAACTAACTAATTACACAAAGGTTAGTGCAGTTAGCCTCTCAGACAGGTCAGCAGAACAGTAACAACAACAACAACAAAATTACATTTATAGAGCGCCTTTCACGTCGGGAGGACGTCCCCAGGTGCTGGGAACAGGAGGTAACTATCAGAATTACTATCCTGCTACCTATTCCCAGGTAACAGGAATATTCTGGAGCGTCTGAGGCTGAAATCACCATGAATTGAAATAGAAATTGCATAAAAGACTCTGCAGTGCCCACCTGCTTGTTTAATAATCCCCATTGAAATACGCCCTCCGCCACAATGCGATTCCCAATGGGAATCCTTAATAATGGTTCTGAGTTGTTATTAACTGGAAGAGTGTCACACGGATCTCTATTTAGTCATAATCCAGTGATTTCCCACATGGCTGGGTGGTGTACCACCAGTTACCTGGAAGATTCTCTATTACAACTCAGAGTTGTTATTAAAGGGCCTGAAAGTCCAGGAACCGAGCACTGAAAGAGTTAATGTCAGTTTATAATTTTTATCTGTGCTGGTTCAGTGATACGCAAATATTTCGGAAGAGGAATACATCTTCTCTAATAGCCACTTGGCCAATCTCAGCCAATGTGAGGACTGTCTATTTAGTGAGATTAACAAGCTCCTGACACCTGGCAATGGCAAAAGTGGGAAGAATGTTGGAGCAGAGTCAACCTGACCAGTAACTAGTAAATTGTGGATTCTGTTGTATTCATAACAGAATCCACAATTTACTAGTTACTTTATTTTGCTGGTTCCCAGTCTCTCTCCATTAAAATTGTAATCTTGGACACCTTGTCCAGCTTTATACAAGTTCCCATTATTAGAGCTCAGTGTGGATAATCAGTGTGCAAATGCACGGCATTTCATTCTCATAAAATAGGACAGCAGGCCCGGAGGAATGAATGATTCCTCTTCCTATCTCCTTAACTTAGCTCTTGTCAAGGATGGAAGAAAAGGAGAAGAAATTAGCATCAATGTAATGAGGCATTTATTGGATATAAATCATTTCTGACACTTAGCAGTACCGTCCATTGCCATCGCTGCACTCGACCAAGGACATGGGCTTTATTCTTTTATTTATTTCTTTATTGATACTTATTGAAGTACAATAAATAGTCTACTTTATTGTAAATGGTATTGGTGGCTTGGATCTGAGACACTGCTTTTGCTTTTTCAGGCTGTGGTATCTCTGAGTGAATGCCTGATTGCACTAGTGACTGAACCCACTCATTGCCTGTTATTAGGAGATAAAGCTGTTTGAGAAAACAATGCTTCAAGTGTAATTAATCTAGATATGGAAAAGGATCTAATTTATTAATGAGAACAAAGGGAGTGAAGGAGCTTATTCTCATCTATAATGGGAAAGCACTATTTCTGGAAGCAAAGGACATGAATAGCATTACAAGGACAGGGTGACCAGAAAAGAATTTAGACTTAAGCAGCATTCAGTTTTTGTTCAGCACATGTAGATGAAAAGTATCATTTGCCAAATAGTGCAATGGGCATCTTTGGGGAATCCACAGAACTCGCTGAAACGTGCTTCAAAATGCAATTGTGGCAGTAAATCAAAACAGTTTTATTCTCCTAAGTATTGCTGCCCATTGTTTGCGATCTGCTTTCAGGTATCTGTTTGTCAATCAGTTAATGGTTGGCATTTTGTACACAATGAAATATAAAATAATGCTATTTATTTAATATTTATGCCATGTTATTTCTTGCTACGTTTTATTTCAATGATTTTCTGAAATGCGAACTGCTTCATTCTGGGGGATATTTGCAGTATGTGATGTGATAATTATCACATAGAAAAAGGAGGCGATGTTAATGCACCAGTGCCATTTTATTATGTGGTAGATTCTTTAACCCTTTTTCTCTACTCTTTGCCCAATGCCTCTCAATACCCTTACTTCACAAATACCTACCTAACTCATTTATGAAAAATCAACTTACTGTTATGTAAAAGATCATGCTTTAAAAACGTTTTTAAAATATCAATCCAGTGGAGATTCATGGGCCGTCCTTTGCACTGCCCAAGATTTTTTAAAATGCCAATAGATGAGTAAGACCAGTGTGAGTTGCACCCTGCTTGTCTGTTACTGTAACAAATGTGATTGCACTGTTTCAGAAACCATCATCTCCAGTTGACACTGCGTGTTTGACACTGGTTTGCTACCAAATGTGTAGTATAAATCCAGCTGCTTTATAGCTTTGGGCTGCTTTATAGCTTTCTTGTTTCCATGCAGATTAAGTGCCATAATGCAACCTGAAGTCTTTTCAACTTACTAAATGCTCAGCATTTTTCAACATCCGTTTGCTGCAACAAAGTTTCTGCACTTTATTTAAAAACTGCTTCAGGGCAAAACATTGTTTTTAGTAAATTATTTGATCTGTATCTCAGTTTAAAAAACTGACATTTTAATGATGATCTTTATCTGATCTGATTAGGCTCAGATTAGAGTTTAGCATTAGAAAATTATTGAATCAAATGGTAACAATGCAGAATTCTAATAAGAGAAAGTTTCAGAGTTATACAATGTCTGGATGGCTGCATTAAACCTAATGAAGAAACGTGCAGCAAAAAGAGCAAAAAGAATGTAAGGTAATTATTATTGCTGTATTTGATATAATTCTTTATCATGGCATCGAGACATCTCAAAGCGCTTCATGGCATTTACTGTAAAGTCTTGTGTATTTTCTAGGTGAATGTGGCAGAAAATTGGTGCACAGCAATATCTCACAATCAACCATAAAGTGAATGACCAAGTTTAATTAAGAATAATTCACAGTATCATTTATGTGCAATGTTATTATCGGGTCAAAACTAGCATTCCCAAATACATTCTGTTCTTTAATTACATAGAATGGTGCAGTATCAGAGCATTAGAGCATTGAAACAGATTCAATCAGTCTATGCTGGTGTTTACACTTCACATAAAACTCCATCCTCCCTAATTCCATCTCCCGTATCCTCTATTCCTTTCTCCCTCATTCAAATGCGTTTTGAAATCTGAATAATGGTAACAACACCATCTTTCTGCTTAAAAATAGCCTCTCCAAATTGATTCAATGGATAACTCGCTTTGGGTTTGGCCAGTGTTTGTGGATAAACTCTTTCCGTACTCGCAAACGGCAACTAAAGCCTCACCAAAATCTGTATAGCTTGTTTGGTTATCAAGGGGTGGAATGTGTTTGGGAATGCTGACTAAACATTATGTTGTATATCAGGTGGAAATTGAATGCACAAATGTTATTATTTTGACCGTTAGCTATACATATATGACCCATATCAGTAGCCGTGGTAACAGCAGCTCCAGGCTGAGCCAGATTCCTCAGTAAACATAACAGTAAAATGTATTTTTTTATTCCAGATAGCGGCTGGCTGGAAGTGGTCCTTTCATTGATTAACGTCATCCCTTTGGAAGACCCCCTGGGCCCTGCCGTAATCACCTTATTACTGGATGAATGCCCACTACCTACCAAAGTGAGTGATAGATTTAACTTCTGTGTTATATTTCCATGACTTCATTAACTTATAAAGTAGAAATCCAGCAGGCACTTTTTGTCTGTCTGGCTGTTACTCAGCACACCACCTGTGGCTCAGCATTGATTTGTAAGCTTATGGTTACGCAAATAATTACAGTTTCTTGGAAAAGACTCAATGAGAACACTTTGCTCTGGCGTAGGAAGCAAGCTGTACATCCGGAATGTAGACTGAAGGCTTTGTATAAAATTGGCAACGGCATTGTGTGTAATTTGACAAGACGTGGATCACCTTATTTATGTTATTCCTCTCAGGACCAATAGTGACATTTACTCTTAGAGAACAAAATCAGCCTGGTGATCAGTTTAAATGTTAAGTTATGGAGTTGAGGTAAGTTTATTTCCCTGCCTGGGAATTAAACTCAGGTCCTCTCTCTTGCGATGTGAACGTTCTAACCACGATGCTACGGGACTTCTATTATAGAAAGGGCATCATAGCCGTGGAGAGGGTGCAGTAGTGATTCACTCAGATGATACCAGGGATGAGAGGTTATAGTCATGTGGAATGATTTGAAAAGATTGTTTTTACAGGAGCAGAGAAGTATAAAGGAGGTTTTCAGAATTCTGAATGGTTTTGATTAGGTAATCTTTTACACTGATTGGTGATCTTCTACGCTCTGAGGCACTATCGATTCGCCCACAAAATACATTCTATTTTATAGTATATCCTGTGAAGTGCCTTTTTTGACATCCTGATGATGTGGTAAGGTGCTGTATCAAATGCAAACATTGTGGTTATTATTATCATCCTGCATGAAGGGTTCTATATAAATGCAAGTTATTGTTGTTGCCACCTGGATGAGGCAATTTCAGAATCACCATGATTCACACCCACACAGTATTAACACAGCAGGTCACACCTCACTAGATTCATTCATCATCTTTAAGATGAATCAAGGACTTTTTGGGGGCATTTTTAATGCAATTAAATAGCTAGTTATGTGATTGGCTCTAATTACCACCAAGACCGACACGTGCGATACAGCAAAATCAACTAAACACTGTGTGAATGAGAAAGGATAAATCTAGCTTCACAATCCACGTCATTACACCTCGGGCAATGCAGTGGCTTCATTCCGAGTGGTGTAAACACAGCATTACATACAGGCACATGAACATATGGTTCTTACATGTTAGTTCAGAATGTATTCAAATAATCTAACATAAGTGATCAGTTACCATCTTAATTCTGTGGATATCAGGTCCTTCACATCTGTTGTTAACAGAAACAATGATTATTTCACCAGCCTGGCCTTGATCACTGACAGAGGGGATGGTTGTGAAACGGATGTGAGAGGAGCTTGACACTAATCAAATTCACAGGAGTAGAAAACAACCAGCAGTGCTGTACAACAATGGTTATCTGCACCAAATTATCTAAATGCCAATTTTCCGCCCATCTGTTTATCAGCGTCGAGCCAGGATGTGGAAGTAACTGTGGAAGTTTGTGATACAATAGGAAGAAGTTGAATTTATATAGCAGGAGCACTGCACAGTGGTGAGATTGGACACAGAGGAAAAGAGATGGGGGAGATGACCATAGGCACAGTTGAAGAGAGATTTAAAGATAGGAGCGTCGTGAAGGTGAGGCAGTAAGTTCCAGAGGTTAGTGGTGTAGTGGCTGAAGGTAGGTGGTGGGGGGTTGGGGAGAGGGGAACTCTAACATGCAGAAGGTCTGTGCCAGTTGAGCGAAAGGGCCAGGGGCAGAGGAGTAGGGTCTAGCAGGTCAGGGAGGTAGGGAGGTGCGAGGATGACATGAATGGATTTATAAGTGAGGGAGAAGATGTTGAAATTGATCCTTTTGGAGATAGGGAGCCAGTGGAGTCTGATGAGGCTTGGGGTGGAGTTTGGTACGGGCAAGGAACAGAAAAGACCAGAAACAAATCTGGTTTTGTGAATGTGCAAAGTTGAGCGAATTGCATTCTTAAATCCTAAGTAATCTTGCATATTTCACAGAATTTGATTTTATTTTTTATGCGCAAAGATTACTAGAATTATATAGACTGTTATGTTTTTATTCCATATGAATTTCCACCCTTCCTAATCCCTTCTCTTTATACCCCTCTGTTTCCTTCTCAGGAATAATCTGAGAGCATTCGATTATATTTTAGCCCTATTTTTACAATTTCATTTGTCAATAGTGTGATACCACATTACAGCATACATAGATTAGTCTTCATATTTACAGTACTCTCATACAGTATAGAGAAAGGGACAGGCGTCGAGAGAAAGTTAGAGAGATTTGGAAAAGCAGAGAGGAAAAAAGGCAGAAAGGTAAAGTGAGAGAGAAAGGCAACGATTGAGAGAAGGTCTAGCACAGTCTGATATTACAGCAATCACATAACTTAGGATGAAACAATGTTTTAATTAGTGTTGATTTGTGTTTTGGTCCAATTATCTGCTCTATTTGCTTATTCACAACAGGAACGTCCCAATTAGTGTGGATAATAATTGATTATACACTATTTTGATAAATGAGATTGTAAAAATAGGCCTAAAATATAGATAAAATGCTGTCAGATTATTCGTGAGCCATAAATTGTACTCCGAAAGGAGCTCCAAGCTTACAAAATGTTTCTGGTCTCATTCTTCAGTTACGCATAAACCTGTCAAATAACATGCAGTCTAGGAGGACTGAACTGCATCTTCCACAGGCACGCACCAAATGTCATAGTCTGTGGGAGGATTTTCCAGTAAACGCTGACTTTCGTAGCCCACAGACCAGAGATAGCTAATGTGGCTTCTGATTTCGTTTGGGTCCATGTATGGAGTCCTGTAGTGTATTGGTTAGAGTACTCGCCTCCCGAGCAAAAGGACCAGGTTCGATTCCCGGTCAGGGTGAAACCTTAGGCAAGTTTCCTTACTCCACACGCTTCTGTTTACCTAGCAGTAAATAGGAACGCGGTTGTTAGTCAATTGGCGGATCACTTTCCAGGTTAAAAATCCCTTCTAAATATATGTATATATTTGGTCACTCAATTCACTGTTTGTAGAACACTGCTGCGCACAATTGGCTGCTGCTTTTCGCCCACAAAATACACAGTCAATTCACTTTACAGTACATTATGTGAAGTGCTTTGAAATGTCACAATGATGTGATAAGGCACAATATCAAATGCAAGGATTATTATTAGTAGTAGTATATAATTCTCTCATCTAGGTTTATTGCTGAAGCCTTCAGCTGAGCCTTGCTGTGTTAAATCTATAAAGCTACCACAAAAATTGTCTCTGTTGTGTGCTCTATTGCTCATAAATGCCATTGCAAAAGATGTTTTCAGTTTCTTAATGTACACTTCATGCAGAACAATATTAAGAAATAGATGTTCTCTTTGCTTCCCCCGGATTTTGGCTCTATGACCTATAAAGGTTCCAGAACAATAAACGCTTTGTAATTACAAAACTTAGCAGAGCCAAACTTTCATAAACTCCACAATGAAAACATGAATATCTTCCAAGAAATAGTTCTTGAAGTCAGATTGGATAATACATGTTTCTTGTTCTTTGTTTGCCTGCCTCCGTCTGTACCTTACAACAAAAGTAGTCGGAAACCCTTGTCCATGCCTTCGTCACTTCCTGGCTGGACTATTCCAATACCCTCCTGCCTCACTGGTCTCCCCAGCGCCAGAATGCACAAAATACAACTAATTTAGAACTCCACCACCCAGATTCTCACCTGCGCAAAACTCTGTATCACCATCAAAACAATCCTTGCCAAGCTCCACTGGCACCCAGTTACTGAATGGATCGATTTCAAGATCCTCTCACTCGTTTTCACATCCCTTCATTCCCTCGCGCCTCCCTACCTATCGGATTTGCATATCCCCCACTCCACCCACTGACTCCGCTTGGCTGGCTCCGGCCTCCTGTTTGTCCCTCGTCCCCTCCACTCCACTATCAGTGGCCGTGTCTTCAGTCACTGCGCCCCGAAACTCGGGAACTCTCTCCCTCATTCCCTCTACCTTGTCCCCTCCTTCCCCACTTTCAAATCCACCTGAAGATCTTCCTTTTAGATCACGTTTATGGTCACCTCCCCACTCCCTCTCCACCTGGCTCGGGGTCAGACTCCACCAATGTTAAGTGCTCCGGGGTGCTATATAAATGCAAGTTGTTGTTGTTGTGGCTTTCATATGTTCTTATCCTGGAAAATGATCATTTAGTTTTAATGTTTGCTTTGGTTTTACATTATAAATCTGAGATAGGAGATTGTGGGGACAGACTCTTGTCCAAGATGAACACCTACCTCTCTATCCTGACCCATTGTATGGTAGTTTGCAGCAAATGCCGAGGTTAAGAGATCTCTCATAGAGAGCCAATTATCCCCACTTAACTCCATTTGGATAAACAAGCAATGTGGATAATTGGACGTCGTGCAAAATAAAAACTGGCTGCAATGCTAATTCGCTTTCTTTGACTCTAAACCAACCAATATCCTTCTATATAAACATGCTACCAGCAAAAATAATCCAGTTGTGTACATGCATTCTCCTTCCTGACTCCCCAGTGTTCACTCATAATTCAGCATAAAATTCCTTAACCTCTTGTCAATGACCAAAACGTAAATGGTCTTCAGTAACAACAACAGCAACCTGCATTTATATAGTGCCCTTCAGGTAAGATTACGTTCTCGGAGCCCTTCACAAAGAATGAATTGGGCACCGAGCAAGGGAGGCGGGAGAGGTGGAGGGGGAGCCAAATATCGATGCAGTCAAAGAGGTAGGTTTCTAGGCAGAATGTAAAAGCAGATAGAGAGGGTGAGGTGAAAGGTTGAGGGAGTTCCAAAGGTTATTGTATAGTGGCTCAGTGTGGAAGGGACACGCAGCCGGCCCAGGTCAGCCAAGTGGAGAGGATGAGCAGAGATGTGGGGTAGGAGAACTCACAGAGATAGGGAAGTGCTCGGGATTTACAGGTGAGGGTGAGGACCTTTCATCCATAGGGTGAGAGGGAGCCAGTGGAGCTTGGCAAGGACTGGGGTGCTGCAGAGTTTAGTGTGGTTGAGGCTGCCGGCGGCGGACATTCGGATTAGCTGAAATTTATGGATGATGGAACTAGGGAGGCCGGCGAGGAGTGTGTTTGACACACTGTAGAGCTGATCCTGAAGGCACTGTTTCTGTCACTTTGCATTGCAGTCCGCTCTACAGAAGTTGATGAATACTCTGGGCCTGAATGGTTTAGTAGCCAGGGAGGATCCAGCCAATCCAGCACGCCATCGGAACACCGTCGCTGTACTGGGCTGCCTTGCTGAGAAGCTGTCAGGTAAAGCAAACCGTTATTATTTGGATAGCAGCCACATATTGCTCCATCATTTCTCAAAAGCATCTTCAGTCACACTGGTAATCTATTTATCCTGAGACCACCTCTTAACTCAGCTGTTGATCTTCAGACCCAAAATAAACCAAGATATCCTAGATAATTGTACATTTCAAACTATAATTTGTAGGCGAAAAGTGTAACATATATGGGATCATGTTTCAGTGAACAAAAAAAATAAATGTCCAATCTTGTACTTCTCAAACTATATCATTGGGAAAAGTCAGGGCAACACATTCATCGGGGTCAATATCAAATAGGCTGGAAAACTCACCCTAAAACTAGCAAGAATTAAACCAGTCATTTATCACCTAGTACCATAGAATCTTCTTTTTTTTTAAAAAATATAAACAAGTTATAAAATTTTAGAGAGACGGCCTTTTCACAAAATGTGCATTATTCACTCTTGTGACTGATGTGCTGAAATTATTGACACCTTTCCTCTTTCATTATTCCCATTAATTCCAGCACTGAAACTAGGGTTACATTCTCACTTTTACACCTGCCTTCCTATCTGCAGGAATTCGTATGATGACCTTTTTAATGACTTTGTATCTCTAGTGGTTTGACATTGTGAGACATAACCCTGGGAATTTCCTAGTCCTTGGGAAACATTTGATGGACGATGAGCATTTTATCTTCTGCGTATGGTGACAGGAATGTGGTTGGATTTGTTTTGCAGAGTTTTTGAAATGAACAACAGACCCACAGACATCTGCAAACAGCAAACCAGCCTAAGGTTACTGTAAAAATTCATGAATCTTTCATGTGTTTTGCTTGCTCCAGGTCCCCCGAGTGTAAGTTTGTTGACACCAGAGACCCTGGACTATCTGCTGGAGAACCTGGTCAGTATTAAGTGTACAGTGTGGCGACACCCATACTGAGTTCATCAGTCCATACAGATTAATATTACTACAACAACTTGCCTTTATATATAGCGTCTTTCTTGTTGGGTAGCATCTCGGAGCACTTAAATATAGCGGAGCTTGACACCGAGCCAGGGAGAGAGGAGAGGTGACCATAGGCACAGTCAAAGAGGACGGTCTTCAGGTGTGATCTGAGTTATTAATAAATGAATACATACGATTGGGCATGTGAGCTATAAGAAGAAACTGGAGAAGCTAGGAATTGTGTGCATTGCAAAAAAGATGACTGAGAGATTATCTTTTTGAAGTTCTCCAATCCTAAAAGTATAGGCAAGCTCGACTCCATTAATTCATTCAGTATAGCGTAGAGCTCCACAACAACGGCTTATTGACTTGGACTCAGATGGGGAAAAGGAACGAGAGATAAAAGTCGACCATTTTAGTGCGAAGAGCTGGCTAGCACGCAGGAGGAAAATATGCTGGTAGAACGCATGTGTAGTGAATGGGGTTCATGCTATTGTGAAGCACATTATACAAGGGCTGCATAAGTGCATTGTGCAGAACTCGAGTTTGGTGAGTTTCCGGTCCCAGCTATGTCAGTGTCAAGTGGGAGCCATTCACCTGCTCACAGGAAGGATGGGAAGAGTGAGTTAGTTTCTTTGATATGGTGTGTCAACCTGGCTCAGTTGATAGCACTCTCACCTCTGAGTCAAACAGTTGAGGGTTCAAGCCCACGTCGAGACTTGTAACTCATATTGTCTAAGCTGACACTCCAATACACTGCTTGGAGTATACAGAATTATTGGAGGTGCGATCCTTCAGATGAGATGTCAAACTGATGCCCTGTTTACCTATTCAGGTGGACATTAAAAATCCCATGGCACTATTCAAAAAGAGAAGGGAGTTTAGCCCAGTGTCCGAGCCTACAATCCCACCAAATAAGACAAATTGGTCATTCGCTCCATAGCTGTTGTGGGACATTGCTGTGTGTAAAGTTGGCTGCTGCATTTGCTCACAAAAACACACAGTCACTGCACTTTACACGGTATTCTGTGAGACACTTTGGAATATTCTCCTGGTGTGAAAGGCGCTATATCAAATGTAACCATTTTTATTATTAGAGAACATGTCACAACCACGCTACAGTGGTCCAAATGCAAATTCATCTGCATTTAAATATGTTTGAGCCAAAAGTTACCACATTTGCATTTATATCTAAATGTCTTCATGAAACATTTGAAGTTGACCAAATGTATTTATAATATTTTCAAATGCTTCAGTACTGAAGCAATCAATACCTGTTCCCTTGGGTGACATATGGCATTTCATCACAACACAGACACACTCATAAATACATCACAATGCTTTGGTAATGAAGGCGTTGTGATCACAAGCATGATGCTTCCATGCATAACTGGGCTGCGGAAATCATTAAACTGGCATTCTACATACATTTGTAAATACATTGGCATTTGGAGGCAACACATTTGAATTTGTATTTAAATGCAGTTAAAGGGTGAAACATTTGTTTTTTTTTCATTTTTAAGAATACAGAACCTTTGCATTTGCATTCAAATGTGCTCGTCCACATGTGAACCCAAGTTTGGGCCAAAGCCTTTGATATAACATGCCACAAACTTTGATTTAAAACGCTGCAACCTTTGATATAACATGTTCTATTATGGCTTCCTTGACAAATGCAAAACCCACAGAAAGCACCAGTTTATAATGAATGTTTATGGTCTGTTTTTGAAAAGAAAGAATTCTCTTTCAAATAATCTTCTACCAATTGAAAATCTTAAGACAGAAGGTCAAGATTGCATATTGTTGTGCCTCAAATCAATACTGTCAAGATTTGTTGCACATTCCGGCTTGTACTTGCACATATGGGTGTCTGTTTGTACCTATATATGATTGCAATTGACTCTGTGTCTGTGTCTCTCTCACACTATCCCTGCATGTGATTGTATTTGATGTGGTTGTGTGTTCCCTATTAACCTCTGTTTAATATGGGAACCAGCAGGGAGCGAGTTGGCTGGCTACATCCATGTGCAGTCAAATTTGCAATAGCACAAGCTGGAATTTAATTGATAAGTATAACAAGCTCCACTGTACTTTGTTGTGCTTTGATCTTTCCAACTCTGGTATGGTAAATGAGTTACAATTATAATAATACTCCTTGCATTTAATGTAGTGCCTTATGTCAGGAGAAATGTCAATACAGTTTACGTAAGTCTCAAAACGCTTCACAGGATTTACTGCAAAGTGTCACGACTTGTATTTGTAGACAGCCAATTTGCGCACAGCAATGTCGCAAGCCAACCATGAAGTGAGTGACCAATATTAGTTGGGGGATTTTTGGCCTGGATACTGAGAGAAACTCCCTTGTCTTTTGGAATAGTAAATGGCTTCTTTAACATCCACTTGAACAAGCCTTGGTTTAACATCTTATCCAAAGGTTGTTATATAGTGTGATAGTTATCGCACAGTGGTGCATTCCAATCATGGCAATGTATCAAATAATGATGGCTGTGATTTGGTTGTGCTCAAAGCCAATAACTCAGCAAATACTGAAATGCTGAGTTTCTTGCGACACCGGGATCAATGTTATCAGCTCAACAATTGCTGTAAATGGCTTTGGGTGCAACTACTTCCACCAAGTGCCCTGATAGTGGTCATTGAATTGGACAGCTCTCAGTTTAATACTTATCACACAACATCCTGTATTCTTCTATTCCTGCATGCTTGTGCGTGTTTGCATTTGATGGTGTTTTCGCTTTCTGATAATACATGTGTCAATATAGATTTCTGTTTGGGTACCTTTGATTTGGTTGTAAAGTGTGTGTGTCTGTGTGTGTGTGTATAATCCAAACTCTGAGTGAGCTTTCTGTGTTTTCAAATACACATTTGGTAAATTGGAGAAAACCTAAATGTTCTAATTTCAAACAACCTTTCAAACTTATCCATAATTATAACTGGGATGCCCTTTAAAAGGAATCAGTCAGTGCAATTCAAAAGAGAACAACATATTTGTGGTTTGAATCATATGATAGTCTTCTGAATGATATTCTGTTCCTGCCTTTTGCCCTAGATTTACTCATTTGTTGTGGCTTGCTTTTTCAGAGTCTCCAGTCACATCCAGCCACCATGCTGTTTTCACTTATTGCACTGGAAAAGTTTGGCCAAACAAGTAAGTCAAAGGATTTAAAAAAAACGCAAAGTACTGCAGATACTGGAAATCTAGTATAAACACAGAAGTTGCTGGGAACTTCTGGCAGCAGGACAGGCAGCATCCATGGAGAGAGGAAAATGAGTTAACGTTTCAGATCAATGACCCTTTGTCAATTCTGATGAAAGATCATTGACCTGAAATGTTAACCTATTTTCCTCTCTCCATGGATGCTGCCTGACCTGCTGCGTGTTTGTCAAAGGAATATGTCTGTTTGTCAAAACTGACAGGATTACCACAACTTTGTAATTCCTTTTTTGAAAAAATACAGGATCTTTGAATAGATCATCTCCTGACATGAAAGGCGCTTTACAAATGTAATTTTGTTGTTTTTCACACAAAGGATAGTGGAAATCTGGAAATCAGGAAATCTGGAAATCAGGAGTCCTGTAGCTCAGTGGTTAGAGCACTCGCTTTGCAAGTGAGAGACCTGGGTTCAATTCCAGGCAGGGCGAAACCTTGGGCAAGTTTCCTTACTCCACATGCCTAATAATAATCCCTCCAAAAACCAAAAACAATAATAAATTGGTCATTTTCAGTCTACGACTGTTTGTGGGACATTGCTGTGCGCAATTGGCTGCCGCGTTCGCCCACAAATATACAGTCAATTCATTTTACAGTGTGTCCTGTGAAGCGCTTTGGGACGTCCTCCCAACATGAAAAGCGCTATATCAAATGCAAGGATTATTATTATTATTCTTATAAATCTGGAACTCTCTCTCCCAAAAGGCTGTGGATGTTGGATCCATTCAAATTTTCAAGACTGAGGTGGATAGGTATTTGTTAGGTCAGGGTATCAAGGGATATGGGGCAAGGGTGGGTAATTGGAGTTGAGGTACAGATCAGCCATGAATTTATAGAATGGTGGAACAGGCTCGTAGAGCTGAATAGCCTACTCCTGTTTTTATGTTATAGCGATCCATTTGTTTTTTAATCTTTAATGATATGAGGGACTTCAGACCAGATCCTAAAAGAGATATGGGAACCTAAAGACTAACTGCTTCACTTTGGAGGCAAAGTGAATTCTCATCTAGCAGTAGAGCACAGAAGCCTGATTTATACTTCCTATTCCACACTATATTGAAGCCATTAAAAAAGCAACACCTGATTTCAGAGTCCTAACCAGTGGAAAGTTATCAAACTCACAAATTAGTTGTCCCATTTGTCTACAAAATACACAGTTGCTATCCTTTACAGGAAATCATGTGAAGCGCTTCAGACCTCCTCTCAATATAAAAGGTGCCAAATGCAAGGATTATTATTCTTTAGAAGCATCTTAATCCTGTTTGTGGGACACTGCTGTGTGCAATTGGCTGCCGCGTTTGCCCACAAATATATTCACTTTACTGTCTATTCTGTGAAGCGCTTTGAGACGTCGAGAAGACGTGAAAAGCGCTATATCAAATGCAAGGATTATTATTATTATAATCCATTTCCTAGTGGGCATTTGCCCATAGCACAAACACAGCTAGTAATTCAGTATTTAGTCAGAAATCTCACTGAGAAAGGCACCAGCAGTGGTTGCTTTAGAAACAGAAAATATCACATTTAATAGCCAATTCAGAACACCAGACACCCTTTTTGTAATTCAGATTTTAAGTGTTGGTGTTTTTGTCAGAATGCCATCATTGCTTTCAGGCGAGAACAAGAAAATGATCTGCCAGTCAAGAATCTGTGACCAGCTGAAGCTGTTGGAAACGTGGGCCAATCACAAGGATTACCTAAAGAGACAAGTGGGATTCTGTGCCCAGTGGTGTCTTGATAATCTCTGTAAGTGATTCACTCAGACTCATCTGCAGCAGTCATTTATCCTTAAGCTAAATCGCCATGCCTCAGTATGTATGTTCCTGACATCTTCAGGGTTTCTGGTGGCAGCACCAATCCCTGGATCAGGGTAAGGTGGGAGAGATGGTGCGAGGGACAGCTGGGTCATTCAGTGTAAATACTGCAGAAATTATATTTATTGGGGTTTGAATAACCAATGAAAAGTTATCCTTGATAGTTCATTGATAGTTAATTACAGAACTGAACGCACCCTTGTGTTTGAACTTAGACCCAGGGCTATTAATCCAACTTGTATTTTAGACCCAATTGTTTTGATCTCAGCAGAGGAAGACTTAGAATCAATGTGTGGAATATTCCCTGTGATGGTATTGCTTACACAAGACATAGAAACAATGCTGCACCTCCATTTCTCTCAATGAAGTTGGGTACTGCTGGCTCACATACAAACTGATCTGGAGCCAGCTCACTGATTTGCAAAGTTCTGCAATTTTAGCTGGTCAGACTCCAGCAGTATCCCAACTCACACTCTAGGGCCCCCAAACCTTGGCTCTTACTAACCTGTGCCTAATACTCTCCAGATTTAGACAAGCAGCGACCACCCTCCAAGAAAGTGCGCATTCTGTTCCAGACACAGGGAAATTTTGATTTGTAGGTGTCATAATTAGAACTCCTGTCTGGTTTGGATACTCTTAAGCATTGCGATGGGGGTTCCACTTGTGTTAGGCACATGGCTGTCCAAACGAAAAGCACAGACAGCTCAGGCAAGCATAGAGAAATAAAGCTTCAATTAGCAGTTAAAATGAAAATCGCCTCAACATTTGACTTTAATGGAAAACTTTCCTTGGCATACGATGTGGTTTAATTTTTTACACACGCTTAAATACCTCTTTGTTTAATTATTTTTTCCCTTCTATTGTATCTCTGAGATCTGTGTTAATCTGCTCATATTCATACTTTTCAAAACTTCATCCCTATGAATTATTCTTTGCAGTTGTGAAAGAAGGGCGAATATTTACATATGAGAGGGTGGATCTCACCAGCATTAATGCCATGTTGAATAGCAAAGACGTCAGTGAATACCTCAAGATTTCAGCTGCTGGCCTTGAGGTTAGTACTGTATGTGCAGTACTTGTAATTTGAAATGGGCTTGGTTTGTTTTAAAGGGAAAGCAACAGAAAGTCAAGTTGTTTCTTTCAATAGAACAATGCATACCCATTCATGTTAAAGCCTGCCCATTTGGCTCAGTAGATAGCACTCTTGCCTCTATAATAATAATAATAATAATAATCCTTGCATTTGATATAGCGCTTTTCACGTCGGGAGGACGTCCCAAAGCGCTTCACAGAACACACTGTAAAGTGAATTGACTGTATATTTGTGGGCGAACGCGGCAGCCAATTGCGCACAGCAATGTCCCAAACAGTCGTAGATTGAAGATGACCAATTTATTATTGTTTTTGGTTTTGGAGGAATTATTATTAGGCTCTTTGTGAAGTAAGGAAACTTGCCCAAGGTTTCGCCCTGCCTGGAATTGAACTCAGGTCTCTCGCTTGCAAAGCGAATGCTCTAACCACTGAGCTACAGGACTCCACATCTGCATCTACGTCAGATGGTTCTGCCTCCACATCAGGACTTTGGATTCGCGGTCCAGACTAACAGTCCAGTGCAGAACTGGGTGAGCACTGCATTGTTGGAGGTGCCATCCTTCGGATGAGCCATTAACTTGAAGTCTAGCCCATCTATTCATGTCCCTGCCTCAGCTCTTCATTCCCTGATTCAACTCCTCGATGAAACAACAAGGTTATTTAACCATTGAGATTTACCATCTTGGAAACCTTTTTGTTTCAATTTGCTTCTTAAAAACTTTTGGGATTTTGATTTTTACAGTTTTTTTATTGGTGTACATCCACTCCATCTGAAATATTCCACAATGTGTCCCTGTAACCTTGCCCTCCTTGTCCTGTAGCTCAGTGGTTAGAGCACACACCTCACAAGTGAGAGACCTGGGTTCGATTCCCGGCAGGGCAAAACCTTTGCCAAGTTTCCTTACTCCACACGCCTGATGATAATCCCTCAAGAAACCAAAAACCAAACAATAATAAAATTGGTCACTTCAATCCACGGCTGTTTGTGGGACACTGCTGTGCGCAATTGGCTGCCAGGTTTTGCCCACAAGTATACAGTCAGTTCACTTTACAGTATATTCTGTTAGAAGACGTGAAAAGCTCTATATCAAATGCAAGGATTATTATATTTATTATTTTTCCGCAGGCACGTTGTGACGCCTCGTCATTTGAGAGTGTTCGTTGCACATACTGCGTCTATTCTGGGGTCTGGTACTACGAGGTCACAGTCATCACCTCTGGGGTCATGCAGATCGGATGGGCTACAAAAGACAGCAAATTTCTTACCCACGTGAGTGAATATTAGGATGTTTATTTATTGGGCATCATGAGCGCCCCCTAGATCAACCAACTAACTGTTTGTCTTTACCTTAGAGTTGAATTCTTTCATTCAAGAGTATTGTAATCATAGAATGTTACACGAGAGGAGCAGGCCATGAGCATCATCAATGGTGTATTTCATCACATGAGCCATCTGATCTAAACTGACTATCCTGCTCACTCCCCATAACCTTGGGAAGGATGTAAGACCGTCTTATCCTAAAATCTAAAATCAGGCACAACTGATTATTTTGCCCACAAATATACAGTCAATTCACCTTACAGTATATTCTGTGAAGCACTTTGAGACGTCTCGAAGTCGTGAAAAGCGCTACATCAAATGCAAGATTATTATTATAACTGTGGAAAATTCATAAATTCAATGTTTATTTGGAAAGACAGTTTCCCGCAGTTGTCAACAAGAACTGACTTCCAAGTTCAGATTGAATTTAACGCTCCATCCGAGATTTCTTCCAATTCACCCCTTCTTTCCTCATTTTCAAAGCCTGCCTTACCTCTTTTACCATGCTTTTGATCACCCCCCACCCCCAACTCAGCTGCTCAGCTAGTTGTGCAAAGCGCTTTGAGACGTCCTCATATAAAAGACACTGTGTAGATGTAAATTATGTTGTAGTGTCACAATTTTCCACTACCTTAAATTTTAATGTAAAATGGGCTTTTTGGCTGACTGTGGAACTTTGTGCCTAACATTCCTTGTTTGTAAGCCTCTATCTAATTCCCTTTGCAAATAATTGATAGACTCGGCTTCAACTGCAGTTTGTGGCCGTAAATTCCACATTCCAACCACCCTCTGTGTAAACCACCTCATTGTTCAGAAGCCTCGTGTCTGTGCTGCATGTTGTGCTGTGACTTTGATTTATGATTATTAAATAGTGTTTTTGTTTGAATGATTAGATACTGTAAGATCTTAATTTTAACAGATTCAAAGATTTCCTCTCATGAAGTGGTGTTAGATACAGATTACATACATAACAACAACAACAAGATTAAATTTGTATAGCGCCTTTCACGTCGGGAGGACGTCCCAAAGACAACAACAACACTTTTAATTTATATAGCGCACTTCACGCAGGATAGCGTCCTGGAGCTTAGAAACATAGAGAAGAAGGAGCAAAAAACAAAGGCTGAGATACCCATCATGTTTACTCCCAGGAGAAAATCTCCATTCCTCTCACCATACGGGTAATGGTGCTTCCAAAATCCCGGGATTGCAACCTCTACACTTGAAACCTCACTGTTAGAGGGGAAAGGTGTAATAGCTGGGGCCAATTCTCACCCGCTTTCTTCGCCAGTATAAGGGTCAAAGGGTAGCAATACATTCTGGAACCTTGAATGATTTTTCTTCCTTAGACTAGGAACAGAGACTAATTCTAATACACCCAGAATGGAGTGACTGATTCAGTGTCTATCAGAGGAACAGTGGGTTTAAGATTCTTTAACTTTTTGCAATCCTCCACACTGCTGAATAAAGCCCTGCTGATTTTATAATGTAGGAAGGATATGGCATTGGAGATGATGAGTACTCTTGTGCCTACGATGGCTGTCGACAGTTGATATGGTACAACGCCAAAAGCAAGATCCATTTTCACTCCTGCTGGAAGGAGGGTGAGTTTGGAATGATCTCTGCATGCTGATGAAAGTTGTAGTTGACACCCCTTTAGTGTAATAGTATTTGCCAATAAATGCTTTCCAAACTGTGGCACTGATCTAATGTGAATCAGTGTTGCCAGTGTAGGGGTGGTGCAGGTGGTGGGATCATACCTTGAGTTAATCATTTTGCTTACCCGATCATTAAAATTCAATTCAAATCTCAATAAGGACATTTATGAATGCCTCCCTTGCATAAGGCACAGGAGTAAGTGGAAACAGACTTCCGGCTTCTAGCTTACATTTTAGAAACTTTTGCTTTGGATGTGCCTGTAAGGTTCTATGATAAGATTCCCACTAAATTTACTCAAGGTGAGGGGACAGGAAGTCAAGCACAGATGAACCTAAACAACAATGAAACAGCCCACCCATTATCCTCAACTGTATGGGAGCGAGAGGCTTCCTACAAAAACAGTTAATGGGCATCCTTTGCCATCATTTCAATCTCTCCTTCTCCAAGTACCTCATTTCTTCACGGAAATTTGCTTGTATCCATTGTCTCCCTAAAATCGTTTATCTGTTTTCACCTTTCAAACTACAACAACATTGTGGATTTATATTGTAACTTCACACAGGATAGAATCTTGAAGGGCTTAAGAATGGTTATAATTTGATGCTGAACTGCTACCTTTAAACTTAACCCAAATAATGTTCAACATGGTCACAGTATCTCAAGCACAAGAAAGGAACATAAGCAGTGAATTCAGATTGAATTACAGTTCACCCCCTGAGTTCCAGATGCCTGGTATCGGGAATTCAGACCCAGCCGGCCCAGGTCCGACAGCAAAAACATTTTTTTTTAAATTCCACAGTTATGGATCCCACCAGCCAGTGTCCTATTACTGTCCTGGGCAGGTTCACCATCATTGCTGGCTTTCACAGCGGCCAGGGATATTGACTTTGACTCAGATTATTTGAATTCCGAGAGCCTGTGAAATGGCTTATCGGCTATCTGCTCAAACAATTACCATGGCGGTGCCGGCGTTATAATCACACTTAGCTGATAATTCCATCTCACCAGACCGGATCTTCCCCCAACTCCACCCCTACACCCCTCATTGTTCCAGCTGGCCATGGTTTAAGTGTGCTTTGCGTAGAGAGTGGTGGATATGTAGAATACACCACCCAGTCAGGCCGTGGAGGCATATTGCATCTATAATTTCAAAAACAATTGAATATTTATTTGCCCCAAAATAGTTGAGCATATGAAAGATGGAGTAGTGTAGGATTATTTAGTTATTAGATTTAATTATTTCTTTCAACTTTGGGATCTGCTGTTCAGACCCCAATAGTCTTTTTTGGTCAGTCGAGTGTCTGACACATGTGGAAACCCATCAACATGCTTAACTGGATCAAAACCAAACTGAGATTTCCATGCATCCTACTTACATGGAAATTCCAGACATATTTATTGCAATGGAATGTTCACTCTCTCCCTGGAGGGACACATCCTGCTTACCAAATCCTGACAAACAGATCCCCCAAATAAAATTGGTCACAAAATACAGTCAATTAATTTCACAGTAAATCCTGTGAAGCACTTTGAGACATCCTTCTGACATGATAAGGCCCTAAACCAAATGCAAGATTTTTTATTACTGTTAATTCTGGAGTATTAGGTACAAGTTGATAAGAGCCAATGGTTGGTGACCCCAGATACTGGGATTGGGATACTGCTGAAATCTAACCTAATGCTAAAACCACATAGCTTGCCATCGAGAGCACTGTCTGGCAAGTTTTCCTGCTGCTTGTCCAGCTAGGTCTTTTCAGGTCCTGTACATTCCTACGCGCCTCTAATGAAAGCAGAAAACTGCAGTCAACACACATGATTTATAACTATGCTTATTGTACGTTCATGTAGCAGCATGCAATGAGTTAAATTTCCAATGAATAGAAATGCCAGCTCAAATGGCTACAGTTTCTGATTTGGATTCAGTAATTCCTCTGCTGACCTCTTTGCTGAGAATTGAGCTATTTTGAAACTGTGGCAACCATGACATTTTCCGAAGGTCATTTGTCTGACTTTCCACGGAGCACAATACTCTGGTCGCGTGTTAGGCTGTTTTGTTCAGTCAGTTTCTTTCCCTTCAGCTGTACTCATTTCTAAGTATTTCCGATATTCAATCAACATTTAGAATCTTACAGCGCAGAAAGAGAGTTCTCGACGCCTGTGCTGTCCTTGTTCTCTCCTTCTCCCTGATTATATTGAGTCTAACCCCATTTCCCTGCTCTTCCCCATTCCCTCGTAAGGCTTCATTTATTAAATGTTGTGTTATGTAATAGGTTGAATATGTATTATAGTTTTGTTTATCTATATGCCCTTTCAAATCTTGAATATGATTTACACTCAAAAAAAAGTTAATGTGGTAAGAGGAGAATTTGATATTGAAAGTTTCTCTCTGGAAAGTCTCAACGATCTGCAATGTGACTAGAAGTGTACTTCAATCCAGAGCATGGGATGAGTTACATGTTCATTAAAATCTCCTTGCTGTAATTTATTGATCCCTTCCCCTGCCTGTCTTCCTAACTTTCATGCACATTAGCAGCCCTGTGGTTTTCTTGACCCCTTTATTTACACTCTTTTGTCCTCAGGTGACACGGTTGGGTTTCTGTTGGATCTGAATAAGAAAGTTTTGATATTTTACTTGAATGGACAGCCTCTCCCACCTGAAAAACAAGTGTTTTCTTCAGCAACGTATGTTTTCTCTTTATTTTACTTCCATATAAATGCACTAAATAAACTGTGTTGAACTAGATATGTTTTAGCAAGTTGGAGAATACTTTGAGGCCTGTATAACAGAGCCTAGCACCTTGGTTTGTCACCATAACAAAGGGGCACTGTCTTCATTAACATGGCTTGTGCAAAGTTTTTCTCAGTTATTTACCCACGCAAACATGTTGAAATACGTCTTTCACAAACATGCGTATGATAGTCATAAGGCAAACAATACAAGGCTTTCTGCCTCGTCTCCCTCTCCAAAGGAAGAACATGACCCATTTTCATTGCTCAGAGATATAGTTCCTAAATAAAAAAGCACAGTCTAAATGTTGGCAATTTTTAATGGAAGTTGCAAAGAACTCAGAGTTTCAAATGAAATCTACATCTGGTTTGTTACACCAGCTCCGATTTTGAATCATTGTAATTCACATTCCATCTCAGGTTTCCCTCTCACTCCCTCAAGTGACTTAGCACAGTGCAAGCCATGAACAACATCTGGTTATCTTCTGTATTTTAAGATGTTAAGGTACTTTAGAAAGCACAAACAGGCTTTGTTGAAGGTTCTCCTCAGTGGCTGTGACTCTGCCACTGCCTTTCACACCACATTTGTTAGCGTTGTATTTCAGGCCTAAATACATTGCAGTTAAAGTTCTTGCCAGGAAGCTCGGAATGTGAGTCAGTTTATTACAATCAGAGACTTTTCAGGCCCTAAAATATTTCACGTCAGAGATACAAAATGAATGCTGAAACCATTGAGTCACTGAATAAGTTCCAAACCCTGAGCTTTATTTCAGAATACCATGTGCAGGTCACCACCAGCTGGAGTGTGTCCCATATCAGTTGTGAAACTGACTTCCTCATTCAGGTGCTGACTGACTTATTGTACATTTTCAGTGCTTTCAGATTTCCAGGATTCCTTTCTCCTTTGATCATTATTAAATGAGCAAGTTTGTTGTAGACTTACTGCAGATGCTGTGCAATGTTTTACCCTAATCCCAAAGGCTTCCACTTTCTATCAGCACATTTAGTCTTTGTGGAGGAGTCTTTGTGGAGTCCTGTAGCTCAGTGATAAGAGCACTTGCCTTGCAAGTGAGAGACCCAGCAGAGCGAAACCTTGGGCAAGTTTCCTTATTTCACACGCATGATAATAACCCCTCAAGAATTTTTTTTAAGAAATAATAATTTGGTCACTTCAATCCACGACTGTTTGTGGGATACTGCTGTGAGCAATTGGCTGCCGCGTTTCGCCCACAAATATACAGTCAATTCACTTTACAGTATATTCTGTGAAGCACTTTGAGACATCCAGAAGATGTGAAAATTTCTGTAAAAAATGCAAGGATTATTTACTTATTTTTATTTAAGACTGGAAAATTTATTGTGTAGAGGACTGCAGAAACCAAGCCTCATTGCACCATCCTGGGGCACAGCATGTTAGAGCTGTTCTCTGCCACAACACTGCGCTACCCTTTGCCTGCGAAACTCTTTATAAATCATCATTGGACTTCCGATCAATCATGACCTCACTCAGGAGTACTCGCCTCAGGAGTACTCGCAGTGAACAGAAAGGTGCACTCCAACAGCAGATTTACTTCCTCTGATCCCTCTCCTTAATGTTCTGGACTGATTTGGTCTGATCCTTGGAATCACTCATCCACATTGAAAGTGAAAACCTTCATCAATTTTGGAATACACTATGGGTATCCCAAAGACATTCTCATTGCAGAGTCAAATTGCCAGTGTTAAATTTAGATGAATCTCTGCTATCAGCAAATTATTTCTTACCACTAAAACACACCTGGCTAATTGTTTCACCTTCCTCACCTTAAGATGTTTTGACTCTTTTCCTTTGACTGCAGTGCTAGCCCTCACTCTCTGGAATGCTCTCTCCAAATCCCTCTACCTTACACCCTCCTACACTCTTAAAACCCTTCTAAAAACCTACCCCTTTGCCCCTTCAGACATCTACTGCAACTACCCCATCTCGAACTCTGCTCAGGCTCACACTCTGCCAGATTTGACAGGTTTGTCCTCAACCACCATCAACACACACCTTTCGGCAGGCTTCTCTGATTAGCAGAGAATTCTCAGAGAATTAGCAAAGATTCTTCTCTTTGACCGAGCCTTCAGCTCCCCTCTCGACTCTCTTCCCCCTCCTCGCTCCCTCCCTTCCCTCCCCTCACCCTGACCATTTCCCCCCTCCTCGCTCCCTCCCTTCCCTCCCCTCACCCTGACCATTTCCGCCCTGCTCGGGTCATGACCCAACTGTGCAGCGCCTTGGGACGTCCTCCTGACGTGAAAGGCGCTTTATAAATGGAATCTTGTTGTTGTTGTTGTAGCAAACAGGAGCAAGAATCCTGGTGGATTTTCTCCTTCCTAACCCCAAGAGTTCAATTGCAGCCTCCCAACTGTTGCCACGGCTGCGATCAGCTGATGGCACACAAACCTCCATCCTCCCGATCCTTATCGCTTAGGGTTGCATCATTTCACAAATCAATGTATATCATTTCATCAATCTTTGTAATTGTCACTAATGCCAGTTTATTAACCAAATGTCGGGGTGGTATGCTAGAATTAAAAAATAAAATAGTTATATTTTAACTTTGTTGCAGAGTGCAGGATTATACCGTGTTCACATGTCAGTCTAGCTATGCTGAATAATCAAACGCTTTCACTTAGTATTGCATGACATAAGTATAATAATAAGAAAATAATCCTTGCATTTGATACAGCACCTTTCATGTCAGGATGATGCCTCAAAGTGCTTCACAGGATTCACCTATAAAGTGTATTAACCATGTATTTTGCAAGCAAACACAGCAGCCAATTTGTGAACAGCAATGTCCCACAAACATCCTTTGTTACTTTGCATTATTACTCTGTTTGCTTTTAAGACAGTTAGAACAAACATTAATGACCAAAAAGCAGCATAAATAGCAATAGTTGTGCAATGCTAGATTTATTAGGCTGCATTATTCCTGAAGTATCTAAGACATCAAACTCTCAAACTCATTTACCAGTCTTTAATACTTTGATATTTTAATAATTTTATCATTTTAATTACTTTTAAGATTACAAAAGTTATCATTAATTAGCTACTTTGCATTATCACTCTGTTCACTTTTAAGACAATTAGAACAAATTGGATGGAATTATTATAATCGTATTAACTTTAATTACCTGCTCTTCTGAGTAATGAAGGCTCTGTTTCATTTAATGTATCTCCAGGTCTGGCTTTTTTGCAGCTGGTAGTTTCATGTCCTTTCAACAATGCGAGTTCAACTTTGGAGCAAAGCCTTTCAGATACTCTCCTCCTGTTAAATTCTGCACCTTTAACCAGCAGGCAAAACTGGAAGCGAGCGAAAAGATCATACTACCCAGGTAAGCGGCTAAGTGATCCCTTTTGGCCCGGGATAGGAAAAAAAAGGTATTTTAAATTGTGAGCAGAGATGACACTTGAAGTCAACTCTAGCCATCCATCCAGGGCTGATCATATCAGCAGACAGTGTTCCTTGAAATCATTTCTCCTTCCAGATCCCCAAAGTCTAAGTTATAGAAAAATACTGCAACCACCAGCCATCCCTACCTGTCTTCTGTGGAATTTTCTGTGAGTGATTTTATTTTTATCTTCACGTGCGAACCCAGGCAATGAGTGCCAGCAAATTATTAAAAGCAGGTAGGGGAACTCAGGTGATCTTGATCCAGATCCAGCCTTCACCGAATATCCCAAACAAACGGATCTGCTAGCAGAAACACCACCTTATTTTGGGAATATAGCAATCAAGATGTAGAAAAGACCAATAATATTAAGAATAATAATAATGCAGTATTAATAAAGCTTGCACTGAGTATACATTACAAAGTGATTCACAAGATTTACTGTGAAGCACAGTGACCATATTTGTAGGTGAACAGCCTAATCATAGAATCATAGAATCGTACAGCACAAAAAGAGACCATTCGGCCCATCAAGTTTGTGCGTCTCTTTGAATAGAGCAATTAATGTCAATCCCACTGCCCAGCCCTTTCCCCATAACCCTGCAAACCCGTCCTCCTCAAATACCTGTCCACCGCATTTTTAAAAGTAGTTATCGAATCGGCCTCGATAAATAATAATAATAATAATCACCCTTTCGGGCAATGCGTTCCAGATTCGAACAACTCGCTGCGTGAAAAAATTTCTTCTCACCTCCCCTCTGCTTCTTTTAGAGACTATTTTGAATCTGTGACCTTGAATCACCGACACACCCACCAGTGGAAACAGTTTTTCCCTTTCAAACCTATCAAATCCCCTCATGATTTTGAAGACCTCTATTAGGTCTCCTCAACAACAACAACAACAAGAACAAGATTGCATTTATAGAACGCCTTTCACGTCGGGAGGACGTGAACCTTCTCGTAACCTTCTCTGCTCCAATGAGAATAATCCCAGCCTCTCTGGCCTTTCCTCATAATCAAAGTCCCTCATTCCAGGTACCATTCTTGTAAATCTCCTCTGCACCCTTTCCAATGCCTTAACATCCTTCCTATAGTGCGGTGCCCAGAACTGGGCGCAGTGTTCTAACTGAGGCCCAACCAGTGTTTATATAGGTTAATCATAACCTCCTGACTCTTGTACTCTATGCCCCTATTTATAATGCCTTGTATCCCATATGCCCTTTTTACAGCTTTATCCACCTGTCCTGCCACCTTCAAGAATTCATTTACCTACACCCCCAGGTCTCTCTGTTCTTTTACCCCCCTTAAGATTGTATTACCAGCCTATATTGCCTCCCCTCATTCTTTCTACCAAAATGCATTACCTCGCATTTCTCCACTCATCTGCCATGTGTCTGCCCATTTTACCATTCTGTCTATGTCTTCCTGCAGTTGGCTACTATCCTTCTCAATGTTTACTACCCTACCTAACTTTGTGTCGTCCGCAAACTTGGAAATGGTACTTGTTATACCCAAGTCCAGATCATTTATGTATATTAAGAAGAGCAGTGGTCCTAATACCGATCCCTGGGGGATGCCACTGTACACTTCCCTCCAGTCAGAAAAGCAGCCGTTCACCACAACTCTCTGCTTTCTATCTCCCAGCCAGTTCTGGATCCATGTGGCCACTGTCCCTTTTATACCATGGGCTTCTATCTTTCTTACAAGTTTTTCATGTGGCACTTTGTCAAATGCCTTTTGAAAGTCCATATAAACTACATCAACTGCAATACCTTTATCCACCCTCTCCATTACCTCATCGAAAAATTCTATTAATTGTGCACAGCAATGTCCCACAAACAGCCATGAAGTGAATGACCAATTTTCTCTGATGGATTATTGACCAGAACACCAGGAAACTTTCCCTTCTCTTTTTGAGTCGTGCCATGGGATCTTGAACATCCACTTGAACAGGCAGACAGAATTTTGGCTTAACATCTGATCCGAAGGACGGCACCTCCAACAATGCAATACATCCCCAGCACTGCGTTGGAGTGTCAGTTTGAACTTTGCAAGTTCATGTTCCGATGTGGGCCTTAGTCAGAGGCAAGAGTGCTACTAAATGACCCAGGCTGACAAATTCATCTGGCTGATCTAATTTCTCCTAATCTCACATAATCTCCCATTTTCGTCTGCACCCTTCCCCTAGCCCAAGGAACTCTTAAAACCAATAATAGCACCATAATTGATTGATAACTCAACAGAGCAGGGATCCAACCTAAGGTTTCTTGATCTACATGGTTATTTTGTTCTGGGTATAAATGACTTTGACTGCTGTTAACTAGAATTGGCTTCTCTTCAGATGATTTTAAAATTACATTGAAGCCATGGAAATTTTAAGTTACAGACCATGCAGCAGTAATAGTTGAATGAATAATCTTTAAACAGGATAGAATAGATCATCGAATATTTTTGTACTCAAGGATTTCAGCTTACCTTGAGCAGCACATTAATGGTATGTCGAATGGCAGTATTTTTTCTGCTGCCGCAATTATAAAATATAATAATAATCAATAAGTTAATAACTTTCCTGGGCAGGGTGAAACCTTAGGCAAGTTTCCTTACTCTACACACACGTCTCTGTTTACCTAGCAGTAAGTAGGAACCCACTTGTTAATCGATTGGCGGATCATTTTCCGGAGGTAATATTCCCTCCAAAAAATAATGATTTGGTCACTCAATCAACGACTGTTTGTGGGCAGTTGGCTGCTGTGTTTCACCTACAAAATACACAGTCACTACACTTTACAGTACATCCTGTGAGGCGCTTTCAGACATCTCAAAGACGTGATAAGGAGCTATATCAGATGCAAGAAATATTATTATGTTGTTATAACTTTTTTCTTCATTTATTAGTTTAATTTGCGTTTTTCAATGGGGCAGATGATAAAGAAAATAATGCAAAGCAAGTGTTTAAAATGAATGAATGAAGGTTCCTTTTGTTGTTGCTTTGTGAAGTGTCAAGGTCAAATTCATTTGAAAATAATGAATGTTGCTCAAGATAATCAATCAGGGAACTAACTTGCAAACTCATTTCAATTCCAGACACAAGCGACTGGCTTTGATGCAGAATATCAGTATTGCAGACAATGCCTGCACCCTCTGCTGCAACGATCCTGCCAACACTGAGTTAAGGCCATGTGGACACAGGTAACACCTGTCATGTATATTCCCCCCTAAATAACATTTTCTGCTCTCATACACTTCCCACTTTCATGCTTACCATTTCATGTGGATGTTTAAATAATAAAAACACAAAAGTGCTTTTTTTGTAGCTGTAAGTATCCAACAGCAACAAATTACATTTGTATAATAATAATAATAATAATAATAATCCTTGCATTTGATATAGCGCTTTTCACGTCGGGAGGACATCCCAAAGCGCTTCACAGAACACACTGTAAAGTGAATTGACTGTATATTTGTGGGTGAACGTGGCAGCCAATTGCGCACAGCAATGTCCCACAAACAGTCATGTGGATTGAAAATGACCAATTTTATTATTGTTTTTGGTTTTTGGAGGGATTATTATTATATAGTGCTTTTCACGCCAGTAGGATGTCCCGAGACAACCCAATTATACTGCCTACTGGCCATATAATTAGCACAGGATAACTAGGTTTTCATTATGAAATAATTTCCTATAAACCTTTTAGGTTTCAGTGCTCCAAGACACTTCCCCACATTAAGTGCTCAATAAAAATGGAAGTTGTTTATTAAAAATGTTTTTTTTCTCTTTCAGAGAGATTTGCATGTCTTGTGCCTTGCAACTTCAGATATGCCCAATGTGTCGTTCCGTTATAAAGACTAGGATTCGAATCACCACAGCTGGCTGAGGGCCACTGCTTTTTCTTTTCAAGTGTTTCAGCGATCTCCATGGAAGGTTTATAAATCTATTTTCAACAGCACTAACTTCACAACTGCAATATGCCAAAAGACCAGAAAGCTATATTCTTTGCAAAAATATTCACCACAAGTTAGCTTTTGTTAGTTTGTAACTGATAATGATAAATCTCAACTAAATCTAATTTACGATGATGTGATTCCTGAAATTTCATTGTCAACATTGGTTGATCTTCGTACTTGTCCATTGGTGTAATGATGCTGTTGCTAGAAATTGGTACAAATGCCACAAGATCTTTAAGGCATTTCAGTTTTATATTGAGAAGAGTTGATGTAACTCAGGACAGGAAGCACCTGTGCACTTCTTATGCTAAATAACTAACCTTGTTGCAATAAACGTTTTTGCAAAAAAAACAATGATAGACTATCTGTCTTGATAAGATCATCCTGACTATTCAAATGACATTATTCCAGAGAACATATCTCAGACAGGTAACATCATATGGCTTCAAATGGATGATAGCACCTCAGAAGAACTAACTCCCACTGGACAATGTCCCTTTAATTATAATTTTTCAGCATTACATCTAAAGGGGTTTATTCTTGGGGTCAAATCCCATGATAAGCACATATTACAAAGGGTGAATACATTTACCAAGCTGACATTTGGCTCTGTCTCTAATTTATATCAAATATCCATCTCAAAGGTCAATCACAACATTCTCAAGCCTCCCTGAAATCTGCCTGTGTGGTCACATGTGGCCCTGTATTTTCACTGTCCCCTGATAGTTACATTGGCTCCCTGGCTCTCAGGAACGTGTAGCCGTCAAACTCAGGCTCCACCACACAAGTGGAGGGTTGACAATGATTGAATTCCAGGCTTCCTGATCTAAATGGGAACATCTCGATCACCTAAGTCACGGCAAGGAGAAAGGCCTCTTGACCTATATATCAGGAATAGATCATAAGATAGGTTCAGAAGAAGAAACCCTTCAGCCCATTTGATCACATCCTTCCAGAATGCCAAACCTACTATCTTCCCAATAGAGTATCAAACTATTTCTGAATTTGGTACAGTCCTAGCCTCAACCACCATTCCTGGTAACCATTTCCAGCTGTTAATGACCCTTTGTGTGAAAAATATGCTATCTGTCATAATGATCTGGACTAACAACTCAATGGCAACTGAGACTACTCACCCATCCAGATTAAACTATTGCCACTATGATGTTGGTTTTCAAAGGGATAAATTAGAGTTGTAATCATGCGTTATAAAGGAAGGCACAGAACTATACTACAGTCCCTATCTATAGCCCAGACAAGGACGTTTTGATTTCTATATCCTTTTATTAAAGGTAGGATGTTCACCTGCTATAAGTTCACCTGCTCAGTACCCACCGTATGATCCAATTGGAATAGGTTATAAATTAAATTTGGAAAAACTGAAAGATAAAATATCATGAAATTGAGATAAAGGTGTTTTTCATTGGGTACATGAGGCTATTATCTCTCCGTCATGTAACCAGCCTGTGACATGAAGCATTGCTGAGAAGGAATTTCTCAACTTGATAAGAACTGGTCTACAACTGAGGCAATATTAATACAAATACGATAAAGTTACATTTGTGTAGCGCCTTTCATGTTGGGAGGATGTCTCAAGGTGCTAATATTAAGGTATAACTGGGTCAATATCTAGAACCGGGATAGTGAGTTTAGACCAAACATTTATTTTTGCTATTGTACATACCGTACCGACAGTTTTTATTAAAAATCTACCTTTTTTTTACAAATATTCCCAAAATAGAAACAACAATATTTACAACAGTACTTTGTCCTTAGTGGCACCAAAGCCTGCTATAAGGCGGTAAGATGAAACAACCCAAAGCATGGATTGTACGTGACAGAAGAACTTGGAGGATACTAGTTGTGAGAGCTCCTCTCTCAAACTTGGGCACGAGCAAGAAGTCCCAGAAAGAGTTTTTGATACTGCACACACACAAAATACCCTGATTCAACATTCTAAGTTTAAGTCAAATTGAGTTATGGTTTCCTCCTTCAAGGCCGGTCTCAAGACCTTACTCTTTGACCGTGCCTTCAGCTCCCCTCTCAACTCTCTACCCCCTCCTCGCCCTCTCCCTTCCCTCCCCTCACCCTGACCATTTCCCCCCTGCTCGGGTCCTGACTCAACTGTCCAGTGCCTTGGGACGTCCTCCCGATGTGAAAGGCACTCTATAAATGGAATCTTGTTGTTGTTGTTGAAAGGTTGAGTACAAATAAACCCCACACTAGTATGCTACTTTCAGTCCTAAGTACTTGTAAAAATGGAAGTGAAGCACTGAATTCCCTCCAACACCTACACCTGCATGCGTTTCTGTGCTTCCACACATTGAAGGTTCATTCACTGCAGATTATTAGATAGATTTTAGCAACTCTTCCTGCTCGCAAGCAGTTTGCAGTTTTTATTCCAGCCCCTGTAAAAATGCCACACTCACTGAAGACGATATTATTTGTTATGATTACTTTCATTCTTTCCAATTGTGACTGTGTTTTTTCTTAATTCTTGCATTTCATAACTGTTAATCTATTTGAATAGAAATTTGTACCATGTTTGGGGTTTTATTTAATTGCATCCAAAGATTGCATCCATCTAAATGTAAATATTTCTTGTATATTCCTAAGGTTCTGTATTTCAAAGATTGATGCATTAAAAGAAAATCTCATTTCATTCAGATTCTCCGGCTTTCATATATCTCGTGGCTATCGTACTTCACAAGATCACAGGATTGGTCTGGATGAAGAAGGCCCTTTGGACCATCCAATCTCATCCCTCCAGAACACTCACCCCACCATCACTGCATCAAGCTGCTTTTTAAATAAGTCCAGTGTCCTGGGCTCTACCAACTTTCCTGGCAACCTGTCCCAGTCGTTGATCCCCTTGCATAAAGAAAAACTTCCTGGTATCTGTCCTGAAATTACACTTTGCAACTCTAAACTTATGTCTTCTTGTTATATTGTCTTGATACATCCTAAAATACTGATCTGGATTTACGTTTTCCATCTCTATGAGTTGGGTCTTCTCTCAAGATTGAAGAGCCCTAGCTTGTCTCTTATTTTTGTCTCAGGAGCTCCAATCTTCTGTTGGGTTCTTTTCCACGATATTTCATTTCAGATTGGAAATGTCATTGTTTCTGTGACATTGCTCTGTGCAAATGCAGTCACCACACTTCACAGTGCAAATCCTGCAAAGCGCTTTGAGACATCTCAACGACATGATAATCACTATATCCAATGCAAAATGCAAAGATTATTGTTTTTGCCAGTGTATTAAAATTGCACTTTATCATGTTTTTTGACAAAGTATAGATAATTTCTTATTGTCTAATTTGTCTTACTCCCTGATTACACTTTATTCAAACAGTGCCCATTTACCAGAAGAAATCCTAATCAGATTTCTTATTAAAGAATTCAGTTTGACATCACCATACTTTGGAGCTCCAATATGTATTAAAGTATTCTCAACAATGCATGACATATACGGTAGATCAGTGAATTTCCCAATCTCATTTCTGCTCAACATCATATCTATAAATGATCCAATTATTTTTACGTCTGCACATGACTGATATAAACTCCAGTTCCGCAGCATTCCTCTCAGATAAAGCTGCTAGAATCTTGCAAAATAAACATTTTAGGGTAAATTGGGAGCCTGACGCAGAACCCATTACCATGCTTAAGAGTATCCAAACTGAAAGAGTTCCACATACATTTGGCAGATCAAATATGCAAATTTCCCATTCATCTGGAAATGTGTACTTTCTTCCTGGAGAACCGCACCCTGTTTACCAAATTTCCAGTAAATATTAGGTGTAGGTTGACAGGAACCCAATACTCAGAGACCCTGGTTTAACCAGCTAGCTAACTACATTAGCTTGCTATTGCTTTTTCAGCTACACCACCCTATCCATTAAGGGCTTTGGCTTGCAGGGTTCCCAGGACCAGAATAGGAAGAATCCCCAACCCTGTCATCATTTTGCCCCTTTCAGTCCTGCCAATGTGCCAGGCTGGCCAGTCTATCATCGATAATGTCTTGGCGTACTATGCACCTGACTGACTCAGGAATAGGAGTAACAAGATCATCATAGAGGATGTAATTCAGATATTCCATTACCAGGTGTGTCACCTTGGAGCCAGCATAGCTCCAAAGAGACTCTACTTACATCCTGCCAGGAGGCTCATCACTAGATCATTTGACATCTGACAAGCAAAGATTTGAGTCTGCACTAGCAGGTACCAGGGGTACTTGTGGGCAACAGCTCAGCATGAAATGCATGAGAGCATTGACACCATCCTCCTGCCCACAACTCGGACACACATCCTACCATTGATTGATAATGCCTTCCAACAACTGCCAACACAACCCTCAAAGTATCCTCATCAGCCGTTTGGCCTTCAGCAGTGCAGAATAAACAGGAGCATTTCAATGGGTTGATAACACATGAGTTGTTTCTGCTGACAATGAAAAACTTCTGCAGATATCAGTGCATCCACATTCTAACACTCCCCAAATACCTCGAGTTTCTAAATATTTTATTATACAATATTTGTTTAGTGAAAAAGGGTTAGGAAAGATCTTGAAATATTACCCATCTGTAAAAAATTTTTTGAAGACTGCATTATCTTCGTTTCACGTAGCATGATGAAAATTATGTACAAGGTTAGAATCTTTGAATTTATTCAGTGTATTAAATAATGCCAGTGAGAACAATTGTTTAGAGTTTTCAGTTTAATGCTGCAGCACAAAAATTAGCAAGGACACATAGATGTAGAAAAGAAAACTAATATTCCTTGCATTTGATATAGTATCATGACGCTGTTGAGATGTCTCAAAGCACTTTGCAATATTTTACTGTGGTGAGATGAGTGTATTTGTAGGTGAATGTGGTAGCCAATTTACGAACAGCATTGTCTTATAAACACCCATGAAGGAAATGATCAATTTATCTGGGTATTGGTGGCCAAGACGTCAAGCAAAACTCTCTTCTCTTTTTGAATAGTGTCATGGGATCTTAACCTCTGTTCAATGTCTCATCTGAATGACGTTGAACAACAAGCAGCATGACCCCATCATTGCCAGCCGAGACTGTTCAAAATCCTGATGTGGTGAACCCCAAACCTTCTGGCTCAAAAGTGAGAGTGCTACCAACTAAACCAGGCTATCACCCAACTAAAAAGGTTTTCAAGTTAAAGTTTTAAAAATATAATTGGAAATACTTAGTTTTGATCAGTTTCTTCGCCTCACACAACTCACCATCGGTGGGCAAGTTTTCAGGCATTCTGTTTCTGTTCTCTGGAACTCCATCCCAGAGGCCCTCCATCTCACCCTTCCATTTCCATCTTCGAAATCCCATCTTAAGCCCTTTTGCTCTTGACCACACTTTTCAGCCACCTTTCACCACCCTCAACTCTTACTTGGGCTCCCAGTGAACTTGACGAACAGTGACGAGTTTAAGACGTCCTCTATTGAATGCAATTTGTGTACTGGAGAAATTAACACATTCGCATGATGAAATATAAATTATTACAGTTATTGAGACATTAAACTGAGGTTCTGTCTGCCTGTTTAGGGTGGATGCTAACAATCCCATGGAACTATTCAACAACAACAAATAACAACTTGCATTTATATAGCGTCTTCATGCAGAGTAACACCTTGGATGAGAGAGATGAGAGTTCCTCCTGGTGTCCTGGCCAACAATTTCCCCAAATAAAATTGGTCATTCACTTCAAGGTTGATTGTGAGACATTGCTGTGCATAAATTGGCTGCAGCATTCGTCTAACAATAAATAATCACTATACCTTACAGTAAAATCCTGTGAAGTGCTTTGAAGTGAAAGGCGCTATACCAAATGCAAGGATTATTTTTACCATAGGTGTCATATTGTTGTATGAATTCTAAATGAATCATGCTTTGAATTTACACATGAAATAGTTTTGAATGCTAGAAGGCCATGGTTCTCTCTTTTCCAGTGAAGTTTACACTGTGCACTGAATGGTTAGTTATTTTGCTCTTTTGTCTCTCTACTGCTATTCGGGGTAAGTTCATGCTGTTATTGAATGTGAGATGATTCATGGTGTCTGTCTGTTTACAAATATGCCTCAGTGCTGATAGCCCACTGATTTCACTACATGCCCACTGAGGCTTCTATTCACTCTTGTTCTGAATTCTGTCCAGGAGTCGGTTGCACTTTCTCCAGTACACAGATTGCATTCGATAAGAGGCCTAGTGGTGAAAACAGATAAATTCTATAGTGGTATAGATGGATTTTGCATTGAAATTTGAAAGGCAGGGAGAGATAAAACTTCATAGCATTAAATCACAGACATTTATGTAAAATATAACCAAAATCACTATTTTAAAACTGAAACATTTATTTTGTGTAACTATATCTGTCCTAAATGGGTGAAATATTGATTAGGTTTTTACTAATAAATTGATTTAACAATCAGTCTGCATTTAAACTTGGATTAGAGAACAGCTTTAACAGATTAATCCAATCTCAACTGTTTCTTTCAACATTATTGAAGGTTTATTCACTGCTGCAACTTCCTTTTATGAATTTGTCTTTTACAGATAACTCCACTTTAAAATATAATTTGAAAGTACCAATATAAAGATAAATTGTATTACTTTGGCATACAGAAACCATTTACAGCAGTTTTAAGACAAAGATACATTTGTTTTTCAGATGTAAATCTGGCATAATCTTGAAATTGTAAAGCTCGGAACCACTCCTTTTTGTCTGTAAACCTATTAAAAATTGTTTTTAAGCTTATGTGAATTTGGCCAGGAGAATGGAAATATATCACCAACACAGAAGTAATGAAACATTTTCAATCGATTAAGAATCTGGACAGATAGCTAATATACCAGATAATGTGATGTACTTTCTCAGTCAAAATTGAATCACTTAACTTACACAACTTTGAATTGCTCTTCATCTATTCACACATCAATTTAGATTACAAATTCTGTCTAAATTGCATCAACGATGCTTTCCTGTACTTTAATATGAAACATTTTAAAATTAATTTTCTATAAAACTGAAAAGCTTCATTTGTAAGCTGATTATTAATATCAATAAAATGCCAAAAAATGAATCCTCATTTTGTATTCAACAATGTTTATTTGACATCACAAAGAAGTGCAACTCCTCGTAGGATCCAATGCTCAGGCGTCTGAACTGTCCTTAGGTCCACTGCAGCTATGTAGTTCAGGTCAGTCCGGACTGGCTTTTTGTATATGGGACATGAATATAATCGGGAATCTTTTGCACCTGTGAGAGAGATAACATATGCTGTTATTTGGAACCGGGCAAATTTAACAATTTCCATTTATATAGGATCTTTCTTGTAAGGTAACTTCTCAAAGCAATTTACAGAGGCTGTGCCAGACACTGAGCAGAGAGTGAGGAAGGAGGTGACTGTAGGCAAAGTCAAATAGATAGATTTTAAGAAGGTATTAGGACAAAAAGAGTGGCATGAGGCAGAGAGACTTGGAGAGAGAATTCCAGAAGGCTTGGCCACTGATGGTGGGGTGGAGGGGGTGAGGGACATGCAGCTATGTGTATGCATGTAACATACAAGATTTGCAAACTACTATAAAGTGCCTGCAGCAGTGGGTGTCAAGGAATTTTAGAAGGCTTCATCACATCTGAAAAAGAACAATTTAAAAAACATGGAATTAAAAAGATTCATTTGACCCATGAGGTCCACTCCTTCTCAAGACTGCAATGGATCCAGACTCATTTAATATCCCAAGGGAAATTTCTGCAAAAATATTTCTTGCTCCAAAAGGTAATCAAAATCTTCAACAAAATCTTGAAGCACCTCGGGACATCCTCCCAATATGAAAGCTACTGTATAAAAGTAAATTTGCACTGAACTGTAAATCTCTACTATTTAACTTTGATACCACCTCTCCCTTTCCAAGTCAAAGACCACAGTCCCACTGAGTATTTGATCATTTCAGCGTGGATATTCATGAAGCTCCTTTTAAGGTACATTAAACACAAATTCATAGATATTTAAATCCAGAAGGCAACCATTTGGGCCAGTGTTCCTGTGCTGATGTTGCTCCTCCACTCATTTAATCAGCACAGAATCAATAACTTCTCATGGTGTATTTTCTACATTTCTGTAGTAAAACTATTTCTTATAATGAATGTCTAGTCACATTGGAGGCTTATTCATTCTAAACCTAGATGTTTGTCCTTCCCCCACTTTCTAAGTTAAACAGACAATCATTTAAACTCTCAGCATTTTAAAGAGCTGGATTGTGTCTTCCCTTTAAATATTTTGTTCTTCTAATGAACACCTTCTGCTCTACAATTCCCTCTTTGCAAATTCAAGTGTTACATTCTGTGGTGGTTAAGCCACTGGGGAGATTACCTTTTATTTATATAATACATGACTTTCATTTTGAACTTCCCAAATAGACTGGTTTCTTTCCTTTCCTGATTAAATAAAGATACTATAACTTAGCCAAATGCCCTAGAGCTGGGGGTTGGTGGAGAGAGAGTGGAAGAGAAAAAAGGGAAGGGAAGCAATCAGCCAGGGTTTCTGTTCCCTGTTATTATCCACTGAATTCTGCTGGAAAGTGCATATTGCGGGATTTTTCTTGAGGCCAGGATCAGGATTGGTTGTTATACCTACCATGGTTGACGAACTTTTAAAAGCTACAAGTATTAAAAGTGCAGGAGTACTTACTCAGGTTATTCTGAGCTGAGATATGTATGACTGGCAACAGCTCAAACAGCACTTTGGGTTTGGATTCAATGAGTTTTGAATTGCGTCTGTCCCAACCAGCTCCTTCCAGGTACAAGCCATAGGCATAGAGCCCTTCCGAAGGGGGGCTTGTGATGTCATCCTTCATCCATTTGGTGACCTCGTTGCACAGCACCACACTGTCCAGGGCCCAACCCTTGTGAGCACGGGTAACTTCCTGCCAAGTGCAAATGTAGAATTAATAAGATCTAATGGGAATGAAGTGAATGCGTAGTTATTATTAATAACCATCCTTATATTTGATATAGCGCTTTATCACATCGCTGAGAAGTTGCAAAGTGATTTGCAGGGCTTTCTGTAGTGCTTAGTGGCTGTGTCATTTGGAGGCAAGCAAGGCAGCTAATTTGCACACAATATTCACAAATATATCGGCTTTTACAGGACCTGAAACTTCCAAAGTAAAAGTTGCAAACCCACACCATCACTTTCACATCCCTCAATCGATTTCTTAAACAAAGAATTGCCTAATTCCCTTTTGCATTTGCTGACACAATTTGCCTCCATTGCCTCACAAAGTAGTCTATTCTACATATTCTCTATCTATTTTCTTAGGATCTTGAATACATTAATAAGATCTCTCCTGAGTCTCAATCTCCAGTTTGAACACTCCCATAATTGATGGACAAAATCTCCCAGAGGTTTGCAGTAATACTTCACACAAATAGTACAGATTCATATTGTTATGGTATAAACAAAACATCCCTTATAGAAATAACCTATACAACCGCTTCATTGTAATTTATGCTTGTAACATAAGATATTATTCTCACTGCTGAGATATAAATTGATATTACAGTCGCAGCCGTTGAAAATCTCCATATATGTACGTGAGGGCTGCATTTGTGCTGGATGTGAGAGTCTTGGTAAAAGCTAATCTAAATGCTTTCAATATACATAAAAGCATTAGTAACGGTGATGTCTTTGAGACTAAATGCCTTTGAAGTTTCAATATAAAGCACTATTCCCTGTGCACTATATCATCTGAGATTTTATGCCAAATTACGCCTTTGATAATATGAGAGAACACTGACATCAGTGCTTAAATTGCTCATAAACACTTGATATTGCCAGGTCTACTTCTGAAGCTTGAAAGCTGATGACATAATTGATGGACAAAATCTCCCAGAGGTTTGCAACTCTAAACCTACTGTTCTTGGTCTACTGTCTTCATACATCCTGAAGTATTCATACAGCCTTCATACATCCCCATCTGTCCTTGCCAGGCCTCCACTGGCTTCCAATCACCAAACAGATCAAATTCAAGATCCTCTTCCCCCCTCCCTCTCCCCCTGCCTCATTGTCAGACTCCAGCACTGTGAAGCGCTCCAGGAACCTACCCCACATGATCATGTTTAATCATTTGTTTAATCATTACCCCGTGCTATATAAATGTAAGTTGTTGTTCTAGAGTACTCTTCTAAGTTTACTATTCAATCCTATTTAAAATGATGTACACCTCTATAAAGTCCCCTCTGAGATGTCGCCTTTCAAGACTGAAGAGACCTAGCTTGTCTAATCATTACTCATAGCTCATTCATCTAACACTGAGGATTATCTGCATTACTCTCTTTTGTACTATCTCAAGGGCCTGGGTTGAGCCTATGTTACCCAGGGAAATAGAGTAGGGTGGGGTGAAATCCATGATAGAGTAGGTTTTCATGGGCTGTGTCAGACCTGATGAACCAAAGGACCTTTTCTCTTTCCAGGCCTCGATATAGTCTAGGGTCAAAGCTTTGTTTTTTGTACATTATACATAAAGATCAATCCAGAAAAGGCAGGTGCCTGAAACATGCCCTTGATGGACATCACATTGTGCAGCATCCCAACACTTTCACACATGTATAATTCTCATTCATTGGAAAGCACAGTCCATTCAAAAATGTTTTTGAACCATATACTTGCAAACTTCCAAGAGTCTATCCAGCCACAACCACCTGATGATCTTAAAAAGCCACAACATTAAAAAAATACAATCAAATGACTTGAAAACTGAACATATTTAGCAATTTGAAAGCTATGCAGCAAACAGTAAAGCCTAAGAACAACATATACCTCTAGTGGCTGGAGAGGTGGGGTAGAAAAAACACTCATTAGCAGCAGTACAACCACAAGAGAGATATCAAGAGTTCCTGCAAAATGTGACATGCTGATATTGGCAGCATCCAAAGAACATGTTTCAGCCTACAGCACCGCTAGCTTATCAGGACACAGTCCTGTTCTTACCTGAATGTGGGAAGGTTTACTGTAGTCTCTTTGCAGACATTACCTGTCTCATTGCTGTTAAAAATCCCTGAGGGTTAAAAAAGCCAGTCATCCAGAAGAAGTTTGGCTGGCCATCAAAAATCCAGGCGCTGAATTGGCGATTTCTCTCCAGCAGCTCAGTGAACCAAAAGCCAAGTGTGCTAGATGCCCAGGATGTCTGAAAAACAATAAACAATGTGTAATCATTTGTTTAATCATTACTAAAATATTGCTCACTCTCCTCTGAAATAAACAAATCAGTTATTTGGTTAGCCAGGTGTCTGACACATGAGGAAACCCATTACCATGCATAAGAGTATCAGACCAAACTGAAAATTCTATGCATCCCAACTGCACATGGAAATTCCAGAGATAGATTGGTGGAATGGAATGTGCACTCTCTCCCGGGACAGAGAACAACAACTGATTCTTATCGAAGGTCAACTTTTGTTTTGCCTGACAAACGTTGAAACCGATCACCATGCTTGTGTATCCAAACCAAACAACAACAAGATTACATTTGTATAGCGCCTTTCACGTTGGAAGGACATCAAAACATGTTCATGCATGTGTGTTTTCTCAATATCTTCTCTTGGGCCATGCAGAACCATAATTCCATACTTGGGGCTACCCAAGATGGCGGATGCAGGGCAAAAAGTTCCCATACATGTCCACCAGCAGTATAATATCATCCACAAACAGAAGCACCCCGTTCCTGTTAGAAAAGCCTGGAACCAATGCACCAAGTCCATCTCCCTCAATGCCATCCAACATGTCATTGATGAATACATCAAAAAAGTTGGATAACAATGGTCAATGAGGTTCAATATTGAGGGATTAATTTTGAGATTCAGCACTTTATCTATAGTATGAACATACTTACAAACCCCAGTAACAGCTTCCTACCACCAGTACTCAATTAAAACAATAATAATATAATAATAATCCTTGCACTTGATATAGCGCTTTTCACATCTTCTAGACATCTCAAAGCGCTTCACAGAATAGACTGTAAAGTGAATTTACTGTATATCTGTGGGCGAAACGCGGCAGCCAATTGCGCACAGCAGTGTCCCATAAACAGTCGTGAATTGAAAATGACCAATTTATTATTGTTTTGGAGGGATTAATATTAGGCGTGTGGAGTAAGGAAATTTGCCCAAGGTTTTGTCCTGCCTGGAATTGGACCCAGGTGTCTCGCTTGCAAGGCAAGTGCTCTAACCACTGAGCTACAGGACTAGAATCTTACAGCAGAGAAGGAGGCCATTCGGTATATCATGCCTATGCCAGCTCTTTGAAAGAGCTACCAACTAGTCCCACTCCCCTGCTGTTACCTCATAGCCCTGCAGATTCTTCCTTTTTAAGTACCTATCTAATTCCCTTTTGAAAGCTATTAGCAAATCTACTTCCATCACCCTTTCAGACAATGCATTCCAACTCTGCGGGTAAAAACAAAAATTCTCATCTCCCCTCTGGTTCTTTTGCCAATTTTCTTAAATTGGGTATCCTCTGGTTACCAATCCACCCACCAGAGGAAATAATTTCTCCCTGTCTACTCTAACAAAACCTCTCATCAAAAAACAAAGACAACTCTGAGTCATATTCTGAAGCTATGTTATGACATCCTCTTCAAAAAAGGATTCAGCGATCAATGAGGAAATTATAGATCACCTAGTATTACTTCAATTATTGGAAAACTACATGAGACTATATACGAGGAAATTACTAAAGCACCTGCAGAGACACTAACTAAGGCCAGTCAACACAGATTTCTGAAAGGCATGTTCTACATGACCAACCTTGTAAAATTGATGAAACAACAGAGGATAGATGAAATACAGTGGATTGTGACCTGAATGAATTTTCAAACAAGCATTTGATAACACCCACATAAGACGTTTATGACAAAGATTATGACATGAAAGGTTGTGTGGTAAAATGGACAGGGAAATAGTTGCAGAGCAGAGAGAAAAGTGTAAATGTAAGTTGCTGAACAGGGAAAAATAAATTTGTTATAGCACCTGTTCATGTTGGAACATCTCAAAGCACGAAACAGAGCTCTTTGTAAAATGTAGTGATTGCATTTTTGTAGGCAAATGCAGTAGCCAATTTGCCCATAGCAAGGTCCCACAAACACCCATGAAGTGAATAACAATTATATCTTCTCTTTTTCAATAGTCCATGGGATGTATATCATCTATCTGAGCTGACAGACAGGAGCTTGGTTTAACATCTCATCCGCAATAAAAGCATAGACTCACTGGGATGTTACCAAGGACGATGGGTTTTATTTGAGAGATTTGAGAAGTAGGGCTATTGTTAGGGATGATTTAATAGGTCTTCAAGATTATAAAGGTTTTTGATAAGGTAAATTATTTACACCGGTCAACAAGTCAGAAACAAGAGGACACCAATTTAAGACAATCAAAACAATTAGGTTCGAAGAAAAATCTTTACAGAGGGTGGTTAGAATGTGGATTTCTTTCCCACAAAGTGTATTTGAAGCAGAGTTCAAAAAATTATTTCAAAAGGACATTAGAAGTTTGAAGAGGAGAAACATTAAAGAGTACGAGGTCCAAGCAGAGAATGGGACCACACTGGCTCATATGGAGAAGAACACCAAACAGACATGAAGGGCTGTTTGAAGGGCTCTATGCTGTACTCAGAAAACAAAATTGGATATCAGTTAGCATATACTGCATGGCCATATTATGGGCTGAGGATGGTATTCATGACAGCACCCCTCCCCCCCGACATACACAAAAACCCTAGCAAAAAAAGTCTTGGCATCTCGCAAGAAGCGTTACGCTTGACCTCCAGCCACTCAATGTTCCCAACACAATTACCTTTTTCCACCGAGCTGGAATTCGTGCATCATACATGCAGTCTAAGGCATCTCTGAGGTTGTCGCTCATAATGATGGTTCCATCAATTGCAAGCTTTAGGTCCATCAGCGTGCTCCGCACCAGACTAATAACCCTTTGCATTCGGTCAATCTCCTGACGAAGGAAGATATTCATTGGTTGCAGCGCTCCCATCTTCTGCAGTTTCTCTTTGACCTGACAAAGAATCAAATATGCCAACTCATCAAGATCTTTGGTCCACATATACAATCGCAATGGACAATAACTCCAACGTAAGAGATTATTGTCTCATCTAAAGGATGGCACATCTAGCAATACAGTGCTGCCCAATACTGGACTGTATCAGTCCAGACCGTGAGCCTTTGATATTGGTAGCATCTAATCAACCAAAGGTTATAAGGGGGGCAATCATCAGTAATATAAATTGATTGTTGATGGGCTCACAGTGCTTGGTGCGGGAGAGGGCACAGGCTGCAGAATTCTGGATGGTTTGCAGTTTGTGTAGTGAACAGCTGCAAAATCCAGCGAGGAGAGCGTTGGAATATTCGAGCCTGGAGGTGATGACTGTGTGGATAAGGGTCTCAGCAAACCACTAGTGAAGAGTTAATAGGCCGTGTTTGTGTTGTGGATAAAACCCAACAAAACTTAATTTTAGTACACAGATCAATTGCACAACTCAGAACTCCATCATTAGGTGGGAAATGTGCAGCCAAGAATGCCCTCATGGAAGATCTCCACTCCTTTCAGCAATGGGAGATTCACCATGAAAACCCTGTTCTAACAGTCAACCCAGCTTATTTTCAGTTTGAGGTTAATATTTAATAGTGCATATAAAATTATTCAATTAGGGAATACATCAATCTGAAGGGAATTCATACATCCAATTTGATGCATCTGTTTCCTGGAGTGGTTATTTCCTACCTCAAATGGTATGTAGTCTGCAGGCAGTTTCTCCAACATGTCATCAGCCAATCTTGCTACCATTGCTTCTCTGGTTTCTCCTCCCCCACTAGAACTGTCCTTGGGCTGAATGCTTAATATAGTGTCCAGAACATCCTTGGCAAGCTTACTCTGGTAGGTGATATCAGCATTGGTGTGCAAGCCAAACACTTCTGGAGTGTCATAAGTAGGAAGACTCTGCAATATATACAATTTTACATGGTTTATCTTGAAAAAATAAAGAACAAATCTAACACATTATTAGTGTATGAACCTAAGCTATTGGAGACACAGTATAAGAGAAAGCAGTGGAAAACTAAGGTGCCCGTTTTAGATATATAGGGAGAAAATTGTGACATGTTTTAATTATTACTTCAAAATCTGTTTAAGAAAGATTGTAATCTTCAATTCTACATGTGGTAACTCTATTGTTGAACTGAAAATACATATCTTTATATAGAAGATTCTCAGTATTGTATTCATACACACAATTATGAATGTCTTTTTTCTTTACCATTGTACAGCTGCTTTTCTGTCTTTATTAAATTCTGTCTGGTTTCAAGTCCAGGCAGGGCGAAACCTTGGGCAAGTTTCCTTACTCCACACGCCTAATAATAATCCCTCCAAAACAAAACAATAATAAATTGGTCATTTTCAATCCACAACTGTTTGTGGGTCACTGCTGTGTGCAATTGGCTGCCGCGTTTCGCCCACAAATATATGGTCAATTCACTTTACAGCATATTCTGTGAAGCGCTTTAAGACGTCAAGAAGATGTGAAAAGCGTTATATCAAATGCAAGAATTTTTATTATTATTATAAATAGATTTGAATAATAATAATCCTTGCATTTAAGTTAGCACCTTATTGTGTCATTGAGACGTCTCATACCGCTTCACAGACTATATTGTAAAGTGATTGTTTGTATATTTTGTGGGCAAAATGCAGAAGCCAATTGTGCACAGCCGTGTCCCACAAACAGTTATGGATTGAGTGCCCAATTTTTTTAATTTATTTTTTTAAAGTGATTATTATCCCCGGAAAGCAATCCGCCAATCGACTAACAACCGGTTTCCTACTTACTGCTAGGTAAAGAGACGTGTGTGGAGTAAGTAAGCTTGCCTAAGGTTTCGCCCTGCCCAGGAATCAATCCCGGGTCCTCACGCTTAAATATGTTTTAAAAACTCAACAAACATTATTTTCATAAAATGAATTGGTATTACATTGTATATGCAAGGAGATGATTCAGAAAAAAATGTTTCCCGACTTTATTGCAAGCCATTTACTCACACCCACATGCTGATTGTGGTCACACAAGGTTTTGAAGTGTTATTTTTTTACACAAACCTGAATATACTGCAGGTATTGATCCACTGATATACACTTGGGAATGTTGTAATCCTTGTAGAAGCAAAAGTCTGGAGCAAACATATTTTCACTGAACCAGACCTTAGCAAAAGTGTTCAGCAGTCGTTTGTCATAGTCATCTGTGACTCTGCCACCATACTGAATCTCGCCAATCATGTAACGCACAGTGGTCCAAGAAACACCCTTGTAACAGAAGATAAATGAGAACAGTAATGCTTACTTAGTATGTGACTTCATATTTTTGCTTGCAATGATAATGGAGATTATTAAACACTGAGCTACATTGATCCATTGTAATAACTGGCACTTGGGGTTAAAAATGCAATATTTGCAACAGGGGGAAGGGAGCAATGCAAAATGCAATGTGATTATTTCACAGATCACAGCGCAATATTGCCAAATATTGCAATGAAACTAGTTCAATTGTGTGACATCTATTCCCCTCGCCACCAACTTCAGCAGCTTTGGTAACCGTCATTGGGTTGTCATGACCACAAGGTTAATTTTGTATGTGCGGCTTCACAGGATACCAGTTTGACTCTTTCATTTAAACTGCTATCCAGTGAGGCTGAGACAGTGAACTCTGGGGGCGCCCAGAGGAGAATAGAGTCCAAACAACAGCTAGTTGATTATTAATCGACTTGTTTTGATTATCAACTCACAATGCACTTTTCACCCTACGATTCAAAAATGATTTATAAATACCAAATCTTGCCATAAAAACTAGACAGTTGCCATGCCAGACTGCACTTCCTATATAGATATATTTTATATAATATATAATTATTATTATTATATTTAAAATATTTTATTATATAAGCATTACTTATTATGTTTCAATTTACTCTTCAGTTTTGAAACAACCCTCTCAAAGAAAACATGCATAGCATTTTTATAACAATTTTATAACAATAAATTTATATAGCTCCTTTCATGTGGGGAGGACATCCCAAGGTGCTAAAAAGATAGGTTTTATATTGGTTTAATAAAATTTAATGTGGTGAAAACATATTAAAGGTCAGTAACCCATGAAGTAAGATTGTCTGGAACACTCATAATAATAAAATGATCTTTGGTGATATAGCACTTTTCACATTAGGAGGGTGCCTCTAAGCTCTTCCACATTGGCAAAATTTGTGGATAACAATATCCCATAAACAGCCATGAAACGAATGACCAATTTTATCTGGCGGACTGTTTGCCAGAACACTAGGAGAAACTCCCCTCGTCTTTTCAAATAGTTCCATGAGTTTTTTTAACGTCTACCTGAACAAGCTGACAAGATTTAATGTCTCATCCGAAGGATGGACGGATGAGGACATAAGGATTTAAACTGAGTGAGACAAAAGTCTGTCTCTTCTCTGAGCTCTATTATGGGTCAATAGTTGATTCCCAACTCTCCCCAGCCCTTGACACAAAATGATGAGTTAATTCAACAGTAAGAACCCCTGTGAGGGGTACCAATGTAAATATTCCTGATCATTAGAGGGTGTTGTACAATGGTCTACGCATATTTTAAAGGGCAAAGCTGTAATAACCTGCTGCATAAAAGGTCTTGAGCAATTTTGCTCAATCACTAAAGATTCCATTAGCCAGATCTGAGCAGTTATATCAACAATATAAAAGTGTAAAAGAAAACATCCCGGCTGTACCTTCTTGATGTTCATATCATCCAAGTGGTTCTGTACAAATTGCACTGTAGCATTAAAATCAGCCTGGTTAAACTCATATGGAATATTCCAACCAAGAGGACCAAACTTGCGCCGTTCTTGTACAGTAGAATGTAAAAAGGCAACTGCATAAAGCATCGGCTTCCACTGAGTCATATTACTAACATCCAACAGGTCCTGACTGATTCCTGTTGACACAAAGGGAGAAAATGTCAATGAACCAAAGACCACAGATTCTGACAGAGACAATAGAGTGATAGTGCACATTCTATCAGAGGGATTCACATATTGGGGATATTGGGGTCCATTGGAGCTCCTTTTGTGGTACAATTTCCCATTGTAAAGGCACAACAAAAAGATGGTTATATTAGAGCACTTGGTGTCTGATAGACCCCATTGTACAGCTTTACAGAGTGGCTGAAGGCCCGACCACCAATAAGAGGTTGCAGAGGTAAGGGGGAGCAAGGCCAACCTTCTTTTTTCTGTCCCCGGAAAAAGCTTCTCTTTGAGTCCCTCACAAATGCCTTCTCTTCCTCGGACCTCAACTCCCTCTGGCCCGCCACCCGCAGCGATCCTGATGCAGCCGTCAAGCTGCTGAATGACTGTCTCCACAACCTTCAAATCCCTGGCTCCCCTGAAATCCAGGGCTGTTTCCAAACCTACCCGTTCCCCCTGGTATAACAGTCATCTCCACTCACTAAAAACCCAATCCTGGACACTCGAACGCAGATGACAGAAATCCGGCCTCGCAATTCACCTCCAGCTGTGGCTTGAACACCTCCACACCTACTGCCTCTCCCTTTCACAGGCCAAAACTGACTTTTACTCTGAAGTCATCTTGGAGGCCAAAAACAACCCAAAGACGCTGTTTTTCACCATCCATCACCTCCTCCGTGCACCCTCTCAAGCCCCCTCTATGCTCACATCAAATGCTAAGTGTGAAGAATTCCTAAATTTCTTCACCTCAAAGATTGAAAACATCTGCTTGGCTGCATCGTCCTACCCCCATGACCCCTTCCACCCCACCCAGACCATCCACACCGCCTTCTCCCTCCGCCTTGGCTCCTGCTACACCCCCTTCCTTTACACTCCTTTGCCCCCATTTCTCCCTCCTCTCTCTCAATCAAAATCACTCACATGAAATTCATCACCTGCTGCCTCGACCCCCTCCCTACCCAGCTGCTGGTCACTCAACTCCCCCTCCTCTCCCCACTGCTGGCCGACATGGTCAACCAGTCTCTCTCCTGAGGCTCTGTTCCACTCTCCCTGAAAACTGCTGTCATCCCAACCCTCCTCAAAAAAAACATCCTCAATCCCTCTGATCTCTCACACTACCATCCCATCTCTAACCTACCCTTCCTTGCTGAAGTCCTGGAATGCATTGTTGCAGGTCAACTTAGGTCACATCTCTCCCTCCTCGAGCCCCTGCAGTCTGGTTTTTGCCCTGCCCACAGCACAGAGAGCACTTGTCAAAGTCATAAACGACATCCTCTCTATCTGTGACCAGGGCTCCCTCTGCCTCCTCGTCCTCCTGGATCTCTCTGCCGCATTCGACACAGTCGACAACGCCATCCTCCTCCACCGTCTCTCCTCCCTCATCTACCTTAGTGGGACCACACTCACATGGTTCGAGTCCTAATTAATCCTAATTAATCATCCTAATTCATCTCGGCGAATGGTTTCTCCTCCCGCCCCTGCCCAGTCACCTGCAGGCTAACCCAGGGCTCCATTCTTGGTCCTCTTCTTTTCCTCATCTACATGATCCCTCTGAGCAATGTCATCCGCAGGCACAGGGTAAACTTCCACACGTACACGGATGCCACACAAATCTACTTTACCTCCTCCAGTACCAACTCCAGGTTCGCCAATGTTCTATCAGCTTGTCTGGCAGACATCAATCAGATCCTGGATGAGTGCAATCTTCCTGCAGCTGAATATGGACAAGACAGAAGCCATACTCTTTGGCTCCCATCAACATCTTCATTCCTGTGGATCTGAACTCCTCAACTTCCCTGGGCTCTCCCTCAGACTCAACGAACCAGTGCGCAACCTAGGTGTCCAGTTCAACTCCCAGCTGTCCTTCCTCCCCCACATCCAGTCCCTGACCAGGACCACCTTCCTCCACCTCTGCCACATTGCCATTGTCTAACCGTACCTTATCCCAAATGCAGCAGAAATCCTTGTGCATGCATTTATCACCTCCGGCCTGGATTACTCAAACACAGTCCTCGCTGGTCTCCCCAGCTCCACTATTCAAAAAATCCAGCTCATTCAGAACTCTGCAGCCCACATACTGACCCGGACCAAACTCCGTACCCACATCTCACCAGTTCTGGCCAGGCTCCACATCACCGAACAGATTGACTTCCAAGGTCCTCACACTTGTGTTCAAATCCATTCACTCCCTGGCACCTCCCTACCTCTCCGACCTCCTCTCTCCCCAATCCACCACCTGGCACCTCCGCTTGACTAGCACCAGCATCTGCTCGTCCCTCTCACCCTCCATTGGAGGTCTACCATTGGAGGTCGCGCTTTCAGCCACTACGCTCCGAAGCTCCGGAACACTCTCCCTCAATCCCTCTGCCTTGCCCCTTCTCTCCCCTTTACATGTCCTCCCTGAAAACCTTCCTTTTCAATGGATCACCTCCAACCCCCCAGCTCGGAGTCAGGCTCTACCACCGTTAAGCACTCTGAGACGCTACCCTGCGTGGAGGGTGCTATATAAGTTGTTGTTGTTATGACTATCATCAATAATCATTATTATTATTGCTGACTTACCACAGAAGTTTCTTTTCAGACCTGCCTTTAGGCCCTGAGGAGGTTCATTGGTAAACTTGATTGACATCTGGAGAAGTGTAATGGGGAACAGCTTATGCACCTCCGTCGTCATCCACAGACGGAACGTCTCGTGGATATTCTCCGTTTCTGTAATGATGTCCATCAGTTCTTCCAAGAAATCGAGACCCAAATGACAATTCTGAAGCAGTGTCCATCCGCCCTGAAATAAAGAATTGTTAGTACAATTTGAAATACATGAAATGTAATTACTATCAAGTAATGGGAACTCTCCTCGGCCTTCCCGGCATCTCCCTCCATAAGCTGCAGGTCATTCAGAACTCTGCAGCTCGTGTACTGTCCCGCACCAGGCTTCGCGACCACATCACTCCCACCCTCGCTCGCCTCCACTGGCTCCCCATCCCCCAGAGGATCGAATTCAAGATCCTCACCCACAAGGCCATTCACGGCCTCGCTCCCTCCTACCTCTCCAACCTACTATCCCCCTACCTACCCGCCCGTACCCTCCGTTCCTCTGGCTCCGGTCTGCTCCACATCCCCCGCCCCAACCGCCCTACTATCGGTGGCCGGGCCTTCAGCCTCTCAGCCCCGAGGCTCTGGAACTCTATCCCCCAGTGCCTTCGCCGCCTCCTCCCTTTCCTCCTTCAAGGCCGGTCTCAAGACCTTTCTCTTTGACCGTGCCTTCAGCTCCCCTCTCGACTCTCTACCCCCTCCTCGCCCCCTCCCTTCCCTCCCCTCACCCTGACCATTTCCCCCCTGCTCGGGTCCTGACCCAACTGTACAGCGCCTTGGGACGTCCTCCTGACGTGAAAGGCGCTCAATAAATGGAATCTTGTTGGTGTTGTTGTTTTTGCAAGAACCAATAGCAGTCATTCTGCACACAAAAAAGTTCAACACAGTATAAGCTTTTTTTGATATACAGAATATCCTTTTTCTGAACAGTGTCATGAGATCTTAATGCCCACCTAGAGAACAGGCAGACAGGACCTCAAGTTATTTATTATTCATATTTGATATAGTACCTTGACTGTATACTCGTATTTGAAATTGCACCTTTCACATCAGGAAGATGATTCAAAGCATCTCATTTTAAAGTATAGCGACTGTATATTTAGTAGGGAGGGAACACAGCAGCCAATTTGCCCATACCAATGTCCACAAACAACTATGAAGTGGGGTATTGTTGGCAAGGAGACCAAGAGAAACTCCTTTCTCTTGACAAATAGTGCCGTGGGATCTTTAACATCGACAAAGCCAAGCACGATGCCGGTTAATGTTACAACCAAAGGACAGCATCTCCAACATTGCAGCACATCCACGGGCACCGCAAGTATCAACCTGGACTAGGAGCTGGAGTTACAATGTAGGGGTTGAACTCACAACACTGTGAATCAGAAACGAGTGTTACCAACTGAACCAAACTGACACAGTACAATGATGCCATAAATAAAATAAATAACTTGTCGGTGATGGATGTCGGGCAGCCTGTGAGTAATTCGCACTTCAGACACACAAATTACAGCTTCCTGGCACCTTCAGTATTTTCTCAGAACCTTTAAAGAGATTCTATACTTTCTCCACCAATTTTGCTGCTATTCAACTGACCTTTCTGGGATTGCTTGTGGTTTTACAGATATAAAACATTGAGTGCCCCAGGATCAAATAATAAATAAAATAAATAATCCTTGCATTTGGTTTAGCACCTTTCACTTTGGGAGGATATCCCAACGTGCCTCACAGGATTTATTGTGAATGTGGAATGACTGTGTATGTGAATCTGGAAATCAATTTCCTCACAGCAATATCCCCAAAATATCCTTGAAGTGAATAATCAATTTTATTTGGGGCAATGTCGGTCAGGATAGCAGGAAAATCTCTCTTCTCTTTTTGAAGAGTGCCATAAGATCTTTACATAAACAGGTAGATGGGATCTTGGTCTTTAACGTCTCATCTGAAGGATGACACATTTGTCTCTGCATCACCGGTCCGAGACTGCATTAGAGTGTCTTTTTAGATGATGCGAGTTTAAATTCGGACATGGAATTTGAACGCACAACCTTCTCACTCAGAAAGGAGCATCTACTGCTGCCATACAATAAGAGGCAAGCATACAAGCAATGCTGTTTTGGTTTTAATTTGTTTTAGAGGAGGACTGTTATTCCTTATGATGAACTGACAGCTAATTCATAGCCATTTCCTTACTTTAGTCATAGTTTGCTGGAGAAGCTTGCGAGCGTGAACCTCTTGTCCTTGCCCCATAGAGACGCAACGCGCTTCTATCTTGACTCTTTTGCCCAAAGCTATAATGGAATCCGTGGGATCAGAACCCATTGACAAAAAGCAAATTAGAGGAGTGCGTCGATCAGATTCCTCCCAGGTCTTTTCAACATCCAGGATGACTCCTTCTGCGTACTTTTCTCCCATTGCATCTATAACATATTTGCGAGCCTAAACAACAAACGACAAGAGGAAACATGGCTTTATTAAAAGCCTTCTCATGGAAATTAGTTTCAATTTCATCTTAAATAAGATTGCAGAGTTCCATTTATTGTCTAAATTAACCTTTTTAAATTATAATTTCCATCTCTCAGTACACACAGTACATTGATTTCTGCTCTGGTTACATGAAGGGGATTTATAACCACAGCTAATGAGTTACTAATTTTCACATATGCAATACAATCTGATTTACATTTATGTAGTGCCTTTCATGTCAGGAGGTTGTTGCAGATACTTCACGCTGGCTGGGCACCCGAGCTGGGGTGTAGAAGCCAAAGGGAATAGGGAAGGGAAAGATGACTGAAAGCATGATCTAAGAGCTATTCCTTGAGGCAGGCTTTGATAGTCATGGAGGGGGGGGTGGGGGAGGGAGAGAAAGGGATGGGAGAGTGGGCTGGAGTTCCAGTGAGAGAGGGGCTCTTACATGTTAGGAAGAAAAGAATTCCCAAGCCTAACTGAATAGGTCATCATTTTCCTTATAAACATTGCACTTTATTTTAGTTATAGTTGCACAGTTTCCAGAGATAATAACAATAATAACCCTCGTCGCTGATGCCTCAAAGCGATTCAAGGATATACTGCAAAGTATGACTGTATTTTTTTTTCAGTAGACGAACATGATCGCTTACTTGTGCTCAGCAATGTTCCAAATACAGCCATGGAGCAAATAACCAAGTTTATTTGTGACACTGGGGGCACTGGTATTAAAAAGTGACGTGGGGGGGGGGAAGAGAGGAAAGCACGATTATACAGTGACACTGGGACTAGTCGGAGTCTGGAAGTGAATTTTAACAGCTGTTGCAAAATCACATTCAGCTGAGCTGTGACTTGCTGATGGAGAATGAGGGTGCAGTACTCCACACACAGCAGACGACAGAATCAACAGTGCGACTCTTAAGGGAAAACATTTTAAACATATCAGTTATAACACTATAATAACTCAAATACAAATGCGAAGTGATCAATCCTGTTCCAATCTCAGCAATCCAGCAAGGCATTAGTGCCATGTGGTTACTTGTCTGATCTGTGGATTACATGTTGCCTTTTTTCTGGTCAGCCGGGTGTCTGACACGTGCAGAAAATAATAAAAATACTTACATTTGGCATAGCAAATTTTGGGGCAGGAGGATGTCTCAAAGCACTTCACAGGATATACTATAAAGTGTAGTGACTGTTTATTCTGTAGGCAAATGCTTCACAATGCTTATATTAATATCACCGCCATAGGAAACTACTGAGTGTCCCACGTATGTCCTAGAATGCAAAGTTCTCGTCCTCACTTTCAAGGCCCGCTAGGGCCTTGCCCCCTCATACATCTCTAACCTGCCCACTCCCTCTGCTCAGTAGGCTCCGACCTGCTCCAGGTCTCCCGCCCGACCCGCCCTACCATAGGCAGCCGGGCTTTCAGCTTCTCTGCCCCACTCTTTAGATAGATAATTATTTGGGGAGAACAAGTCTGCAGGGCTATGGGGAGAGATCAGGGAAGTGGGATTGAATTGGATAGCTCTTTTCAAAGAGCCGGAACAGACACGATGGGCTGAATGGCTTCCTTCTGTGCTATATAATTCTATGATTCTTTGGAACTCCATCTCACAAACCCTTTGCCTTGCTCCCTCTCTTGCCTCATTCAAGGCACGACTCAAGACCCTCCTTTTTGACCGTGCTTTCAGCCACTCTCCTACCCCCTCTGCCCTCCCTCACCCCAATCCTGACCCCCATGCTCAGGTCCTAATCCCTGACTCTTCAGCGTCTTGGAACGTTTTCCCAACCTGAAAGGCGCTTTCCAAATGTAATTTTGTTGTTGTATGTATGTATGGCTTTACCCTTTGTCTGATAATGAAGTGTCCAACCTTTACCCAAAGGGAAGTATCTTGCCTATCTAATCCTAGCGAGTTTAGGAACAGATTACCAAGAGACAGAATTTGGGAAACCCAGATTATGCATTCGGGCATAGGTGATGTTTACCCAGACATAAACTTACAGTTTACCACTGCATACACTGGCAAAATTCCTGCTGCTTGCCAGTCAGGACTGCCCTGCCCAATAAGGGTTTTGATTTGCATAGATAACAGAAGGAGAGGGGGAAGAATCCTAAAAGGGAAGGATTATACAGGGCAACATTAGTCTCAAAATGTGCTAGTTCTTGAGCCTGAAACCAATACATGTTCTGGAGAGTACCTGAGCAATGGTTCTGTCGGGACACCAGGATCTGATCAGGAGAAGACGTCGGAAGCAATCCAACGACTGGTCATAGGCATTCGGAACATCTTCCTCCTCAGGAGCCTCTTTATCAAACCAGATCTTCCATAGCTTTTCATTCCTCCCAATCTAGCCATGAATTCAACAGATAAATACACATTATCCTTGCACTTGGTAAAGGGATTTTGCACAACGGGAGGACATCTCAAAGTGCTTCACAGAACATATTGTAAAATGAATATACAACAAAACCCTGTTTTTTTGGACATCATGACTGCAGTCAATTTGCACACAGCAAAATGTAGGATTAGGCAAATAGGAAGAGTCAAAGTCACATAATGTATTCTGAGTCCCATTAAAACTACAGACATCAGTAAGACTAATTCATAAAAGAAATCCACAACAGTTAGATGAACTAATATGTCTTACAATCTATCAACAAGAAACACATGAGGAAATCTCAGCATAAGAATTTACATTTTTCTGTGTAACTTTCTCCAAGCGGCTCAGAGGGAATTAAAGTCAAGTGTTTTGATCGTTTTTGAAGGCAAACACAGGAGCCACTTGTAACAGCAAGTTTGTGGAAACAGCCATGAAGTGAATGAGTAATTAATCTGGAGGATTGTCAGAGTGAACACACTGAGAGAAGCTGCCTTCTATTTTCAAACAGTCTTTTGGGACCTTTTTCGCCCATCTGAACATAATCAGGGAGTTCAGTTTAATGTCTCAAATGGAAGGCTGAGCTTCTGACCGTGCAAAACTCCAACATGGGACTTGAACTCAAAACTGCCACAAAAGTATACTGGTATATGAAAATACAGCAGGCAACTTTGTGATAAACAAAAAAAGACCAATATCAGTGAGAAAGCTGATTTCTGCAAGCAGCCTCTTCTATATTCATTGATGGTCACCTGTGACTAATTTTATATTCAGTTCTTCTGCCTCGCTGATTTTGTTGTAATACACAAGCACATCAGGTTCTTTTGCTCATAAATGTGAAGGGAATCTTTGTTAAGCAAGCTGTCTTGTTTAATGGACTGTGATTGTATGGTCTGCAGTTTAATACATTTTCAGCATATTGGTGGTGAAATAGTGTATATTGTAAGCAGAAAATAATTTAAAGTGAAATCAAAAACCTGTTCATTTTTGGAGTTTTCTCTCACTCTATATAGTGAATTCATCACAGTAGTCTGAGCTATTGTCTGCCATTGATATTATGAAAATTTGTTCCAGTGTGCTTATAAATAACACAAATACAATTTGAACACATGGATCATGTATCTATGTACTATTATTTTTATATCTATCGTTTTCATTTCATTATTTTTATTATATACATATATTATATACATACAAATTATATATATTATTTATCCATATAAAAATACTTTTAGGGCTATTTATAAACTATTCTAGCTTCTTAATAAATAATAATAATATAATAAGCCTTGCATTTGATATAGTGCTTTTCATGTCTTCTAGACGTCTCAAAGCGCTTCACAAAATATACTATAAAGTGAATTGACTGTATATCTGTGGGAAAAATTTTATTTAATAAACTGTGGAAAACTGGATTCTATATTAATAATAATCCTTGCATTTTGATATAGCACCTCATCACGTTGTGTGGAATAAGGAAACTTGCCCAATGTTTCAACCTGTCTGGGAATCGAACCCAGGTCCTAAATTAACACTGAATTTAAGAATTTTCCAAAATTCTTTGTAGTCTTCAATTTTAAGACAAAGGTCTTTAGGCTAAGACCATGACAGATTTCAGACTTCTAAAATCTATTAACAATGTTCTACCTGATATTAACTGCATTACAGAAAGTTACCAGCTTTGAATACTTGCAGAGATTATTTGACTTACTTGATCTAAGACATCAGAGAATTGTCTGAGTTTGCTGAGTTCCACCAGGTTTAGCCAGGTCATGTCCAAGATCCATTTTGCAGGTTTAGGCGGACAGGCCTTAAAATCCAAAGAAGCACCTCCTGTGGTAACAACAACAACAACTTGAATTTATATAGCGCCCTCCACGCCGGACAGTGTCTGGTATGTACAATAGCATTATTATATAATTATTCATTATGTGCACTATGCTTTAAAGATTTACAATTTACAGACTTGAGGGCAAAGTTGTATTTCAGAGAGAAGTTACAACCTAATTTAGAGAAACCAATACAATGGCACTTTTGGAATGAGATGAAATTGTGAGCTAATATAATGTGTGAGAATGGGATATAGTTTGGAGATTGTGGTATGTTAAACATGTGTAAATGCATGTGTGAAAAAGAAATGACAGGTGTCCTCAATGATACAATTAACCAGTGAAAAGAATTACAAGTGATTCTATCACAAAAGTGAAAAAAATTACCAAAAGAAAACAGCAGAAAAACAGTTAAGTAGAAGCGAACTAAAATTGCTACGATATTCCAAATCAATAAAAGTTATTTTGTTTGATGGATTCTGTCCTGTACAGATGTTCTCTTGATTACATAAATCCAAGGAAAATAAATGTTCTGACCTTTGATGAGAGTGAGGAACTCTTGGTGTTTCAGTCTGTTACTTTGCATGTCAATCTTCAGGGTAAGGAGAAGGGTGAAGAGAAACTTGTGCTCCTCATAAAGCCCCCGAGCTGTGAACTTGTATACTTCGTACGTCATATGCTCTATGATGTTTGCTATCCTCTTACTAGTGATGGGACTTTTGACAGACCTGCAGAGACAAGTGCATGTATTCTGGTCAAGGAGCAGAGACAAGGCTTTTTAATCTATCTGTGCAGAAGTATGAAGTGTTAATTTGTAGCATTAATTCTCCACCTACAGAGAAAATATGGTTCTATATTTCCTGCTAGCATTATCTCAGTTGCTGACAATTGAAAGTAGTCTTTTATACTCGGTGTCAGCCTGGCTCAGCTAGTAGCACTCTCCCCTCAGTCAGAAGCTTGTGAGTTCATGGGCCCCTTAGGACATTGCAATCACAGTCTAGGTTGACACTCCATTGCAGCTTGGGGGAGGGCTCCAAGGTCAGAGGTATCATGCCTCATATGAGATGTAAAGCAAGCTCCTGTCTGCGTATTCAGGTGGACATAAATTCTCATGGCATTATTCAATAAAAGAAGGTGTTCTGGTGCCATGGCCAATTAATTTGGTCACTCACTTCATGGCTGCTCATGGGACTTCACTATGTGGAAATTGTCTACAGAGTTCACCTACAAATAATCAGCATGCTTTACAGAAAAGTCTGTAAAGGCCCCATTTGATGTGAAAGGCACCTTATAAAAATGCAAGCATTATTATTATCATTAGGACACTATATTGCAGAGACATGTGCACCAAGTGGAGTAATATATGGGAATCGTAAGCCTGTTGTGCTTTTCAAGCTGCTGCTGCCATCTTGGCACCAGGCAGTAATACAAGAGGAAATGAATGGGCACACATTATACTGACAGTTATGCAGGATCATTCACCCTCTATAATAAATAGTTAAAAGGTCTTAAAACAGTTGGCAATTTCTTACCAGGTCCTGCCTTAGGGACACAGTGGTACATATAGTTGAACTTATACTGACTGCAACTGGAAATGTTTCAACAGCTGTTTTCTCCAAAGGAATTTTACATTTACTCCCAGGTCTACAAATGGGTATCACTGAGGAAATTATGAAATACATTTGCAGATCTGGAGATGTAACATTAATGTTTTTATGGCTCCACTCTTCCTGACAGCGATACAATAAAATTCTGCCCAGACTTTGCTGGTTTGTTAATTTTATACATACCACCACACACCATGCAGCTCAATGCATTTGTCTCTCATAATATTTAGATTCCTACCCCAAAATTTACATTAACCCTCCAATGGTAGATCAGTAGTACAATAACCAGGCATTCAAAATGTATAAAGATTTAATTATTGGCTCCAAACATCTCAGATGTCACACTGTACAGATTAAAAGACGGGAGTGACTTTGTAACTAAATGGGGAGCTAAACTGCTGGTATAAAGCACACGACCATAAAAGCAATAATTGTATTTTGTTTAAAGTAGATTTGAAGGGGGGAATGCTGTGATTGATTTTTTTTAAAAAAAGGCCTCCTGATCATCAGGAAGAGATGAGAAACGTCGAAAATAAGATTGACCAAAAAATAGGGGAAATACCTAAATCAAGAATATAAGGATCCCAGAAGGCACCAGATGACAAGACCAGCCAACCAGACTGGAAGGTTAAAGAGGAAAAGAGTACAATTAGGTGCACATATATTAATGGTGAAACCTGAGGCCCTGGTGACAATGGGTAAGTACAATGTGGTAGGAATCACAGAGACATTTCTAAATCGGCTCACTACCCCGTGTTAAGGATGCTATATAAATGGAAGCTGTTGTTGTAAACCAGAATGATGGAAGTGAATATAACTTACAAGGATGGAGGCTATTCAGGAAAATGGAAGGTAAGCAAAAGGAAAAGTAGAGCAATTCTGTGGATGCAAAGGACCAAGGCACTATTCAGGGAGTGAAAGTAGTCATTTCACTGGGGTATAGTGAACTCAGCTCAATACCGTTCAGTTTGACTTGGGAAATGGCACAAACGGCAACAAAACTACAGTACAACTTCAGATGGGCAAACATCAAAGGTATAGGAGCTGAGTAAAGAGAAATCGATTGGGAGGCAATACACAAGGACAATATCAGTTCAGTAAATGGATATCAATTTAAAACTGATCAATTCAATATAATCATTGATAATAACAAATAAAAGACAAAAAGGAACGAAAATAAAGAACTTGCATTTTCCCGTTTCCTGTGAATACGGTCATGAGATCTTTCACATTTACCCGAAAAAGCTGATGAGATCCAAAACCCTCATTCAAAAGCTGAACAAGACGTTAAATCTCTGTTACACACTTCAGATTACATTTTAAAGATGAAAAGATGACGGTTCACTGCAGTAAAACTTAACAGACATCAACTAAAGCCAATGCTTTAACCACACATTCTGCTTTATGTGATTTTGAATATAAGGCAGGGTTTTCTTCATTAAAAAGTACCACTAAACTCTTGGTGCATTTGAGAACTGGTGGTGTTTTAGAACTGTAGTGAAGTTCCTGATTTTCCCTAAATCCTCTAAAGTCAACTCTTTAGATTTGAGTAACTACAGCATAAAGAAAATAAATGGTAAGTAGCATACTTCCTAAATACATATTAAGAAAAGAATTGGGGCACAAATTTTCAGAGTAAGAAACAAAAATGTCACGTTTACTGCAGCTTGAATATAGAGATCTATTTACAAAAAGCTGTTACCTGGCTAATGACAAGTCAAAGAGCCCCAGGAATTGACGCAGAGACGTTTGATACATAACGTTCACCATGCTCATTTCCGTGATCAAGAAATACAGGATACTCCCTCTGGTTGCAACTGTGGTAAACATAAATTCAAAAAAACTGAAGACAATTGCATGCATATTTCCCAAGAATTAAAAAAAGCTCACTGATTTTACTTAATCTAAACTATCTTGATCATATTGTTACTCACTGATTAACAAATAAAATTGTAGAAAAATGTTTTATCGATAAATGTTTTAAGTCTGATGTTGTGCAGGAACTTCCTGGAAAGTGGAATGTTGCTCTCCATGCCTGGATCACCACTACTAAGTGTAATTGTACCTTTTGGCTCAAAAGTGCTTGTCATTTTGTTTATTTTATACTTATTTTCCAAGGTTGATCTGCCAAGAAGGATGTGAAATACGCATTTCCAAAAATTTTTAGTTATCAAGTGGACTAGAATTGAGGCCTCTGGCCTGCTCAGCACAAAGTTCGCCTTTGTCCAGGAAGATTTTACTCTTTGTGATCTCCAGACATACAAATTTAAGATTATTGTCTTAAATTGTAAGATTGTAAGTAATTTTGATAAATTCAATTCATTGCTAATTGGAAGCCAGTTTTACATAGTTATCTTCTGAATCAAGTGGCTTTAGGAGAGAAGGATTGGACTTGATGGCTCACAACTCTGACCTGGGCGGTACTCTTCACGGGCAGTATTAATCTGTATCTCTGTCTCAGCAGCTGTCTGTAGTTTTTGTGTGACCTCCTCTGCCGTCTTCTTTGTGTTGCTCAGAACAGTGATAAGGCTTTCATCTTCAACAAGAGAGCCCTTTGTGCTGGTCAGACGATACAGCAGATTGTCTTCCAACTCCTTCATCTTCCTCTTGTTTGAGGTTACACCTTCCATCAGATCGGTTCGCTCCTTTTCCAGCTCCTGTGGTATTTTGACCCCACAAACAGCATACAATTAATGCGTTTACTTCAAACAACTTACTATATTTGTAGAACTGTTTATAACTCACAAGCAATAGTTGGGGAAACATATGATTGACGTGGTGAGAGACCGCATTGGATGTTGATGTGTAGCCCAGCAGTGCATAGCATCTTCAAACTCAGGCTCCTATTATAAGCTTGACTACACACTGCGGGTAACACAACCTCCATTCAGGTGAATGGAAGGGATGCATGATGACTTACCTGCTAATTACCCTCTCTCCCTGCAAACAAACATCTAAGGACCAAAATCGCTGTGGTCCCAGCCAAAAGACCATTGTCTTAAATTTAAGTTTGTGCAGATTTTTGGAAAATTCTTAAAGCCATTCTCAATTTGGAAGTCAGTTTTCTATATATGAAATGAGGAAAACTGTCATTCCAAATTGAAACACATTTTATGAATTTTCCTAAATTCTCCAGAATCTTGGTCTCTAATCTGAACTTTCTGCCTTAAGAACATAAGAAATGCTGGATGAAAAAAGACCAAGGACCATCTAATTCGCCTTCCACCTTCCTGGTGGTCGCTTGCACATATGTCCCAAACTACCTATGTACTATATCCCATAATGTTATTTTCTAAAAAAAACCAATCTAATCTGTGTTTGAAAGATTCAACACTTCCTGCTTCAACCGTCTCCTTCGGGAGCCTGTTCCACCTGCCTTCCTGTGTATGGTTCAAACCAGCTGAAGTTGGTGAACAATTGATGTTCACACTATTTGTTTGCTGATATGTGCAGCAGGAATAGACAATCTGAGCACATGGTGTGAGTCACCCACTAGACGAACGTGATGGGAAAAATTGGAAAAGCTCAATTGGGAATCTGTACCAGATTTTCTCATATCATACATAAGGATCCATTACTACCGATCAATAGAGACGTTTCTGCTAAATCCTTTCAATCTTTGTACAAACATCCCAGTGCCAAGCAGCACTGGGCAATCAAGCAAATGAACATCTCACTCTGAAGGCCATAAGTTGATAGATCAATTGGTAGTGAAGGCCCAACATTGCAATCAATACAGATTTTAAGGCTAGATCATGGGAAGCACTCGATTAAGGTCAGAATTCAAAGTCTCACAGGTCAAATCATTCCCTTTGTTCCTGCTCCTCACGCATGAATAAAACCATCAATAATACAAGATGTGAAGAGGTTATGTTATTTAATCTTTGATCACATGGCGAAAGTGCAGAAGTGCAAAGGAAACAAGCTTCAAAAATTAGACTCCCAGGTGTTACTATGGTAATTAGCTCAATTACAAAGGAACTGAAGAATTTATCAGAGAGAAGAGGATTGAAAGTTCTATGGTCAAGCATAGGCATAAACCAGAATGCGCCATAATAGGATAAGACAGACTTCCGAAGATAATTTAAATAGCAACGTAGCTGTTTTGAAAACCGTTTACACAGCAGTCTAGAGATTTCCCATACTCCTACCTGCTTTTCAGTCAGAATGACTCTCCCCAGTAACTGGTCCTCCAGCCCTTTCATAGTGACAGTGAAGTCAATGATGGAGGTCCGAGCACTGATCTCCGGTGTATATGCTGGGTTTGGAAGCTTTGTGGTAATGTATAGTCTAAATCTATTCATTACATCCACTTCTTTATCACCAACTTTCACCTATTGAAAGCAATGATTAGTTGAGCTAATGAGCAATGACTAGACAAACTAATGCTCTTCTTTCTTGAGAGGAGATAACAATACTTATATTTGATATAGCGTCCTTCGCATCGAGAGGACATCTCAAAGTGCTTCACAAGATATACTCCAAAATGTTGCAACTGTGCATTTTGTAGCGAAATGCCACAGCCAATTTGTCCCACATTGCCCACAAACAGCCATGAAGTGAATGACCAATTGTATTTGGGCAATTGTTGGCTAATACAAAGGGAGAGACTCACTGCACTTTTCAGATTGTTCAATGGGCTATTTAATATTCACCTGAACAAGTAGACATGACTTCGGTTTAACGTCTCATCCGAAGGATGTCCCCTCCAACAATGTAGGGCTCCCCCAACACTGTGCTGAAGTGTCAGTCTCGAGTCTAGACTATAATGAGTTCAAAGTTCTGATGTGAAGCTTCAACCCACAATTTTCTGACTCAGAGGCAAGAGTCCTATGATTAAGTCAGGCTGACACATCTGAGGTTTCTAAAATAATTATAAGTTTAAGATAGGATTGAGAAAGTAAACCAGGAATAACATTTTCAGGTGCAACAATGCAGTAGGTTTAGATTTGCACAGGTTACAACGAAGGGTGTTTGAGACCAGGACACTGGACTCATTTATAAAAACAGCTTGATGCTGTAATAGGAAAATGTATGGTTGGTATTCTGAAAGGATGAAATAAAATCTTCATACAAACCAATCTTATTATCTTGGGTTGGTAAAGAAATGATAAGTAAAATAAATCAGCAACTCTGAGTGAGTTGTCTCATGATCAGTTGAACTATCAAGGGATAGAAATTTTACGAGCTCAACTGAATTCTGACAATTTTGTAACTGCCTTAGAACTGCTATTATTGCAAACAGCCAAGCAGTTCTCACCATGCAATTCTTCCTTTTGATACTAAACATTTCATAGAGCATAGTTGCTTTAATAATATTTGGAGCTTGAAATTCCATGAAGCCATAGTTTTGAAGGTATTTTATCTTAAAATATACCTGTACAACAGTAGAACAGGTACAATAGGTTTTCTGGTGTACTTATAAAGAACCACCTTACAGATTAAGGCAGAATTTGAGAATTTTCCATAATTTTAGCTGGTTAGACTCCAGCAGTACACCAACGCATTCTCTTGGGTCCCCAAGCTTTGGCTCTTGCCTAATACTTTCTGGAATTAGGTAAGCAGGATGCATCCCTCCAGGGAGAGTGTGAATTCCATTCCAACAATCTATCTCTGGGATTTCCATGTGTATCTGGGATGCATGGAATTCTCAGCTTGGTTTGGATACTCTTAAGCATGATGATGAGTTTCTGCATCTGTTACACCCCAGATGATCAAAAAAAATCAAATTTTTAGGCTGACCACAGTGACTCTAATTAGCACTTTCCATCCCAAGAAATTATGCTAATCACCAACATCAGAATATTTTTGAAAAATTAAATCATACATACAAATACAGAGTACAAATAAAATCCAGAAGACTTGGGAAGAAAAACAGAGGCCAATGTACAATCAGCCACGGCTGAAAATCTAATATCCTATTAATACTGATGTGATATGCAAACAGTGCTGCAATGCTCCTGAAAATACATGCTGATTGAGGATATGGTTTCACTAAGACATTGATTCGCATGACTGCATGATCAATGTAGGTGGTGAAAATCGATTTGGTCTCTGCTCAGGTCTTCCATGAAGATGCCCCTTAAAAATACATTAGACTGTCCTTCACCCTTTTAATGTTATTAAACGGTCAGTCACTCATAATTCTTTATGGTCCACCGTACTTGGTCCCTCCTTCACTACCAACCTAATACACGCCTGACAACAATACTCCTCGCAATTGAGCCAGCCCCATTCAAGTTAGGTGACCTTCTCTAAGTGCTTCTCAGGATTTACTACAAAGTAAAGAGTTGGCCTCTTAACGTGAATGTCACCATACCACCTATTTTGTAGGCAAACACAGTAGCTGTGTCCCACGAATAGCCATGAAGTCAATGACCAATCAAGTGGGTGACCGGACACTTGGAGAACCTCCCTGGTGGAGACACAAGTTGCTTTAATTCTTCCCGTAAAATAAAAATAGGGACTGAAGTTTTTTTTCCTTAAATGTACGAGCTGTTACTTTACAGGCTGAAAGAATTCAATATTTGGAACATGAACTATCAAATTTAAGTCTGAGGAAGTAACATTTTGATTGATGAAAGTCTTATAAACACATTTGAATTTAATGTCCCAGGGAGAAAATATGGATTATGGTAACAGTAATATGGATCTGTTGTAATGCCTTTCACGTCAGGAGGACGTTTCAAAGTGCTTCAAGGGATTTACTGTAAAGTGTAGGGACTGCTTTTTTTGTAGACAAATGCACCCAGAAATTAATAAGAGCCCAAATCACTCAAGTGATTGGTCCACTGATTTAAATCTTTTGCAGATGTTGCACAACATTTGTAACTGTTGTATTGTGCGCTTCCACTCTATGGCTGCAAAAGACCAAACCAGCTTGAAACTTTTTTTGAAAAACCTTTTGACAGAAGATTCTGGATTGTATGGGATGCACATTCAGAATTAAATTTGGGGTTTGCCTTTCTGAATGAACATGTAAACCACTTTATATTAATGGCTTCAGTCATGCCAAATTAAGATCCTTGGCTCTCATTTAATTCTAATCATTAAGGACTCCCATAAAAAGGCAACAATGAGGTAGATGCCATTAAACTAATTTATGGAGATTCTTGTGCACTCAGGCTTTGCAATCCATCCTAAGCCTTGAGTGAGAACTGCTTCTTTTAAATTTCTTTCAAATCATTCAAGCTAGTAGATCCATCCTCGTGAATGTAAATCAAAAAGGCACCTTTAGCCTTTTCTGCCAAAAATACACCATTTTCCCAAGCTTACTGCTACCGGATTTAGTGCATTGAGGCTACACTGCCACTCATAGCAGCAGTTATCGGCTTCTGCCCATTCTCGGTATTTACTGTGGATGCTCTTGTGATGCTGTGCGAATGGAAATGGATGCTGTTCTGGTGCAATCGTGGTCCTCTACCTCACTGGGTTTCAGATCATGCTGAGATAGGATACTGCTGGAAACAGAGCTCAATAATAATAATAATAATTTGGTCACTCAATCCACGACTGTTTGTGGGACACTGCTGTATGCAGTTGGCTGCCGCGCTTCACCACAAAATATACAGTCAAATCACTTTACAATATATTCTGTGAAGCGCTTTGAGATGTCTGGAAGACGTGATAAGGCGCTGTACGAATTGCAAGGATTATTATCGGTAATCCTCTCCACACATTAACACATCACGTAAATACACACAGTTCACGCATAATAGGCCTCACAGTTCAGACTCCATGGGGAGTACAAGATTTGTTTTGATATAACCATACCATAATGAATAACCCCAACACATTCTAAATCGTACTGTCAAAAGGTTATTCCTAAATATTTTCCTGTTCAAACAATGTTCTATTCTGTTCAAATCACGGCATTCAATCACATTTTCGACCTTAACACCAAAAAATAAAAATACATAGAAAACCATAAACATCAGCAAATGACTGATCTTTATAGTATGGGTATATTGGGGAGGAAAATTTGGTGTTCATAAACCAGAAGGTCCTGATCCAATATAAACCTATTTTGCAAATGAAATTGCTTTTAATGAAAAGAAAAATATCCAATTCTGAAGGCAGGCAAAGAGTGTTTTGCTTCTGGCCATTTATTGGGCTTCTTTCAGGTCCTTCAACAAATGGAAGGAAATGGCCATTTCTTTAGGCAATGTGAAAAGTCTCTACATTATACAAAATGACATATTCCACTTGGTGAACATTATTTTGACCATTTCTGTGTCTTATCGCTTGAATTCCCACTCTCAAGCAATCTCTTTCGCAGGCTGTCCAATGCAAATGTCAGGGAGAGCTCATCTCTTTCCTAAAGACTTTGTCTGAATATTTAGTAACATCGTAACATTTTGAAACCCTTGCTGTTTGTGTTTTGCTTTCTGACCGTTTATTGGACTTCTTTCTGTAACTTCAACAAATGGAAAGAAAAGACCTCAGCAAAGTCCTGAATGCAAAACGTCTTTTGGGAATCATGATTTTCCTTAGTTTGTTGGCTTTTTGTTGTCTTCAGATCACTTGTGAAGATCTTCCTCTTTGACCATACCTGTGGTCACTTGTCCCCTCTCCCCAAGCTCCACCACTCTTGAGCACTCCGAGATGCAACCCTGTGCGAAGTGCGCTATATAAATGCAGGTTGTGGTACCAGAAGTAAATTTTGTAATCTGGGACTGTGACCTTGGCCCTATAATTTATTTTTAATCACATATTCAATAAATATTGTCCTAAAAAGCAACAAGTGACATTATTCAGAGTGAATTTACCTTGTATGTAGAACCTGTTTTAATGAAATTTTTCTCCAAGACATTGTCCAGGGCTGGGTCGAGCTCCTCACCAACATCCTCAATAAGCACTGGTCTGCCGAGTGACAGCCCATCCTCCAGGTGGTTCCTGAAGTATTTGTGATTTAAAGACGTGATCTAAGGAGACAACCATTAAAAGGTGGGTATATAGAATTCACTTTTCTATTTTTACCTGTCAATAACAACCGTATATTTTTAACCAACTCTAACATCAATTGCACCGGTCACTTATAGTCTGATACACATAGGAAAACAGGACAGGGGGAGGCCATTCACCCCATTGATCCTGTTCCACCAGTTTATCAGATCTTCACAGATCTTTTAATTCCAATATCCTGTCCTTCAGTCATATCTCTTAATACCTACTACCCAAGTCCCCATCTCTCCTTTAAATATCCCTCCCGAATCCAACTCTGCAGCTTTCTGGGACAGACATTCCACACTGTCACAACTCTCTTTGTGAAGAAATCCTTCTCCGCAGATTCCTTCAGCAGTTCTAACCATCTGGTTCTGATTTCATTCCTACGTGTAATATTCCATAGGGATGATACCTTGACTGGATGCAGGCAGTACTAGCCGGAAAAGTCTCCTGCCTGCATTCACGTGCACTCAGCCACTATGCCTCAAAGCTTTGGAACTCTATCCCTCAATCCGTCCGCTTTGCTCCTCCTTCCTCTCTTTTAGATCATGACTGAAGACCTTCCTCTTCGACCTTGCTTCTGGTCACCACCTCCCTCCCCCCAGCTTGCCGTCAGGCTCCACTACTGATAAATGCTCCGAGACGCTGCCCACGTGAAGGGTGCTACATAAATGCAAGTTGTTATTGTTTGTTGCCAGTCCTGAAGCTAACTTTCTGCAAAGTAATACAGCAACAGGCTCAGGCAGTGGTAAACCACTGGTCCATCTCCAATATTCACTTAACCTCTCCATAGATTCCTTCAGCACATCTGATCTAATAACCCTAAAATATTTTAATACAAGGAACTTAAGTTGTTGATTGTTTTTAAAACTCTTTAAAGTTCCTTATTCCACAAGGTCCTTGAAAGAGTTGTTGCTTCCCAGCTTCACTCCTTCTGCTCCTGCCACACCCTTTATGAATCTTTGACACTGTGGACTACTCTATCCTCCTCCACTGCCTCTCCTCTCATCTTTCACGGAACTATCCTTGAATGGTTCAGATCCTATCTCTCACACCGGCTCCACTTTGCTTCCACAACCAGCTTCTCCTCCAGCCCCCACACCGTCTTGTGCGGTGTTCCTCTGTCCTTGGTCCTCTCATCTTCAACCTGTACATGCTCCCTCTTGGTAACATCATCCGCAGACATGGGGTCAACTTCCACATGACATGACACCCAACTCTTCTCTGCCTCCACCAACGACTCCAAAACCACTGATGTCCTGACAGACTGTCTGCCAGATATCAAGTCTTGGATGAGAGCCAACTTTCTACATTTGAATGTCAGCAAGACCGAGGCTCTCCAGATTGTCTCGCGCCAGCGCCTCCGCAACTCAGGCACTGGTAGCATCAGCAAACAAGGATGCACGCTTCACCTCACCAAGCCAGTCAGGAACCTAGGCGTCTTGTTTGACCCTCAACTGTCCTTTCTCCCCCACATCTGTGCCATGACTCGCTTTGCCTTCCCCAGCTCCGCAACGTTGCCCGACTCTGCCACTGCCCCACCCCTCAGGCTGCCGAAACCCTCATACATGCCTTCATTACAACCAGTCTCGACTATGCCAATGCCCTGCTTGTCGGCCTTCCCAACTCTTCCCTCCACAAGTTGCAGCTCATCCAGAACTCTGCAGCTTGTGTGCTCTCCCACATCAGGCTCTGTGACCTCATCACCTCCACCCTTGCCCAGTTCCACTGGCTCCCCATCTCTCAGAGGATCGAGTTCAAAATCCTTGTCCTCACTTTCAAGACCCTCCACGGCCATGTCTGCTCCTACCTCTCTGACTTGCTAACCCCTTATCAACCTGTCCACTCACTCCACTCAGCAGGCTCCGGGCTGCTCCATGTCCTTCTCTCGGCCCGGCCCACCATTGGCAGTTGAGCATTCAGCCGCCTCTCTGCCCCACCCTCTGGAACTCCATCCCACATTCCCTTTGCCTCGTTTCCTCCCCTGCCTCCTTCAGAGCACGCCTCAAGACCCTCCTCTTTGACCCTGCCTTCGGCCACCCTCCTACCCTCTCTGCCCTCCACCCTCCCTGATCCCAATCCCACACCCCAGCTTGGATCCTAATCCCTAATCCCGGACTGTTCTGTGCCTTGGCACGTCCTCCCAATGTGAAAGGCGCTTTACAAATGTAATTTTAGATTTGTATTTAAGAGGGCAACAGAGGAATGTAAGACAAGGGAATAGGAATGGTGGGGGTTATGTGGAGTATGGACTAGTTGAACTGAATGGCCTGTTTCCATGTAATATCATTCAATGGAACTATGTAACACCTTGTTATTGGTTCACTGTATACAGAAGTTAGAGTTACTAGCACATCAATTAACACTATGGAGCCCACCAGAGAGTAGAGAATAATGATTAAGCTGAGAATACCTGGAGTTCCTTCTTCGCCTCTTTGTTTTTTATCCATATCTTGCCCTGATTTTGTGGATCAATCAGCAAAGGGTACCGAGCTGCTTTGGTAACAATGATTCCATTCTGTATCGACAGCTCATCGTTCGGTAAGCCTTGCAGGTTCCATTCACCAATTGTCGGGACGTCAATTAACATTTCTGTGAGGTTCAGGTTATTGGCAAAGGGAATTTTACGTGTTTTCATTTCCTTTTGCCAGTCTCTCAGCAACAAATTACGGAACTCCTGGTTGAAGGGGCCTGAATATGACAGGAAAGCGGTGGCTAACAACACATCACCTGAAACAGAAAGTCAAAACCAGCAGAGCGTCAACATTGCAATACCACACTCACATTTACACAGCACAGTGACAAGCACCTGATGGGTAAAACTTCTTACAGGACAAGGAATAATGAGACTGCTCCATAGTCATTGAATTAGATTACAGTCCAACATGTTCAAGCAACTACCTCCATTCGGCAACAACCACCCTGGACAGCCTGGTTCACACACCAACAAACTCTTAGTCAGAGGCCACCCTTATATAAAGGCTACTTTGGCCAGTCCAAGTGGTGATAAAGACAGGTTTTATTATATGTGACTGCCTGTGAATCAAGTTAAAACTCAGCAACACACAAGTGGTGTAATGGGAAAAAACCCTAAGGATATTATAAATTGCACAAAGATATGATCAAGCAGCTGTAAACAAACAATAACTATTAATAATAACAATTCTATTCATTCATTATGAAATTACATTGATAATCTAGTAGAGATTTACTGAATCATTCTGCTCGACAATAACTCTTGATGGGTTCCACAAGAGCAAAGTTATCTGTGATGCTGGAAACATTAATTGCACATTGTGTGTCTGCCCAACTCAGCTGCCCAACTCTGCCCAACCCTTGCCTCTAAGTCATAAAGTTGTGGGTTCAATCTCCACATTGGAACTTTGAAGTCAGTTTATGCTGACATCCAAATGCAGTCCTGAGTTGTGTGTTCGATTGTTGGTGATGAGATGTTAAACTGAAATCCTGCCTACCTTTTCAAGTAAAACAGCAGCTTTTTGTGGGACACTGCTGTATGCAAATTGGCTGCCATGTTCGTCTAGAAGTTACACAGTCACTACACTTCACGTGAAATCATATAATAAATAATAATCCTTGCATTTGATATAGTGCTTTACACGTCTTCTAGACGTCTCAAAGCGCCTCACAGAATATACTGTAAAGTGAATTTACTGTATATTTGTGTGCAAAACGAATACGAATATGAAGCACTTTGGTATGTATTCCTAACATAAAAGGCATTACATCAAATGCAAGGATTATTAGTACTATTGTCTCTGACGAAAGGTCATCGACCTGAAACGCTATCGCACTTTCGTCTCTCCATAGATGCTGCCTGACCTGCTGAGTGTTCCCAGCGACTTCTGTTTTAATTTCATTTTTGCAGCATCTGCAGTATTTTGCCTTTTACCCACCTACAAGACGTTTGGTTTGTGCTGAAAATTCCTTGCTCTGTTCAGTCCATCGTTCCTTTTCACCTGCCAGCCCACTGATCAGGGAGGATGCAGTCTGCATCTTGTGTCGGCAGCGCTCAGCATCTTCCAGCAGTGTCTGAGAACAAGAAACCCAGAAGCTTCTGAACAACAGCAGCATGTATAATAATAAAAATAATAATCATGCATCATAGTGTATCATGAATTTTCACACTTAAAGACCTGGTGAAACAAGGCAGTGATCCTTGGAGCACTTAGTTATAGATAGTTGATTGTTCTTTTAATAATAATCCTTACATTTGGTAGAGCATCTTTCATGTCAGGAGGACCTCCCAAAACACTTCACAGGATATACTGCAAATTATAGCAACTGTGTATTTTGTGAGTGAATGTGGCAGCCATTTTGCACACAGCAATGTCCCACAAAGAGCCACAAAGTGAATGACAAATTTTATTTTGAGAAACATTAGCCAGGACACAGATGCCACAGGGTCTTTAATCCACCTGAAGATGAAGACATGGCCTCAGTTTAACGTCGCATCCAAAAGACAACGCACTGCCTTATGAATTCCAAATTCCGACATGGCACTTGAACCCACAATTCTGACTCAAAGGTGCGAGTGAGCCAGTCAGGCTGGCCCACAGAGTAACATTCCCCATTGCAGGATCCTGTGAGCAGCTTCAGATACTACTTCTTTGCTTGCTCCAAATCCAAGGGGACAGGCAATATTTTTTGAAAATATCCTATAATAATGTATTAATAATCTTTTCATTTGATATAGTGCCTTATCACGTCATTGAGACGTCTCAAAGCACTTCACAGAATATATTGTAAAGTGGATTGACTGTATATTTTGTGGGCAAAAGGCGGCCAATTATTGTTTGTGAAACAGAACAGAAAGTCTCCTGCAGATCCATCCATTGTCCCAACGCTGTCTAGACATGAAACAAGTCAATAATTATTGACTGAAACTCCGTTGTTTAGTGACAGATTCAATGTGAAAATTAAAGCACTGAATCTGTAACAAAGCATCACAAAGCACAAATATATGCATCTCCATTAGCAGGTACTTCTTCTGCAAGACTCTGTCTGAAGAGAAGGGGATTGAGCAGAAGGGCATAAATAAATAAATGCACAACAAATGTATTTATTTTGGTCAACTGGGTAAAAGAGAATTAGATTTCCAAAATAAATTTGGAAATAACTGGAAAGAAGCTTACTCTAAGTAAATCCTGGGCTACAATGACAATAATCAGGTGCTGTGGCAGGTAAGGCAAAGGAGCGAGGAGGGTGCACAGAGACTTTTTAGACAATTAAATTAAGATGCTAGGAAGCAGAAAATTATAGTGAATATGCTTCTGTTAACATGGTGACGCAGCCTACATGTGTCTACTTGTGTTGTCTCAGGTCGGGCGAGGGTTTATTTTCCGTAATTATTCTCCAGTTGTTTTCTTGGTTAAATTTATTGTTTGTGCGTCAGTCATTTTTTATTATTTATGGTTTCTGTCATCCTAAAATCAAGAGACACCTATAACAGTGGAGCAAGTATCATGGCTATCAGCTTCATATAGCATTTATAAAATGCAAGAATTTCTCTTTCCCCCAATCTCCATCCCACTTCTGTCTCATATAATTATAGCACCTCTTCTCAACTGAAACAGTGTGCATGTAATTGTGAAACAAAGTGGTTTGTTGGGTGATAATTGGTTAATACTCACTTGTTTCTCCATTATGGCCTTCTCGTATGCTGCCTGTACAACATCCAGCTCTGCCTGTTTGTCATCCAGCTCTGCCTGTGCTTTTTGGAGATCTAACATGGCTATCTCCAGGCGGTTTTCTTGAATTACCAAATTCGCCTGAAAGAAACAGAATATAATAATCTTTGCATCTGGTATAATGTGTTATCAAGATATCTGAAAGTGCTTTATAGGATTTTACAGTAAGTGACTGTGTATTTTGAAGGTAAATGCAGCAACCAATTAGAAATGGTTGAAAGGTCTGACAAAAGGTCATCAACCTAAAACATTAACTAATTTTCCTCTCTCTATAGATGCTGCCTGACCTGCTGCGTGTTCCCAGCGACTTCTGTTGTTATTAACCAATTAGAAATGTTGGAAAATCAACAAAGGTTACTTTTTACAGTCTTAGCTATAAAATAATATCGCACTTGTTGTTATGCATTGATCAGTCAAATGCTTTCACATTACTGTACCTTTAATGGCAACACTTCCTTGTTAATGGAAAAGAATGAAGCCATAGCCTTGGTCCACGAACAGAGTCCTGCCACGTTGCCACAGACTCTCTTGGCTGTTTCAATGTTGTAGTCCGGCATTTCAAAGTAAGGCTGGAGCAAATCCACAACCTCCTCGTTTATTGAGTCTTTAGGAAATTGCTAGGACAGTAAAATAATGTGGTTAATGTGCCTGGAACTCTTCTTGTGCCAGTTTTTAATTCACTTGTAAATGCAGTTGCTTTTTTTAAATCCAACAACACAATGTAAATTAATCTAAAAATATGATTGGTTGCAGCAAAAAATATTGTTCAATCATCTTTCCATTGTGCCTGTTGTACCTCGGTTTGATTTGTTACTCAGCACAATTTGGTCTCTTCGTCCTATTTCAATTGGCTTGTTTCTTCATTCTCCTGCAGTTGTTCCACAGCCCATGTCCATTATTATCATTGGTTACGGAGAATAACCAGATCCTTGTGCCTTCTTAGGAAGCAAACAGCCCTTGGGACATTCTCTAATGTGTAATGTACTGTATAAATGTAAATTTGTTGTTATTGCAAACTTGTCTGGTGTGCATTTAAACACCAATAAGTCCCAGTGGGGAAAGGAATGAGTTGGCTAGCATGGTTTACATCTCTCCCGGAATAGCACCAGTAGCTGTTAATGATTTTCCTATTGATTAAGAGATCATCAAGACAGCTTTAATAAAGAGCTCAATATCTGGAGCTAAAAAATGTCAACAACAAAACTTTAATTTTATCGTTTCTGGGAATGAACAAGCTGCATTATGATGGTCATTTATTACATCATAAATGTGCCTATGGGAAAATTTTAATTGATGCTGTATACATTTTGTAATAAACCACGTTTGTTGAACACATGAACATAACAGCTGCAATTTAGAATTAATGGTGTAAAGAACTCAATTTATGATGTTGGCTAGCTACATGACTCACTTATCAAATCAGCCCCAGGAATTATACACCCTGTCATCTCAGTAAATTCACTTTACATATTTCAACATTTTACTTACTCCAAGCAACCATTCCTCTTCAGAGGAGCAACAATATAGTTCAGTAACTGAACGGTGTACATTTAAATGAAGACAATGAGAACAAAAAAATCATGCATTTCTTAAAAGTTTGTAACCATAGAAATGATCTCTTTTTCTAGCCATCTAGAAAAATGTGGACATTTAGACATCCCATTGTATTTTAGACTGCTCAACAACTTGTACCCAGTATCACTGGGACACCCAGAGGCCCATAACACATTCTTGTCTCACTCACGTGCACAAGGCGTGTCACAGTGAAGCTGAAGTGGGGAACATCATTATTATTAGTAGTAGTAGTAGTAGTATTATACCACATAATTGGCAAAAAGCAGAAGCAAAAATGCTGGAAAACTGATCCTTCAACTACCTGGAGATTTGCCAAAAAGTTTCCTGCGGTCATTAGCTTCAGTGATTCTTGCCAGGAAGGTGTGGGGCAATTCTTCTCAGCATCGAATTTCACAGTGTTCACTCTCCTCTGGAAAAGCAGTAGTACGCAGTCCATGATTCGCATGATGAGGTGAGGTGGCCTGCCCAGGGTGCGGACAGTTGCAATATCGGAAGGCTTAATGGTCTGTAGGAAAAAAGGGGTGGGGGGGGGGAGGAGGAGGTAAGTAAAGGAAGTGTATGCCTTATGACCTCTCTTTTCGACCATGCTTTCGCCCCCTCCCCCACCACCCCCTCATCAGCGGCACCAAATCATTATGGTCATACACTTAGAACCATTTCCTTCAAATTTAAAACTGTGCAGAATTTTGGAAGAGTTTTAATTTCAATCCCAATCTGGAAACCGTTTTTTATTGTTCCTTATTGGTACTGCTGGGGAAAACTGGCTCCCAATTTAATCTAATAGTTTTCTAAAATTCTGCAAATCCTACATTTTAAAACAAAATAGTCTTTAGGCTAAGACTACATTTTCCAAGTCTCTGGATATTTTAGTTTAAACTAGAAATTATCTAAACATTTATTTAGAGAATTAGGATAGTCACAACTTTCCTAGTTGAACTAAAAACTAAATTAATATTGACTATTTTTCATCTTGCTGTACACAGCTTTCATTGTTCTCTTTGTGGCTTCTTTCAACTTTTCTTTTAATCAGTTTATGCCATTGGGGCAAACTATTTTTCTAATACTTCATTTTTTCAATTCACGAAAACCAAGGGATCCTTGGTAACAAGTCTTAAATAAACTACTGATGAGTTTCTCTCAAGTTTTTCAAAATTAAAGTTTCTAAATCATGTTGTCAACTCTGCTAAAAAAGTGGGTTTCCACAGTATATTCGTGCTATAAACAGAATTGCGCTATATTAGGCCCCGTTATAACAGGTTCTGACTGCAGTTAACTAACAGTCCACCCAGATCCCTTAAATAACAGAAAATATGGAAATGTTGCTCAAAAAATTTATCCTACTGATGGAGAGGTAGGTACATGTAACCATCAGTATCATAGAAATTCCAGCATAGGGTGAGACCATTCAGTCAATTGAGCCTATGCTTGTGCTAGCTCATCCAACTGCTCCGATCCCAATTCCCTGCTCTTTTCCTGAACTTTTTATTTCTTCCAGTTCAAATGTTTATCCAATTCCCTTTTAAATGTTGGTAGGATCTCAACCTCAGTAGCCATTTTGGGTCAACAAATTGCATAGTTCAGTGGTATTTATAAGATCCATAAAACAGAGTATTTATTTGCTGGGTTCAGAAAATCTATCTGCCATCACAAAACCAAATACTCGCCTGAAGAGCTGCCTCGGCTTCCTCTAGTGCGGGTTTTGCAGCCTCCAGTTTCTCTTCAGCAATGGCCTTGTCTGCTGATATACTGTCAACAATGGCCTGAGCCTTGTCCTTCACCTTCTGAACCTCTATCTTTACCTTTTCAGCTGCTTGAGCCTTCACAGTCACTTCTTTCAGCACCTGAAAACCAGAATTAAAAGCCACATGAAATAGGATTTTTATCTAACTATTTTGAAGTTGAACACTAAACTTAAATCCAATCTCAGAAATCATCATCTGACTGGACATCACAACAAGAGAGCACACATTCAAGTTTGCAGAAGGCAATTTCAGGATGTATGATGGGATGTATTTCTTTATCAATACGGTAATTAATGTCAGGAACAGATTACCAGGAAGGATGGTTGAGGACATGATAATGGACTTGTTTAAAAAACAGCTTGTTGTTAATAATGGATGAAAATAAGGTGGGTATTCTTGAAGACTGAGATCAAATTGGCCAAATAATTTTCTTTATCCAAATCTCTGATTTTTGTCAGCACTTCATCCAAGAAACGATGGAGTTTTTTTTAATGTCCAAAAGCTGTTAGCAAACATCACAGCCAAACTAAATCCCATCCTCATGTGAAATACACCGATCCTGTAGGGATTCCTGGACAGTGATCAGGAGAGTGCCCAAACCTCAACTTCCTAAAGTAAGGAGTTTCTGATGACAATTGCATTGCCTTTACTGAGATCAGCTAACTCAGCACAGTGGGATGCCCATTCTCATTAACATACAATGGCCGCCTACATGAAGCAAAAGATAGAACGTGTATATGCCATCACGTGGCTGGTCTGATGGAAGACTCCCAATTGCTGGTGGATGATTATTGCTGCTGTCTTCAAATCATTCAAATATCATTCAAATCATTCAAATATCCTACAGCAATATTACGGGCAGAGGAGGGAGGAAGAGGATCAGATTGCAGGCAATCTAATCAGCCTATTTATGGATCCATTCAATAATGAGTACCAGAGTGAAGAATCCTCGCAGAATGTTATTGTACAGAAACAAGCGAATCAGTCCATCAAATCTGAAAAAAAAATTCTCCACATCTAACCCCATTCTCCTGCTTTCTCCTGTTAATTGTTTCATTTATTTTCAAACATCTAAGTCATTTTAATAGAATTCATGGATTCTGCCACAATAAAATGACCAATATATCTGATTTTGTCCATTAGAAACAGATATTATCAAAGTCCCTGCACTTTGTGGCAAGTTGTCCCTTTAATAATCAGAATAGAGGTCCTAAGACTCAGATAATGAAATGACCTCAGTGGTAGCAACTATTTTTTAAAGATAAGTCTTAAACATATTATGATATTTTTTCAGATAATAGGATAGCTGAAAAATAAAATTTTTTGGTCATGCTGTACAAACCCACTATTATTCATGCTGCACTCCCTCTTCTGAACTGACATTCTGAACATCTGTGATCAGGGCTCCCTCTGCCTCCTTGTCCTCCTCGACCTCTCTGCCACCTTCAACATTGTTGACCACTCCATCCTCATACACCACCTTTCCGCTTTACTCAATCTTCACAGGACTGCCCTTGCCTGGTTCGATTCCTATCTCTCTCAGCGTCTCCACTTTGTTGCCTCTAACGGTTTCTCCTCCAGTCCCCGCACTGTCACGTCTGGCATCCCCCAGGGCTCTGTCCTTGGCCCTCTCCTCTTTAATATCTACATGCTCCCCCTTGGTGACATCATCCGCAGACATGGGGTCATCTTCCATATGCTGCTCTGCCTTCCCTCACCTCAGTAACATCGCCCGACTCCGCCACTACCTCACGCCTCAGGCCGCTGAAACACTTGTTCACGCCTTCATCACCTCCAGGCTCAACTATGCAAATGCCCTGCTTGTCGGCCTTCCCAACTCCTCCCTCCACAGGCTGCAGATAATCCAGAACTCTGCAGCCCGTGTCCTCTCCTGCACCAAACTCCGTGACCCCATCTCCCCCACTCTCGCCCGACTCCATTGGCTTTCTATCCTTCAGAGGATCCAGTTCAAGATCCTGGTCCACACATAAAAAGCCCTCCATGGCCTCGCCCCACCCTACCTCTGCGACCTCCTAATCGCTTACCAACCCACCATTCCCTCCGCTCAGCCGGCTCTGGCCTGTTCCACGTCCCCCGACCCACCCACCCCACTATTGGTGGGAGAGCCTTCAGCCACTCTGCCCCCAACCTCTGAAATTCCATCCCCCAATCACTCTGCCTCGCCCCCTCCTTAGCCTCTTCAAGTCCTGCCTCAAGACCCTCCTCTTCGACCATGCCATCGGCCACCCCCCTTCCCCTCCCCTCCCCCCCCAACCCCAGCTCGGGTCTGAAATGCTGTACTCTGTCCAGCGCCTTGGGACGTCCTCCCATCGTGAAAGGCACTATACAAATGTAATCTTGTTATTGTTGTTGTTGTTCTGCTGAATTTGGTATTTTTCCCATGACAATAATAATATTTGCATTTGGTATAGCACCTTATGATGTTGGAAGCACGTCTCAAAGTATTTCATAACATTTACTGTGAAATTGAGTGATTGTTTAATTGTAGGCAAACATGGCAGCACAACTGCGCACAGCAACGTCCCACAAACAGCAATGGATCGAGTGAATGACCATTTTTATTTGGCAGATTATTGGCCAAGGCATCAAGATTGAGAAACTCACTTCACTTTTCAAATAATGCCATGGGATCTTTAACGTCCATCTAAACAGATAGACGAGACCTCGGTTTACAAAGGAACATAACCAAAGTCACTTAATATAACTTTATATTAAAAGCAAGGATTGTTATTACTGTGGTGAGCAATTCTAAAAAATTTATTAAATTCACATTAACTTATAAAAAACAGAAAAGAAATTGATAAAGAGAAGTGAAAAATGTAACATTCAATGTTAAAATCAGCATTGCCTGAACTCACCCTTAGTTAATAACAACTCCATCAAAATTGACTTTCCCTGATGTCTCAGAGGTTTCATTGGCAGGTGCTCACACATTCTTTAAAAAAATCATTCTTTAGAGCCCCCTCCAAAAAAGGCAGCCAGGAACTTGGTTTAATGTCTCATCCGAAGGACGGCACCTCCGACATTGTAACACTTGGAACTTGAACACACAATCTTCTGACTCAGAGGCAAGAGTGCTACAACTGAGCCAGACTGTCTAGAAGTAATACACTGGAAAAATGCTCACCATGTCAGCCTTCTCATTGGCAACCTGTAGTTCCCTCTCCTTCACCTCCAGCTCTTTACTGAGAGCTGCCACTGATTCCGAAGCCTCCTTCAGCTTCTCCAGACCAGTGTTCATTCTACAGTACAAAAAACAAACAGCAGTACAGCCAAGCCGCAAACACTTCTCAGAAGTGCCTCCTTTCAGGACTTTTTTATTTTGAAAAACATGAACAAACTAAGAAAACAATTCAAGAGTTACACACTCACACCTGAAAATGTTTGTGTTGCTTTGAGTTTTACTATAAGGCTATTCTACAGAAGAAATATAATTATCCACACTAACTGGGACCAGTCCCATTATGGATAAGCAAACTGTGCAGATAATTGGATATCACGCAAAATACAAATTGACACCAGAGAATGACACCAGAGTTAACTAAAAAATTATTGCACCAGGAGTTATACAGTCACTGTAGTGCCTCACTGTGCCAGGCCTTCTTCCTGACATTCTTTCTCTCATAGCCCCCTTCTTCCTCTCTTATTTTGCCTCTCTCTCTACCTTTCTCTATGACCATCTCGATCTGTCACTGTAACCCTACCTTGTATACTTACTTTTATGCTATCGGAAAACAAAGTTATTTGCCTGCTGTGAAGTTGTGTGCAAAGTAGTGAAACATTTTACAGAACACCACTAAATTGTGCCCCTAGAAATTGTGTGTGCATTACACAGGCTCGCATTCCAGAACCCAATATAGATAGGTGGAGATGGAGATAATTGGTGTGCACATAACCAGTATATAACTGTATATAAAATAAAACTTTCCATGTCTACTTCCTATTCATTCTTCCCTCAAGTAACCAAGGCAACTGACAAGCATAAGAGAAATCGAGTGTGAATGTTAGATGAAACTAGGATTCAAATATGAATCTCCAAGAAAAGTTATTTCATTTCGGTCGAGAAATTCTACTCTATTAAATACTGACCTGTTGGCCATTGTTTGAACCTCAGAGTGTTTCTCTTTGTAGATGGCCTTATATCCCTGGATGAACGAGAGATAGGATTTAGGCGTCACGTGGGTAGATCGACGGTATCTCTGGAAATAATCCACACATTTCTCCGCCACTCCATCCTGGAAGGAACCCATACACTGAACCACCTCTCTCTTCACCTCTGTGGTGCAGTCAATGTCGTAAGACGATAGGAAATGCTCAGACACTGTTAAAAAAAAAGGCACAAATTTGTCATCTACATACACAGTCTTTTGAAAAAGTTCTAGTTGAAAATAGTCCTTGCATTTCATGTTGTGCCTTTCATGTCAGGAGGACGTCTCAAAGCACTTCACAGTAGACCGTGTGTTTTGTAAGCAATTGAAATGATCCTTTAAGAAATTAAAGAGAATTGAATAAGTAAACTGCATGTTTTAATATTTGCCAGTTTCACATTGAGAATTGGCTCAGTGGTGTAAGTGGAGAGTGAGGCGATGGGAAATCAAAGATCCGAAATTCCTCAGAGCCTTAGCCATAAGGTCAAAATTTTAAACACTTAAGATTGTGCAGAATGTTGGAAAATTCTTAAATTCAAGTCTTAATTTGGAAGTAATTTTTTAAGGATATCATTCAATGTTAGCCTGGCTCAGTTGGTAATACAGTGCTGGGAGCATCATCCTTTGGATGAAACAGAGGTCCCATCTGCCTGTTCAAGTGGACATGAAAGATTCCACGGAACTACTCGAAAAGAGAAGGGAGTTTCTCATGGCCAAAAATCGCCCAAATTGCGTATTCATTTCACTTCCATTTGTGGGGCATTGCATGGAGCAACTGGCTACAGCATTCATCTACAAATACACAGTCACTACACATTACAGTTTATCCTGTGAAGCGTTTTGAGATGTCCTCCTGACATGAAAGGCACTATATCAAATGCAAAGGTATATTTTTAATTAGATATCCAAAGTTCTTTTTAAGATTCATTTGAAAAACGGCAGAAAACCAGCTTCCGTATAAAGACTTAATTTAAGAATATTCTAGCATTCTGTACAAATCTTACATTTTACGTAAAAATCTCAAGACAAAGACCATGGCAAAATGTGGGGCCCTTGAACTCTGTACATGCACATTATACACACAGAGAATTGATACTCACCAGTCTCTGAGCGCCAGTGACATTTTCAATGCATGAATAATTCAAAAAAACTTTCAAATAGTCTCGCCAGCAGTGCTAAAAAGCATATTCATCTGTTTTACACTGAACATTAAGTGTCAGGTCTGTATTTAGAGATACTGCCCGATGGTAAAGGAGACGATAAAAGCAGTATTAAAACAAGCCTGAGAAGATATAATGAACTACTGATGGAGTGTAAATTTGGATCAGAACTGCATTATAAAGCCAAGCACTACTCACTAACTGAGGAAATTGAGGACATAAGACTATAAAAACCTAGTCTCCATCCTTCGGGCAAACAATCTAAATATAAAATAACAATGCGACTTGCATTTATTTAGCGCCCCTCATGCAGAGTAGCATCCCAGACAGTTAACAGTGGCGGAGCATGACACCGAGCCGGGGGGAGGTGACCGTAGGCACGGTCAAAGAGGAAGGTCTTCAGGCAAGACCTGAAGATGGGAAGGAGGAGCAAGGCTGAGAGATTGAGGGAGAGTGTTCCAGAGTGGCTGAAAGCACAGCCACCGAAGGCAGACCAAAGGGAGGAAGCATTCAGGGAGGAGATATATAAGGCATTCAGTTCATGGAACATATTTCACACCATTTCATTCAAGCAGACTCTTCCAACTAACCTCTCTGGTTTCCGATGTTCAAAATGCTTAAAGGAAAATTTGGTGGATGTACTATCTGCTGGGACACACTCACCGGCAATGAGAGCATCTTTGGGCCAGCGACTGAACCAGTCCATGGTGCAGCCTGAAATGAGGGCAGGAAACTTCAGAGCTCGATTTCTGAATCTTTCTCCCACTGGTGAAAAGCAAAGGACCACGTGAAGGTTCTGACGAACTCTGGTCATGAAGTAGTCATAAAGGTTCTCATTGGTGGGTGGCCGGCGAGGATACTCTTTCTTCATGACAGGTATGAGGTCACTGGTGATCTCGTCTATTTCATCGCGAGGAAACAAGTTAGAAACCTAAAAGTGTGACACAAGAGGTTAGGCTCACAGTGGCAAGGCTGAATCGTAGGAGTTCCTGGCTCCAGCTGTCTGTCCAGCAGTACTTGAACCAACATTCAACATATGTCTGTTTACCTAGCAAATGGGAGGAAAGCAATCAATGTCTCTCTGACTCCAATAGTGAAACATCTGGCAAAAGCAGAATAGAGTTGACTCCACTCTCTTTGGCAGACTCAATGAAGGAACCTAAGAGCCAGGCTCCAGAACTCAGGCTCATTGATGACTAGCCAGCCTGCATAGCTCTTCATTAGGACCTTGGAGAGATAGAGATAATCCTGGGGGCAGGATTGCAAGCCAAGAACACAGATGCATAGCATGGATCTAGCCAGACATGCAATAGGAAGGCTACAGATAAGCTTCGCAGTTTCAGATGGCTCAATTCCAGCAGCACTCAAGTGGGTAATTTGAAGGCTTAATGCTTTTACTACCACTAATCTGAGCCTGAGTTCTCAGGCCATAGGCAAGCTGAATTTGTCTTCCCCATAAACAAGAAGAGCTGGAATTGGAAGCGTAAACTTAAAATATGTTTCTATGCTTATCAGACTCCCGACAGATTACAAAAATTGGAAGTATTTTGCCAACACAGTTCTATGGGGGATGGGTTTCTACTTATTGTAATGCATCTCCTCCCGCTAGCACATTATGCCTCTTACTGTAAGCATTTTGATCAGCTAACAGAATATACAATGCTACTAAGCTTGCTAAGAACTGATAATGATCATTAAATAAAGGACACTCAAGTTTGCAACAGATTATGCTGAGACTTACTTTGGAAGCCAAACACTCACTCAGTTGAGCTGCCAAACCATCTCAACATAAAAGAACCTACACCAGACTAAAAGTGTTACAGTTTCAGGTACAATATTGTGACTCAATACAAACCAGAAAAAAAAACTCCCAATAATGTCAGTAATGTGTTGGTTCCCTAGTATGGTCTTTTGCAGAACAAGAGATTTACTTTATTCATTTCTAAAATGCATCTGTATACAGGTCAAGCCCCAGTAATAGGGATTAAGATCTACATCACAAAATCAAATACTGTTGTTCAAATTGCAGCTTTGAGATGTCTCGAAGACATGATAAGGCGCTATATCAAATGCAAGGATTATTATTATTATTACAGCTTTTCTTTCAACAGAATTATTTCCCACTGACTCACAGGAACTCTGCTTCAGAGATAGACTGCAATGAAGTTCCCACAGGTCAGTGTAACATACCTCCAGTTATCCAAAAGTCCCCCCATTTGTGAAGCTCAAATTCTTTTCCAGGAGTCTACTATTTCTGGAACTTGAAAAGTTTCATCTTGTGCTCGGAGTGAATTAACTGCAGACTGTGAATTTAAGAACTGTGTGGAAACCATATGAGACATATTTCTGTTTTTCTGTTTCAAAGATTGATTGCATACCTCTCCTGATGACAGAACATTGTTCATGTATTCAAGGAACGACTCATCTTTGATCTCATTGTCTGTAAAGATAAAGGTGATACCCTTGCCTTGATGCCCAGCTGTTTTGTATAAAACCTTCAAGTCTTCCATCAGGTTAAAGGTATTGTATGATCTATGGAGTCAAGAAGATAACTGGTTTGTGCAAAAGAGCATTGCATTACACAAAGGTCAGCTATCAGGCATCAAACGCAGTAACTTTCAGCATCATTAATAGCACAGAATTCTTCCCTTTTGAGCTCGACAACATTTAAGCGATATTTCATATAAATGGAGAAGAACTTAAATACTGCTAAAGCAACCACCTCTATTAGCAACCACCAGCCTGGAATAGTCACAAATGATTTCCCAGAATAAATACCCTCTATTCAGCAACCATCTGTCTAACACAACCAGTGTCCATTCTTTTTTAGCCTCATCGGTGTACAGATATCCTTTCCTGTTCTAGGTGAGTATAAGTGTAATTACTTAAATTCATTCCCACGAGGTGTGCAAATTATACGAGAAATCTAAATCAAGACATTTCTTAAGCGAGTGAAATAATACAGCTCATTTTACAATCATATTAAATGAACGATGCTTTGCCCCCCAGTACTGTACTGGTACTGACAATGCATTACCAATTTCCACAGGGCCACATCGAGACTCCTAGCACATTTACCAATGCTACGCTGAGCAGCCAATGTGATGCCCACAGCTTCCCACCGCACATGTGAGGTCATTACTTTAAAAGATATTTATTAAATTGTTTTTTTTAAGATGAATGAGAGGATATGCATCGGCAATTTAGAAAGCCCATATGGAACATTTCCAAAGATAACAAATGGGCTGTAACTTATGTACAAATTAATGGTCGACTTTGGTGGCAGATAACAATAGATGGGTTAATATGGTTCAAGGGAATCGCTGGACATCTTTGTAATATTGTCCTGTATTTGATGTTAGCACACACTAACACAATTAATTAAAGTCACTGAAAAATATTGGCCTTACCTTGTTAATGTGATTTGAAAAGTCTTGTATCCAGCAATGAAGGATGCTAGTTTGGTCAAACTCTGCTTGCCTGACCCACCTACACCAACCAGCAGAGCATTCCCACGAGATGTGCGAATTATACGAGAAATCTAAATTAAAGTTTTTCTTAAGTGAGTGAAACAATACAGTTCATTTCACAGTCATGTTAAATGGACAATGCTTTCCTCTCCGGTACATTCACAAGTTTGCCAAAGATTCAGTATTTTGGACCAAGAGTGCAGCTGTACAGCTTCTAGTTATCTATTTATGTTACTTATACTTCAACTTTGCAAGATCACCGTATACCATTTGGTATAGAACATACAGCACGGAAACAGGTCAATCAGCCCAATTATTACATGCCGGTATGTTTTTTCCCTTTCCTAACTTCAGCTTGAGCCAAGAACTTAAGGTTAAGAAGTTGACCTCAAGTACAGGTATTCAACCTTACGAGTTTGTCAAAAGCCACTTGGGCAAAACTTAATTGTGCATTTAAATGACAATCATTTTACCTTCACCAAGTGAGTCATAGCATCCTTGAAGCACACCATATCCAATCCTGCTCCACGGATACTTTCATTATATTGCTGCAAAAACATATTCAGACGATCTTTCAGATGATCGAGACTCTCAATGGGCTCATAGATCTTTGGCATCTCAAAGTCAGCATCTTCTGTTTCATCACCTGTGTCAAAAGATTAAATTTTTATTAAAGTGTACATTAAACTCATTTTACTATTTTGTTTGCTAGGAATGAAGTTCCAAAAAAGATTGGAAATGGTAGGTTTTCACCTAAATGCATTTTTCAGTTACAAACAGCACACATTTCTTAGTCATGTTGGAACATGAATATAACTGGTTTGTTTACACCTTCACCGATAAAATACACAACCATAATTTACTGCATATTCTGTGAAACATTTCGAGACATCTGACTAATGCGGAAGGCACAATATCAAATGTAAGTAATGTTACTTTACGTACTTATATTATTACCTGTGGCTTCAGGAGCATCTCGTAAGAAGTCTACAAAGTAAGTATCAACTCCAACATTAACAATGGCCATAGCTTTCTCCTTTAGCGCCTCCTCAATGAGGTTTGCTAATATTTTGTCAAACCAAGCTACGTCATCTGGGGTGGTAAAGCGGTCAGCTATAACACGCTTGCATTCATGTTTCCACAGCTCCAGGACCACCTAAACACATACAGAGGAAAACAACCATTTGCATTCATACACGACTTCCAAAGCAGCAGAGCATCGGTTAGTAATAGTGGAAAAATGGGATACAAAACATGTGATAACTATCACTGGCAATATCCACTCCCTGTCAATATCTAACCACCAAGGGCGACCTCCCAAACTTCATCTCAATGATTGAATCTAAAGCCCATGCCCTGGGCCAATAAAAAATTACAGAAATATTTGCCAGAAATTGCAGGGAAATTTTTGGCACACTTTCCTGAAAATTGTGGGGAGTTGATTGGTGCTATTGAGGTACATTTTACTAATAAACTATATTTTTTTCACTTTATTGATCAAAAATAAATATGAGGAAATAACACATTAGATTGTTGTAAAAAATATTAAATGCTTCTTTAATAAAAACTCAGTGGCCTTTTTTTGTGGGGGTGAGGTGGGGGGACACCAGCGGGGCTACAGGAGCTTTCAGCACCGCACATATACCCAGAGAGAGAGACTCACACACGCACACACATTCTCAGACACAGAGAGAGACACACACTCACAGGCAGAGAAAGAGACATACACACTCAGACACAGAGAGAAACACACACACACTCAGACACAGAGAGAAACACATACACACTCAGACACAGAGAGAAACACACACACACTCAGACACAGAGAGAAACACACACACACTCAGACACAGAGAGAAACACACACACACTCAGACACAGAGAGAAACACACACACACTCAGACACAGAGAGAAACACACACACACTCAGACACAGAGAGAAACACACACACACTCAGACACAGAGAGAAACACACACACACTCAGACACAGAAAGAGACACACACTCACTCAGACACAGAAAGAGACACACTCACTCAGACACAGAGTGACACACACTCACTCAGACACAGAGAGTGACACACACCCACTCAGACACAGAGAGTGACACACACTCACTCAGACACAGAGAGTGACACACACTCAGACACACTCACAAACACATAGAGAGACACACACAGGCACATCCACAAATACACAAGAGCAGAGGGAAACCCAGACATACTCACACAGAGAGTGACACACACCCACTCAGACACAGAGAGTGACACACACTCACTCAGACACAGAGAGTGACACACACTCACTCAGACACAGAGAGTGACACCCACTCACTCAGACACACTCACAAACACATAGAGAGACACACACAGGCACATCCACAAATACACAAGAGCAGAGGGAAACCCAGACATACTCACACAGACTCACAAACGGAGAGAGACACACACACACACTCACAAATGCATATAGACATACACATAGACAATTATAGACACTCTCACACTCAGAAAGAGGAGGGTGTTTGTAGCGGATTCCGCAGGGGAAGTGTGGCCCAGCCCATGACAAACAATATACTTGTCACCTGTATTGGGTTTTTCAGTGATAGTTCCTCAATATCAGCTTGTAAACACAACACATTTTCCACCCAATATTTCGAACCGTTTAAGGAGCATTTCAGCTTAATTGGAAATACGTAATTACGTTCATCAGAAAGGAAGGATCGATGAGGTTTGTAGTCTAACAACAACAACTTGCATTTATATAGCGCTCCTCACGTAGGGTAGCATCCCAAAGCATTTGACAGTGGCGGTCCCCAGGCATGGTCAAAGAGGAAGGTCTTCAGGCACAACCTGAAGCTAGTGAAAGAAGGGGCATAACGAAGGGATAGAGGAAGAGTGTTCCAGAGTTTCGGGGCATAGTGGTTCAAAGTGCGGCCTCCAATGGCAGCCAGAGGAGCACGGCTAGAACTGGTGTGATGTGGGTACAGAGTTTAGTGCGGGTGAGAATCCCGGATATATTTCAGGTACTTACATTTTCACTGCAGACAACCTCTGAGATGGTGTTCAGCATCCCCTGCCATATCCTTGACAGGTCTCTCAGATTGAAAATGTAGTGAAATTTGGCTGGTGTGGGCAACATTTTCAATTTGGTTATCTGCCAAAGCCTGCGAGTCAATGGGACCAGCTTTGATATTACACTTCTCACCTCCAGAGGGAAGCCTCGTTGTGTACAGTAGTGACCAGTTCCAATGACACCTACAAAGTAAAGTTTGTTTTGGTCAGCTGGGTGGGTGTCTGACAAACGCGGAAGCCCATCACCATGCTTCAAATATATCCAAACCAAACAGAGCTCTATGTAGCCTCCCTGGACATGGACATTTCAGAGATATTTATTGGAATAGGCACTCTCTCCCTGGAATTACTTACCTAATTCCAGAGAGTATTAAGCATAGATTTGCAACAGCCAAGCCTCTGGGAACTCCAAGTGTATTGCTATGTATAACCATCTAAAGCCGCATGCCATTGAAAACAAGCTTTCCTGCTGCTTGTCCAGCTAGGACCACCCTAGGGTTTTGACGTGCAGGGTTAACAGAAGCTGAGTGGGAAGAATCCCTTCCCCAATGACTGGTCTGCCTTCCAGGTCCTGCCGATGTGCTGTCATCAGCAGTGTCCTGGAATACTGCGGACCTGACTGGCTCAGAAACTGAACTACTGAGACCGCCACAGAGGGTTGGCTCGATTCTAACATTCTGTTGCCAAACATGTCACCTTGGAGCCAGTTCAGCTCTAAGGAGACCCTGCTTGACCCCCCCACCCCCCCTCCACCAGGGGAAGTGGGAGGAAGACTAGTTGGTCACAAGTATTGTAAACCAAAAAGCTAGATATAATAATTTAGTTTTTCAGACATTTACATTTTACTTTCCTCAATCTACCCAGTAAGTAGAATTTAGATCAATCACTTGATGTGTTCTCTTTTTCTGTTTTTTTATTTCCTTACCAAAAATCTTGTCAATGGAAGCATTAGAAGGCAAGGTGCAGTTAAATATTGAGAACTGTCTCTTCAGACGCTGGGGTATGTCATTTCTGCCACCTCCAGGATGTATCATGGCAGCGAGGAACTGGATGTCCATAATGTTAGTGAATTCACCTGGTTTTTCCAAGTTATAAAAGCCATTTTGCTCCATCAGCTGTCGCACAATTTCGTTAGTGACCTAAAATAAGAGCACAAAAGTATACTGAGGGCTCCCAAGTTAAATACAAGTAAAAGCAACTTCCATTCAGAATACCAAACAGAACATAACTGATCACAGTTACTATAAAGCTAAGGAGAATGCTCTTCCTTTGCTTGTGTGAATGTTGTTCGTGAAGATGATGGGTGTTTGCTGTGAGAATGGAACAGTTTTCTGCTTTAGGCACTCATTGTTCCCATGTATACTACAGACAGCTATAACGTAAAGTTCCCTCTACACCAGGGTAAAATCTCCATTTCCAATGCCAGCAAACATTGTGGCTTTTTTCATTAAGATCGATAATTTAATGCCAAATTTTGGTCATTTTTTTGGCCTTTGGGCTACACCTACTTGCAAAGTGTTGAATGCTCAGAGGATAAGCGTCTGGGGTATAGAAGGATAGTATGCAATCATTACGCAATCTCCATTCTCCTCTTCCCATGCTCATTTAGCTCCTCTTCCCATGCTCATTTAGCTGCACACTCAAGTCCATCTTGAAAGTCTGTTTGATGGCTTAGTCTCTTACCAAGATGTAATAGCTTACCCACTGGGATCTTCGAGCTGATAATGCTTGTAAAAGCAATGGAATGTTATTACTTTTGTTCATTGCATGCTACTTATGATAATGCCAAGTAAAGATTCAAGACATTCACTTTTGAAAATTGCCCTTAATGATTATTTATCACTGCACAGCCTTCTCCACCCTCCTCCAGTAATCACTAGTTGCCAACAGTCAGGCACTCAGCACTCCACCTTCAGCCCAGACTGCATGCTCAGCCTCTGGTTAGGAGAAGGAAATTATAACAGTGAAAGATGTGCAGTAAAAATAGAACAAAATACATCACAAGGAATTGTACACATTTCAAGCACCGTCCATGCAGGTCTCCAATGTTTGAGTAATGTGATCTGACAAAATAATATTAGTTTTCTTAAAATATTGCTATACAACACTTTTTTTTGAAGACTTATGATTATATTCCAAGAAGTATGTTTCAGAGTACTTTTTTTGGAGTCTCCGCTCGCAGACAGTGAGCCATAATTTAATGCTTAGTGTACTGTATTAGCTTAACTCCATATTAGCTTGGAAAAGGGAACTGAATAGATATCTAAAAAGGAAAAAAATTACATGGGCATGGAAAAAGGATAATGCTGTGATCCTGCTTCTTGAAAAGGTTATTTAAAAGGTGTATTGTTAAACGTGTTAACGCATCTACGGTTATAGAGTTAAAGAGTCCTGGGCCCATGGACCACCCAAAAGGAGTATTATTAGTGTATTGTATTTTAAAACTGGACCCGAAGAACGCTGTTTTATTATGTCGGTAAGCAGTGGGAGTGAAAAGGTTGCAGCAAGGCTAAAGTGAAACTGAGTTAATAATCTGGTTGACTAAGAATGTCACTAAGAGGTTAAAATTGAAATTAAGTTAAGAACCTGGTTGACTAAGGTTGTACCATGAGTGATACTGAAACAACGCTAGGAATCTGGTTGGATAATTTTGCCGCCATGAATGATTTAGAGGAACTTTGAAAGGTTCGTTGCGATTTGTTCGTTCGTGAATTATCAGATTAATTGATAAAGACTTGGAAGAAAGTAAACCAAGACAGAAAGCTAGAGTAAGTCAGGCGTAAGAAAAAATTATAATACTTAGTACTCTTTTGCACATTCAATTAGAGCCTTCCCATTTTAAGGTAAAAAAATGAATGGGTATGTTAAAACGAGATAATGAACTATTGCAGGTTCAGAACAGAGTTTGAAAAAGGAGCACAGGACGTGTCTATTGCAGAACAGCCTCCGAGAGGTTACCCGCGTTTAAACTCTCCCAGTGGCAGAGTTAAAACATGTAGTATCATGAGCTGGGACATTCGACCCTGAGAAATAATCGCTTTTCGCACACTTGAGATGTGTGCAGTGTGCTTGTCAATTACATGGGAATGATAGGGACAATTTCAAGATTTTGATAACAGGGAAAATAATCAGTGGTCCTCAGAATTTGATGAGTATAATAGTGATCCGTTGGAATAACCTAGCTGATTTCTTGGCTCAAAAATAATTCAAGAGGGGGACTAGTTTGGTACATGTGAATCAAATCAAATCTTTTTAAAAGGGAATGATCCTGGATGTTTAAAATGAATAACTAACATAACTGTAGATCAGATCCCATGTTCAGACAGTGATATGCTTTAATCCTATGAACAACAATTTCAGTATTAATAGTGATAGTTGATAGTGAATGCGAACATATTTTAAAATATCCTTGAATTCAAGCATGGGTATGTTGTGATCCAGCTTCATAACTGAAATTGTGAATATATGTTAACCCATGTAGTCGAAATAATTATTTCAATTAATGGTTAGAAATGGTTATGATGAATAGACACCATTTTGATTAATGGTTAAAAATGATGATGTAGCTAAGAAAATGTCAAGATGACTTGTTATTGTAGCTGAAAGACTGTTGAAGATGTTTGTCCATAACAACTTCATGTTTGTGTTAAAATGTTTTCTATAACAATTCAGGTTTTATAACAATTCATGTTCTTCTATAATAATAACAATTCTGTAGATTGTATTTTATTATTTTTATGTGAGATAATTGCTTCATGAACGTGAGAAAGGAAAGATTGTTTATTCTCATCCGGCCCGTGGAAAATCGATTATAAAAGTTGTATGGGCGAACTATACTTTGTTCAGGCTAGGAAATAGCATATCAGGTGCTGCCCACACAAAAGCCATCTTTCATGTGACAATATGAAGTGGTGAAGCAAATGTGTTGACTTTGGGGTTAAAATCCGTCAGAGTGTCTTGAAGAATTAAAAACATAGAACAAGTGTTGAAAAGAATTAACAACGTTTAACAACTGTCGAATAAAGTGCACAGCTCAGCTGTCCATCATTAAAAGATTCAACTTGGACTTCGTAATCAACAAACCCAAACAAGAGGTTTCTGATCTGAAGCAACAGACTTTTCGTCTGATGCAATATTTTGCCTGCTGTTTGGGAATTTACCAACTGACTTTGATACGGACATTTGTCTATGCTATTGAAATGTCTGTTGTATTTATGATAATTAAACTATCAAGCATTAAATTTTTTGTTATTAAGAAAAGAATTTTCAAAGCATGAGTGTCTTTGGTTCCTCTGTTCTCGGTCCTTAATTAAAAGAAGGCTTAAAAGAATAAGCTGGTCTTATTCTGCTCATTGCCCAGAACCCAACAGTAGGCAAATTGTACTGAAATCATTGTTCTTTAAAAGAGCCAACACAGACAGAATGGCCCAAATGGCCTTCTTCTGTGCCACAAATTTCTATTGTTCTATATACAGAGTTTATTTATTTGTAATTGTACTCTCTCTGTGGGCTGCTGCCAAGTATCCTTGCTTGTTGACAGTCCCTTCTTGTTTAATGTACAAAAACACATTAGGGATTGGTTGGTATTGTCTATGACCAGGGCACTCATCAGATTTCTGGCTTTCCACTGGCTTAAACAATTAACTTTCTCAGCAGTTTTTTTGTGTGCCATATTATACATTTGATGTGCCACCAAACAAAATGACATGAGCCAGAAGAAGGAAGGGGGAGGCAAGAAAATAATTTAATGGTTAGCTGTTTTAAAGAAACAACGTAAAAATAGAATTTGGATTGCATGGTAAAAAAAATAACAGGGCAGAGAGAATGGTAAAAAGGGGAAAAGAAGTAGAAGCAGAATTGTTTGGCATTAAACAGTAATAAAGAAATCTGCAACATACTTTTGAAAATATTTATCTTACTCTGTTTATTTGTGTAGCTTGGAGTTAATATTGAAGTAATAAAGCTATTGTGCCATTTGAATAAGATTATTAATGCAATGTTTCAGCATCACAGTTAATGAGATAACATAACCAGGGCACTGGTGAAAACAACAATTCCCACAGATCTGCTGGAAGTTAACATTAAGGTAAAATTAATATTCATTGTAATGCCCTCACCTGCATCACCTATTATTCATTTTTAAGGCAGTCTTTGGGTTGATAAGCTAATGCACTCTTTAGGTTGATAAGTCAATGCACAGAATTATTGCATTGTCGAATGCAGCTTGCTTACCTGATCTCCCCATTCATTAATCACTGGCATGTTAATATCATCAATGAAGATGGTCATCTTCTTCCCAGCAGGTGGGCCATAAGTTGTACCCATTCGTTTATCAACATAACTCTCAATTGTACGCTGCAACACAGACAATGATGGTTAATCACTCTTATACTGTCAGCGTTAAAAATGCTGAGGACCTTCGATTTTGGCTTGGAATCAGTGGATTTAACACCAGTCCTGTCTACAGTACATTCGCTGATACTTCACATCTTCATTACCCCTGAGTAATGATAAAAAAGAACATCATGTTGGGGGGTGTTGAAACAGTTTCCTACTGAGGGTACCAACAAAGCTGTAGAGACCCATGGCATAGAGGTTGTCATGAGCAGCGAAGGTGAAGATAACCTTTTGGACTACTTTTTGCTTTAAGTAATGTGATAAAAAGCCATTGGGTCTGTAAAGGAACCAACTTTCCTAATCTTTATACAACTTGTCCCTTCCCCTGAAGAATGCAGGAAGGATTTTACTGTTTGCACTTGGAGAAGCCTGGTTACAGCTTATGTTTGACTTAACAGTTGAAATATGGCATAGCTGTTGGCAACACCTTCCATGTTTAGCTTCAACAGATATAAAATTCATGGCTGGTTACATCTCCCACATCACTACAATCGTTACACAAAACACTGATATAAACAATTCTAAGTGAAATGTCACTGGATGTGATTGATATGTACTGGAGGGAAGAATCTTCAGAAAAAAACAATTTGGCATTTTGTTTCTGATTTTTTTGTTACAATGATTGAAATCTTGTCTTTATTGCCCTCAAAGAAAAAATTCCAAGCACTTCTTCATGCAGAGCCAACAGTGCGTCAAATTTACTATAAATGTTGTAATTTCCACATATGCATAAATTGTATTTCAGACAATCTACTTCTAGCAACCAGCTTAAAGAATGACAATACATTTTTTGCAGGACTAATAATTTGAAGCAATGCATGGAATTCAATGTATGGAAGTGTTATGTCAAGACTTGGTATTATCTAAATCTCGGAATATGACAGTGCAAATGAAATCTATCAATCTACATTCTGATGTTGCAGCTTACAGATCCATTGTAGTTGTTCCCATGTTTGAGCTCCTTATCTCATCAGGGAGAGGTTGCTTCCCAATGGAAATTTGCTTTCCAAAGACACAGAAGTCTTGCAAAGCTTTTGGCGCAGTCTTAACAGAGGCCTGGGAGCCTTGCTGTCCTCTTGTATGTGGTGTATAAGGAGATAGGCTAAAGGAGCCCAATATATCTTCCATATTTACATTAAAGGATGATATTAAACAAGTTAAAACTAGGCTGCAACACATGATCTGTAGGTTTAGTTTATCTTTAGCCAATACAAATTTTCTGGCTTCATTGATATTTCTCATTTAATTACTACACAATTAATTGTGTTTATATGCAGCAAGAAGTTATTATTATATGTAGATGTCTGACCTGAAACATAAGTGGTGTAGTAGCAGAGGAAAAGTTGAGACTCTTGGCAATGTGAGACTCGGGGTCATATTTTGATGTATATCCTTTAATAATCACGGTCTTAGCTGTACCTTGTTCACCAATCAGTAGCACAGCCTATGAGGAAAAGTACAAAAATGGGTTAAATTGGTTCTTTGGAACCCAGGGCACAGAATCAACACATTGCTGCTCGTGGTCTGAGATGGAATGCGTCCTACCAATGATGATTTGAGCTGAAGATGTCTGTGTGGGGATGGGGAGTAAAGAGAGAGAAAATAAAGTATAATATATATACAAATCCTGACAAATTAAGATGGGCTCTGCAGAAGTGAAGAATGATGACTTCCCCATTATCTAATAGTAGGTTGAGCTGGGAAATTTTGTTTGCTTTCAATTCCAGTTCTCGGGTCCCCAGCAGCAGTCACCTGTTTACTGTGCGCCACCAAACTCCCCAATGTCTGAATCTGAAAGGTTCAGTGTTAAAAATGAAACAACTTTAACTCTGCACCTGCTCCCAAAAGCAAACATGTGCAATTGGCCAAACCTGCTGACATTTAAAGTCTCCACATATTCTCTTTGAATCTTCTGTGGAAGGCTGAGGTCCAATTTCACTCCTTTATCAGATGACGCTAGTCTAAACAATGCTTTGTATCTGGTGTTCGCTTCAGCTTGTGACGTGAACAATGTTACAATTCTTAGTTGAATTACCTCTGTGCCACATGCAACAACAACAACAACTTCGACAACAACAACTTGCAATTTATATAGCGCCCTTCAAGCAGGGTAGCCTCCCGGAGCGCTTGCAATAGAAACACAAAATCAAAGGGCCTTCTATTATACAGAAAGAGGATGGTAATGAAGCCTTAAATATAGATCTGTACTGCTCATGAGACACCACAGGTCATACGGGTAAAAGGAGTAAAGTGATTCTTTGATCTTTAGTTATTATTGAGAGTTGACACACACCACCCCCCAGAAGTTAATTTAAAACACAGCCCGTCTTGAGTGAGGAGCACTTTAGTGGCTCAGTTGGTTGCTATATTTTAAGTGCACTTATACAAGGCACTTAACACAAGTTACCAATTCAACCAGACCCATACCCCACCCCACCTTCTTCAGCCCCAGGCTCTGCTACACTTGTTTATCCTGCAGCAGAACTCTCTAGTCCAAAGAAAAGAACCACAGAGACAAACATGACATTCAAGATATCACAGTAAACATGCACTGAGGCAACCAAAATCCAGGAACCAGCAGTTGTTTTTCAAAGATAGAGACGAGAGTGAATCCAGGATTAACAAACCTGGAGTAAGGATTCAAACAAACAGGAGTAGGCAATTCAGTCTTTCGAGCCTGTTCCGCCATTCTATGAGATCATGGCTGATCTGTACCTCAAGTCCAATATCCCTTAATACCCTGACCTGGCAAATATCTATCCACCTCAATTTTAAAAATGTTAATGGATCCAGCATTCACAGCCTTTTGGGGGAGAATGTTCCAGATTTCCAGTACTCTTTGCGTGAAAAACTGCCTCCTAATTCCACTCCTAAATGGCCTAGCTCTAATTTTAAGTCTATGCCCCTTGTTCTGGAATCCCCACCAGAGGAAATAGTTAAGGTGTATCTATCGTATTGTTTCCCTTTATTATTTTAAAAACCTCAATCAGGTACCCCTCAACCTTCTAAACTCAAGGAAATAGAGACCAAGTTTATGCAACCTGTCCTCATAATGTAAGCACTGATATAATTCTGGTGAATCTGCGTTAGACCCCCTCCAGAGCCAAAGATGCTTCCTGAGGTGCGGTGCCCAAACCTGAACACAGTACTTCACATGAGGTCTGACCAAGGCTCTATATAGCTGAAGTAGCATTTCTTCTCCTTTATATTCCAGTCCCCTTGAAATAAAGGCCAACGACTCATTAGCCTTTTTGATAACCTTTTGTACCTGTGACTTTGTTTTTAGTGATTTGTGTACATCGACACACAAATCCATTTGCTCCTCCACAGTTCTTAGTTTCTCACCATTTAAAAAATATTCTGTTTTGCTATTTTTGGATCCATAATGGCTGACCCCACACTTCCCCACATTGAATTCCATCTACCACAGTTTTGCCACTCACTTAATCTGTCTAAATCCCTTTGTAACTTCCTGCTCCCATCTACACAATTTACTGTGCCTCCTAACTTTGTGTCCTCTGCAAATTTGGACATAAACTTTCTATTCCTTCATCTAAGTCACTTTTATATATGGTGAAAATCTGAGGCCATAGTACAGACCCCTGGGGGACATCACTTATCACATTCCGCCAATCAGAAAACGTTACTTTTATCCCTATTCTGCTTCCTGCCTCCCAACCAATTACTAACCCACGCCACAAGGTTACCTCCGATTCCAGCCACTTTTATTTTTGCTAATAGTCTCTTGTGCAGAACCTTATCAAATGCCTTCTGGAAATCCATGTAGATTCACTCAAAACCAAACTCCTAAGAGAAAGTGCATCTCCAATCTGTCTTAAGTTTCATAGCTATTTGCTGCAGAAGTAGAGTCAAGTAGAAGAAAAATAACTGTGTAGTGTAAAGGCTGGAGGAGGAGGGGGGGTTAGGAGGGAGTTATATTTTTTAAGTAACGTCTTCTGTTTGATGAATTGCTAACAAGGGAGCACATCTCAAAATTATTACGAGCAGCATGGAAGAACTGGTTTTCTTACACACGCACACAAAGGGTTATCAGGATTTGGGATGTGTTGCCAAAAGAAGCCGAGTCAATCACACAATTTAAAAGGGAATTAAATAAAGATATAAAAGGAGAGAGGGAAAAGAGCAGGATTAGAGTGGTTGCCAAACACAGGCCTCAGGCTGAACTTTCTCTTACGAGTCTGGTGCTGAAATTTAGATTATGGTAGATTATTAAATGTATCTATGGTGTGTTATATGCTACAGGAGCAATAATATCAACATAACTGATTCACCTAATTGCAAAGCAAAAATTATGTAAATGGTAAACTGTCATAGGTCCCTAATGTCAGTTACCTATGTTATATGTGAAATGCTGTGTCACTGCAGTCTAGGTTTGCTTTCAAGAGGGAGCTAGAAGGTATCTAAAGATATCTAAAAAAGGAGTGATTTGCAGAGGGATGAGAAGAAGGCAGGTAAATGGCATTGAATGGCTCTTTCAAACAGCCAGTATAGACAATATGAGCGAAATAGTCGTCTTCTGTGCTATAAATTCCTGTGCTTATGCTGAAAATCTAAAAAGGAAAAGAAGAACTGTGTAATTCACTACTTGACCTTTACAAGTAAAAGATTTTTGATTCTCAAATTATATAAATGCATTGGACTACTGAATCATAGAGCTAGATGAGATTTAACTGCAGCTACCTATAAAGGCAAAGGGTTGATTACTAAAGATAAAAATCTTTGCATTACATCATTATAATGGGAAAAGAGCTGTATTTTTAAGCAATCAGCACAAAGTATCCCAAGATAAACACTTCAATTATTATTGCACAGGCAATAATAATGACAGGATAAGTGATATACTGCATCACTAATACTATTGAAATAGGAACCATTTGTTTTTATTTTATGAAGACAGTAATCAATCCATTTCAATAACTTGAATTTATCCAACATCTTTCATATAAAATAAATGTCTCGAAGAGCTTTACAAAATATAATTTTCTGAACTTCAAATGTTTTAAAGATTTCTGCTGTTACATTGTGTTACACAAGTGAAGACTTATCCTAACTCCATGACTCAGCCCTCCCAATATAACCTCAGTTGGGTCCCAAATACCACATTAAGATGATTTCTTTATTCATCCATAATAAGACTTTCAAGCTTTCAGAACATATATGTCAGGCTGTTGCAGTGGCAGCACTCTCGCCTCTGAGTCAGAAGTTTGTGAGCTCAAGCCCCATGTCCTGGAAGTCAAATATAACAACAATATTACATTTATAGAGTGCTCTTTACGTCGGGAGGACGTCCCAAGTTGACACTCCAATACAGTGCTGGGGATGTGCTGCATTATTGGAGATGATGTCCTTTGGATGAGACCTTCAAATGTTTGCTTCTTCAGGTGGACGTTAAAAGATTTCATGGCACTATTCGAAAAGACAAGGGAGTTTCTCCAAGTTTGCCCAACAATCCCCCAAATAAAATTGGTCATTCAGTTCATAGATGTTTGTGGGCTATGAAAGTTGGCTGCTGCATTCACCCACGAGAGACAGTCACTCCACTTTACACTCCTCTTTACAGTATATCCTGTGAAGCATTTTGGGACTCCTACTGATATGAAAGGTGCTATATCAAATGTAAGGATTATTATGATGATGGCGGCTGTTTGTGTTACCCACTGAAGAGTATTAAAAATACCCCACATGCTTATTATAATCCTCAATATAAATATTTGGGCAGGCAAAGTCATAATTTAAAACAAGTTAATTAATTTTGTTTAAGTGGAATTCTACACGTGTGAAACACAATTGATTCCACTTCTAAAAGAGCTTGAGAAGCGACAGAGTCATGAGTTCGCAATTATAGGCCAGAGAGAAATTAACTCTCTCTGCCATGATTCCCCACAGATTACAAACTAGTTAATGAATAAAATACCCTTGCCTTTTTTGGTACATTTGAATCCCAACAAAAATAATTTTCTGTCTTAACTAAAAAAATGCTTCATTCAGGAATTATATAAATTGCAGTTAAATCAAGCTCTTTTGGCAGGTTCTGTTTACCACAGCCCATTTAAACTTATTCAGAATATCAATCCAAAGAAAAGCAACAGAGAAATAGAATTTCCTGTGCTGCGCCCACTATATGCAAGCCTTCTACTGACAGTGCCATCGCTGTGTATTTAAATAAAACAAAGTTTGCTTGGATAATGAAAGCACTATTAACATACTAATGAATTTAACATAGCAGGTGAAGTGAAGTTAGCCAACATGCATTAAAAAAAGCTATTTTCATTGATCCAATTCGTGTCCAATGATTTACAAACTAAAAAATATTAGGCACAAAAGCGACTGAACTACAGATATAAAACAGAAATTCAAGTTAAATGATCCATTTGTCTACCTTTCCCTGCTTTGCAATTGTGTGGATGAGGAAATCGGTCCTCACATTGTCCACATTAGGCACGAGGATGGAGCCATATTCTGGAGTGCTGTCGGTTGGATAATAGTATTCTTCCACCCGTGTATTCCAATGCAACCAATTTCCTGGTTAAAATATGCATATTTACATAAATGCACACAAACAAAAAGTCATTCACTGAGGACTACATATTTTACAGTATGCTTCAGAACTGAAAGGTCAGTTTCATTCTATTTTATTTATACTTGATCTAAGCAATTGATTATAAGGTACCTTTTGCTCCAATCTATCTATCCAGTGATCATTTATTTTGTTTATTTCTTTTGTTGGATATCACAATGCAGCGTGAAGTACACAAAATGCATTTGATTCATTGGATTAAACAACAAGAATGTCCTGTTCTGCTGAACTCTCTGCTGTAGTTAACACAATGAAGAAATATGGCAAAATTATAAGCAGTTCTCAGTCAAATTCCATGCCTTTAGTGCTGAAAAGCTCAATGTTTCTATGATTCTCAAACCAGATGAATGTGCTTGGAAATAACTTCATGGGGACTGAAACAAATAAATCTCTCCTTCACCGCCTCTTCTTGCAGAACACATTAAAAAAATGACATTTTCAAAATAGCTACAAAAAGACAGCACCAGTTAGCATTGGTTACCTTCCAAAATTGTTAGCCCAGCTTTAACCATGAGAAGAATGATCCGTGACCGAAAGAAATGGAAACGTTAAGTATTAAAGCAGATTCAGATGAAGGAACAAGCAGTTCTCAGTTCCCAAGACAGTTTTAAATCAGGATAGTAAAGTAAACATTATTCAACACATACCACAGTCCAACAAGAAACCCTCCAGTACAGAGATGGATACAGCATGCTGACTCACAATCACTTGCCCACAAAATACACATATTCTGTGAAGCGCTTTCAGACATCTCAACGACGTGATAAGGCGCTATATCAAATGCAAGATTTATTATCACATTATTATTATTATAATCAGGGTAAGTCTGACCCCCTAACCTCAAAATGACACTGATGCATTGGAAGAAGTTCAGAGAAGAGCAACAGAGATGATTCTGGGCCTTAGAGAGTTTAGGTATAAAGTAAGAATCAAGATGTTAAACTTGCTTTCAATGGAGGAAAGAAAATGATTCAGGTCTTTAAAATGCTGAGGGATGAATTATTCAGATATATGTGAGCTGTTGTGGCTATAAGCACAAAGTTAGGTGATACAGAATTAAAGTGAAGAAATCAGAATAGATATGAGATGAAATCATTTTCCCCATAAAGTGGTAGATATATGGAACACATGTTCAACAAAAGCACTCAGTGCTGCATCAATTAACTTCTTCAAATAAGAACTGGAGAATTATCTGTCTGGATACTCAACGGTTGCTGAGACCTGGGGGGTGGGAGGGACAGTGATGTCTGTTGATGGAAATAGGGCAGAGTTAAATATTAGTAATGTGGGGTGAATGAATAACGTGGAGGTTTACTTAATTACCATTGGAGATTTGGGCTTGTAGTACCATATATCTTTTTTCTCCTTCAATTCTTTCTTACCTTTTTTATGTTATATAAGTTTGGTGAGGAATAATAATAACACCATGAATAACATTAAATAAGGACATATCATTATTCTGAGGAGCTTCACTTAATGCATATTAAAAACCTGCATTAACACAACAGGCAAATAGGAATTTTAATTGACCCAGGGACTTTGAACGTTTTTTCTCTGGATATGGAAAGTTATTTCCTAAAGCTTAAAGAACAACAGCCCTTGAATATCCTTGACAAACTACGCTTCCCTGTAATCATCCCTTACACAATACCTTGATTATTAAGTATGTAACACAACTGAAGCATGCACAACTAGATCAAAAGACTCATTGCAATTTTGTTTGCTCTCACATTTACCAGTCAACCAACAAATGCAACAATATGTAAAATAATAAAAATCCTTGCATTTGATATAGCAACTTATCACGTGTTCTAGATGTCTCAAAGCGCTTCACGGAATATACTGTAAAGTGCAGTAACTGTATATTTTGTGGGCGAAACAAGATAAAGTGAAAAAAATGCAGCATTAAGCAATATTACAAAGTGCTACTGACCATCTGACTGCACAACATAGTCGAACATTGTGTCCTCACTACCAGATGGAATGCTTGGCAGGTTAAGCTGTACAGTCTCATGGGTCCGTAGCCATAGCTCCAATTTCCTCCTGTCCTCCAACTCCAGCAAAGCCCCAATGCTCCACATCAGTGAGAAAACATAAAGTCTCTCCAAATGCTCTCGAGTGACTTCCCCACCTTGCTCCTAAAACAGGTTTGTGATTGAGTTACAACATTAGATGCAAACTTTATATCTTTAAATTCCATACAATGTCAACATCCATCCAATGGGAGCCGGAAACTTTGAACAGAGCGTCTGACACTGTTATCAAAGAACCAATCGTCTGACCCACTCCTCAATAACAGAAGAGAACAAAGACTTGATTTTAGGGTTTTAAACTTCAGCACTTAAGCAGCGAGAGCTTTAAAATCAAGGGTAGGGTAGGACGAGGGACTTTGGCCATGACTACAGTGATGTGGAGCTGGTTTCCTGCTCCATGTTGCTCTTCCACCAGAGCATTCATGCAGCATTAGAATGTTGAGATATTTGCATGTGATAGCCATGTTTAAAAGTGCAATTTGTTTTGTGATTTCGACCCCTCAATTAGGCTACACATTTGCACAACTCATATCCATCATAAAGCTAAATGTTCTTTGTGAAAATATCTGTTTTTTAATGTTGTGTTTTATCTAGGATAGCGAATTCATCAGGTGACCCATATTGATGCTGCACTGTGTTCTACAAGTACTTAAGCCTTTATAAGTCAGCACCTTTAAACTAGGAGAAATCGAGTGCACCACTGATATAACACGGGAGTTGGGAATCCATGAATCATGAGGCGCAATCTCTGATCAGAGTTTCTGCCTCGTGACTTCACCAGTCGTATGCCTGATACATTCATCTTATAAGCAAGCTAGCAGTGCTGTAAATGTTACTAATGTGAGAGAGATACAACAGGAAGCATCTCTAGCTGACACAATGGGAGACTTTTCTAAAATGTCCTAATTCATATTATTCTGATGTAGTGACTGATATTTTCCCTACCTAAGAGGCCTCTGGTAACGAACTGGTGAACGCAAAGAACAAGGTCAACCATAATTTTTACATGAGTGACTTTACTGTAGAAGTAATTTATTATAATCTAAACTTGCCTTTGGTGGAATAAGGCCATCCAACATGTTAATGCTTTGCATGATGACAAAAGCCTCCAGCATTTCCATTTTATACTCCAGTGAGTGGACACTGAAACGGTACAGCTCTGCAAAGGACACTGCGTATAATCGCCTCAAAACTTCAGCTTCCTGTAAAGACCGTTTCTTCAGCCATCCCTGGAGTAAAACATTAGAAATAATAAAAATCGCAAAATGAATCACAGAATAATATTCACATTTTACCAGGCTGAATTAGTTTGCCTACAAAATAATAATATAATAATCCTTGAATTTGATATGGTGGCTTACCACATCATTGAGACGCCTCAAAGCACTTCACAGGATATACCGTAAAGCAGATTGACTGCATATTTTGTGGGCGAAACTACAGTACACAGTACAGTATACAGTAAAATACAGTATATACTCCACAGTATATTTTATGATGTGCTATGAGACATCCTCCCGAAAGAACTACACAAATTATAAAAATTATATTTAATATATATATAATTGCTCTACAATTCATACAAATAAAGCAAACAGATTGCACCCCTCACCATGTCTAAAATTTGATCAAATTCAGTTATAGTATAACTTTGCTTTTGAAACTTCTACTTGCTATCAGACACTCACATTGGCTTCCAACTATGAATGCTAATGGTCTAAATATATGGATTAGTATGCTAAAAGAAATTTAAGTTAAGAATCAAAAAAGCTTTGATACTCCAGCAATTTATTAATTGCACCGAAAAATTGGCAATACCTCAAGAATGGGGCTGAAGTTCAACACTGATGAACTCATGAAGACCATGCCATTGCGAGAGACTGTCGCGGGAGAGGCATTGTCAATGTTGTGTGGCTCAAACACAATCTTGCAGTTTGGAGCCATGGGAATGCGGTCACCATTCGCCAGAGTAAGGGTCTTGTTATCGTCCAGTACAGAGTTCAAATTTTCAATCCAAATGGCATCGACGGGACCGTCCAAAACAATCCAGACGTGCTCTCCTGTAATAAAGCCAATACCCAGTAAAACCTGGAGCAAACATGTAGTGAAGGTTAAGTTCTTCCAAAAACTGTCTGGAATGCCATGGAGGGAAATTGTATTCTGTATACTCCTGCTCTGGGGGAAGGAGGGAGGAAGAGGAAAGAAGGTCTACTTGGAACTGAACTGGCTCCAAGTTGACCTGTTTGCCAATAGAATGTCAGAGTTGAGCCAGCCCTCTGTGACGGTCTTGGTAATATAATAATAATAAAAATAATCCTTCCATTTGATATTGCGCTTTTCACATCTTCTAGGCATCTCAAAGCGCTTCACAGAACATACTGTAAAGTGAATTGACTGCATTTTTGTGGGCGAAACTCGGCAGCCAATTGCACACAGCAGTGTCCCACAAACAGTCGGGGATTGAAGTGACCAAATTATTATTGTTTTTTTTTCTTGAGGGATTATTATCAGGAGCGTGGAGTAAGGAAACTTGCCCAAGGTTTCACCCTGCCGGGAATCAAACCCAGGTCTCTCGCTTCTGAGGCAAGTGCTCTAACCACTGAGCTACAGGACTCTTTGTATGGCATGGCAGACCAGTTCCTGAGCCAGACGGGTCCGCAATAACCCAGGTCACTGCTGATGTCAGAACAACCAGCCTCGCTCATTGATAGGACTTGAAGAGTACAGACTGCTCACTGGGAGCAGGGATGCTCCTACACACAACACATTGCAAGGCAAATCCCGGACAGGTAGGATGGTCTGGGCTGGACAAGCAACAGGAAGCTTGTCAGAGAATATCAATTGCAAGCTACAGTTTTAGTTACGGTTAGTCTCCAGCAGTACCCCAATGTACATTCTGGGGTCCCCAAGACTTGGGTCTCACCAACCTGTGGTTATCTTTCCCCTCCCCACCCCTTCAACTCCCAGCCACAGTGTCAAGTGCCTTGGGACATCCTCCTCGCTATATAGATGTAAATTTGTAGTGTTACACTTTCTGGAATTAGGTAAGCAGGGTGAGTGAGCCCTTCCAAGGAGAGTGCACATTTCATTCCAGACACTGAGAAATGTCCATGTGTAGGTGGTATACAGATATGGAATTCTAAGTCTGGTTTGAACTAAAATTGCATTTTGTTTATAAATATTTGAACAGAAAGTTTGTCCAGTTTGCTTAAACGCAACTGTGTTAAACTCTGAGGTCCTCATTTGATGACTTTGCATTGAACGCTCTGAAAAGTAATGTGTTAACCCACGAGGGCCCTCGGACTTATGGAATATATCCTTTCAAATTAAGCCCGGGCCAGAATAAATTTTCCATTAATTTCAGGCTGGTAGTTTTTAGATTTACCATTTCAGTAATCCAGTTCATTCTTTCAACAGATAAAAGAAAATTAACCCCAAAAAATGTTCGAGTGGTCTGTTGTTGCTACAAAATGAAATTGTAATTCAAGGCATGTATGGTGTACATGCTCTGACATCTATCTGTAGGCAAATGTCTCCCAAAAATACTGTACAAATTGGCATTAAAATATCAATTGTATTCAGAATCACAAAGATGGTACTAAGTCATCTGAAATGTTTAGAGGAAATATACTTTAGGCATACCTAGGTTTAAGAAGGAGGAGGCACCAACATGGTTCAGTTCGTAGTAGTCAGGAGATTGTGGTGTGAACCTCATGTTGGGGAATTGAACTCATGGCTGACTCTCTAGTGTAGTGTTGAGGGAGCACTGCATTGTCAGAGGTGTCATGATTTGGATGAGATGTTAAACTGCGGTCATGTCTATCTACTCAGATGAACATTAAAGATCCCATGGCACTATTTGAAAACAGAAGAGAAGGTCCTCTCTGGGTTTTGGCGGACAATCCCACAATTAAAAATATTGGTCATCTACTTGATGACTGTTGTGGAAACATTAATTTACTAATTTGTTGTGTGTAATTGGCTACTATTTTGGCCTACAAATACACAGTCACGACTTTTATAGTAAGCTATGTGAAGTACTTTGAGATGCTTTTGGGGTGGGATGAGGTGCTATTTGAAATGCAAGGATTACAATTATTATTATTTTACTCAGCATGTGATAGCTTTATTCCTGGCCTCAGGAGAATAAGATAGGAACACATCTTATTAGTTTGTGGAAGTGAATCCTTGATGAGCACAAAAATGTTACAAAAAGGAATAGAAGTTTTTTTTTAAAAAAATAGAGTTATTCTTGAAGTTCAAAAATGTAACTACAGTCACCATTGAATAGTTTGGATAAAGAGGATTTGTTTTTAAAAAGGCCATTCAAATCCAAGTTCCAAATTGGGCCACATTTAGGTGTTCAATAAATTGGTCCAATTCAGTCAATCAAGAATCAGAAACCAGTCTATAATATAGCTACCCCTGGCATTCTTTGTACCTGCAATCAAATAGCAGCAGTTAAATTAATTGATAAAGATAGGACCTTATCACGTAGAAATTTCTCAAAGCACTTCACAGACTAGACTATGAGCTCAAAGTCCCGACATTCAGCCTTGAACTATTCTGACTCAGAGGCAAGAGTGCTACCATCTGAGCCAGGCTGACATTCAGCTCTACGCATGCTTTGTTCTTTGCTTACCCTTCTTTGCCCTGAGAGTTTTTCTCCACAGAGTTGAAAAGATGCCGTCTGTCCAGTCATTTGTGGCTACATCTAGCCGGCCAAACATCTGAGGTGCAGTGATGGCCTTTGGATTCATTCTCATCTCACGATGTGGTTGTCCACAGTCTGAAATAGGGAGGTACATTCATAAGTGGCGATAATTCTGCACCCCCTCACATTAAGATCGAAAAATGCATCATTTCTATACTAATTGTTATTTCATGTTTGAGTGTGAAATCTCCTAAAACAAACATGATCCCAAACTTCATCAAAGGCTCTTTTGCTTTCCCAACTTTTGTTGGACTTTTCAGGCCTACCAAGAAACATCCAGAAAGCAAAACCCAGGTACGATTGTGACATTCAATAAATTACCATGCAAATTATTATGCGTTTCGCCCACAAAATGCACAGTCACTACACTTTACAGCATATTCTGTGAAGCGGTTTGAGACGTCTCATAGACGTGATAAGACATTATATCAATTGCAAGGATTATTATTATTCAATTTGCAAGGGTTATTATTCAGTTTACAGATGCTACATTTTAAACTCTATGCTTTGACTTATTTTGTTTACGTTTGATTGTCACATCTACATGCACTATCAACATAACCTTAAAAACATAACTAAAATAACAGACTGATATAATAATAACATCATTTTTGTTCCTTATCCCAGTTGTGACCTCTCCTCCCCCAATTTCCCAGAATTGGTTGGTCTGAAGTTGCTAATTTTCGTCATTGGACAAGTTAGCCACAGAATGACCAATGAATAAAGTGGAACAATGCTCAGGCACTAAGAGCAACTCCTTTACCTTCCATATAAAACCATCTTTAACATCCACCTGCAGAACAAGCAGATGAGACCTTGTTTTTTACATCTCCTCTGAATGACAGCATCTTAGGCTTTGCAGTGCTCCCACAGTACTGCACACAAGTGTCAGCATAGGCTGTGAGCTCAAGTTCTGATGTGGATTCTTAAACCCATAACAAGAGGTGAGAATGCAATCAATTGAACCAAGCCAGTACCTCAAAGGTAAAGAAAGTGGGGGATATAGAGCCAAACACATTGTGATTAATACAATGAGATTAGGTGCTATGTGTTGGGAAGATGAGTTTTTAGGGGCCAAATGACTCTTTCTCATCCTCTGTTTCATATTAGTCAATGTGCAGCTTACCCGTCATGGCTTTCATTAATGTGTGGATGCAGGTTGTTTTACCAGCCCCACTGGGCCCCAACGTCATCATTCCATGTCTGACTCTTTGAGTCTCAAAGAGCTGAATAACTTTTAGTTTCCAGGGAGGATGACTGACCAGTCCAGCTTCCTGAACCTGACAAAAAGATTTATTATTGGGTATTAAAACAGTTAGCCTGATTGTTGCATTCATCTCAATTTATTTTTCCTTTGTAGGTCTAACTGTACACTGTGCACAGCTGTTTCAGTGTATCATGAGGTCACAAGATCATTTCAGTGCAGTCGAGAGCTTATTAAAATATTATTATCTCTAACTGAACAATCAATAATATAATGTTTTAAATAAAATCAGGCAAAGGAACTAACAAGTTTATGTAGTTGCACTTCCAGTATAAGTATTTATAAAGCTTTGTTGATGCCCCTAATTACTGTACTCTTTACAATTGCTCAGTAATTATGGTTGCTCACTAATACTGTTAAGTACAGTATTACTACATGAAGCACACTAAATAATTGTAAGTTGTTGTTGTAATATCTTTGAAATAACACACAGATAAAGCCCATCTTTAACTGAATTGTTGCTTCTCTGTTTGATTCATATTCTCCCTTTATTTCTACTTGTGTAGTACTTGTGAAAACATCATGTCAGCCAATACTGATCAAAATCTAAATTATTTATTTGTTTTCCCAGAATCAAAGTCAGGAGGTCACTGTACAGATTCCCTGCAATGCAGCATTGTTAACTGTGAAAGGATTCCCTTCTCACTGCATGCATGTCAGCTTATCCACTCAGTTACTTCTATATACTCTGCATCCAGCCCTATAAAATACAGCGACTTAGGCAGGCACGCCTACACAGATGATGCCCATAAACTGTACTTAACAGCAATTATCCATGAAGTGCTCGAAGAAATTGATGTCATAGCCACTATGTCAAATGGAAGCACTTGTATCATGGACCAGGTAATAAGGGCTCCATCAGGTTTTACCTGTTTATCTATAGCAGCCTCCAGTTGTGGATATCCTGCTTTATCCAGTTGAATACCGGGAAACAGGTCTTCGATCAGACTGAGGAAAAGTGGCTCATCTTCATCAATCTTAGTCAGCAAAATGCATTTCAACACAGATCAGTTATAGTGAAAATGTCCATAAAAAGACAAAAGAAATGCTCCTTAAATCAGTACTAGCCAGAAGTGAAATTAAATTTGCATTCTGCAATGTGTTCATTAATTCCTTGTTGAAAAATGTGCCAAATAACTAAAGATTTTGACTGGTCCACAGGGGGAAATCTTCCCCCTCAACTCAGTCACAATTGGATGGTCCGAAAACATGCAATGGACTATCAGTTAATGGGATATGGGCTTAAATTAACAAAATAATAATAACCAATGCCACAATTAGCAGGTCAGTAAATCCAAAACTGGCTTTGGGCCCAACCACTGCAATATAATCCACATGGAGAAAGGGTATAATACCCTCAAACCAGTCATTGTATTTGTATCAGCTGATAGAATTGGTTGCATATTTTAACAATATCATAACACAATGCATCACAAGGGACAATTTCCCTCCATCACTTTAACATTTAAAGGAAACTTGGATGTTTAAAGGCACTATTCAATCTTATTTAGTAAATGAAACAGCTGATTAAATATTACAACATGATGTTTATTACTCATAAAGATCAGGAATGTTTGCTGGTACAATATTCATTTTGTGTTAAAGATTTTCTCTGACAATCTTTAAATTGATGGTCTAAAGGTTTCTTTGATCTTTTGCTTTAGAAATAGAATATGAAATTAACTGCCACAGGTATTTTAAAAGAGATTATAAATATAATTGCATAATGCAGGTTTATGTAATTTTTTTTATATACACGACTGAAAAGTAATTTAAACTCTTGAACACATTGAGACAAAACCAGTGAAAGTCAATTATTAAACTGTACAAAATAAAGTGAATATAAAAGTAGCTCAATAACGTGCCTTAATTCCTGCAGTATTTTGTAATATCTCACAGAAACTTACCAGTTTAGAGAGGTTCATGTCCCGAAGCACACGCATAACAATGGTAGACTCAGTATCATTGGGATTGGCACGTTTTGCAGCTCCCAAAGTTCGCAACACTGATAAGATGTTACGCAGGCCAAAATCATAATGTACCTAGAGGGGACATAGTGCACAAGTTTTCTTTTCCTCTCATTCATTTTCTTCCCCTCCTGAAGAATTTGATTCTTTTATTTCATACTGGGGACATGGTTGTATGAGGGCCATGTTCTCTCTGATAACTCCCCCAAGTGACTATTATTGCCCCGTGAGCCTGCCTGATGGTCAGCCTGATGTTGTCGTCAACTGCTGTCAATGTCCACACACCTCCAGCAGGGGGCGATGAATAGTGACCAGGATTGGGAACTCTGACCTTCCTCTTCTTAAAACAGTTGACAACGGAGGCCAACTTCATCACACCAGCCAGGCCAATCCTGCCCTACCCAGCGCCCACACCCACATCTCCAGCACGGGTCATTGGATGGGGATCATGAGTGGGAACTCTAACTAGATTCCATTTCTCTAAGACAGATCACTAAGGCTGTTTGTAGCAGCTTCAGTGCCATTCCCGACTAAAACCAGCTAACAAAGCACAACCCAGGAATGAAACCTGGGATCTTCATGCTCCTCAAGGCTACTGACTGGATATTAATTCTGAGCCAGGAGGAGGGCATCCAAGCTAAAATCTAATCAGACCCCTCAAAATATCTTTTCCTTCCAGCTCAGCGTGAGGCACCACCACTGTTAAGTGCTCCAAGACACACTACCCTGTGTGAAGGGCACTATACAAAGGCATGTTGTTGTTGCTGTTGTTAGCTGAGGATCTCATTGCTGAACCATTTGAGTATGGATCTCCATTGCAGTTTTCAGTTCAACATGCTTTAATCACTTATTTGGGTGAAGCAACGCGGCAATGCAATGCACGGTCTCACACATCATGAGACATTCTGCTCCTGGCGATGTCCTACAGAAAGCTGCCAAGTGAAAAACATCCCCCACTTCAATATTGTTTCACCTAAAAGCCGGTCTCTGTAGTTATTAAGACGCCCAACCATCTTAACCATCTGGCCCTGCCAGTGCCCAGCTCCCACTATTGCGTTGCTGGCTTTGGTGAACGCTGGCCAAACGCAACTTTCAAGGTGCCCACACACCATTTATCCAGAAATACTATCCATTAAATTTGTTGAGCGCGAACACACACCTGTTTTGAGAGCTGTTCCTCACACAATTTGTATAAGGTGAAGAATTTTCTAGCCAGAGTTATGTTGTCAATAAATCCGCAGCTGGCAAGCTTGACACGAATGATGATCTGACGATCCGGTACCATCATCGCAACAGAGCGGAAGTTGATCTTCAGGTTTTCAGGCAGCTCTTGGCGGCCAGCGTATCCGGGGTTCTGCGGGCCCACAGAACAGCGGCAAGTTTTTACAAGCAACATGGAAATTAGGTTATATCTGGCGTGTCTGACCCCACAATTTGTCACACTGAATTTTTCCCCACTCAAAGTGGTTCAATAACTTAGTAGACACACGACTCCAGCAGTCTGTAAACACTGTAACACCAAGACAACAGACAAAAAATACTCCAACAAATCTCCCTGAGAATAGAGAGGCCTTTCCCCCAATTTACCCTTTCACCACAGAAACCGTCATCCACTGAAGGTGAGGAATCACACACCTTTGCAACTATCAGTCTCACTTCTCATAATTGATTTCAAGAGTTTAATTGTAAATGATACTTTAAGTAAGAAATCCCTGTTTTCTGAGGATCTTCGGAGCCCATCTCCTCCTCTGCCAGGTCACTCTCAATGTCATTGACGTAGGTAGAGCAGTCATGTGTTCCTCTTGGTCTTAATTGAGTCACAATCTTAGGCTGAGAATTAATATCTAAAGCATGGTACCAGTGAGCATCCACAATATAACAAACGCTCTATGGTTTGTGATAAATCAACTCGAAATTTAACTGCAACATTTTGTTCAATGAAGTTCAAGCTAGAATAATAACACTTTCATTTGATAAAGTGTCTTTCACATCAGGATGACGGCCCAAAACACTTCACAGCATCTACTGTAAAGGGGTTTGACTGTGTGCTTTGTGTGCAAATGCTATTTGCAATACAGTACTTTTCAGTTGCGTTCCACATAGTTTATAAAGCCCCTGTCTAAAGTGAGAGGTAACACTTACCAGTTTACTAATAACCGCAACAGCAACTTCTGCTGCCAAAGGGAATTATAACAAGACACACTGAACAATTGTTAATATAAATTTATTAGCTGAAGAACAGCAGCAGTGAAGGCACCGCCACACAGAACATACAGCTGTTAAAAACAGAATATTCCAACACAAACAGCATAGGACACAGTAAGCGATATTGCACTCAGACTATTCTATTCAACACGAGTTAGAGGTAAAAAAAAGCAAAAGAAAACTTTTTTCCACACATAGGAAAAGCTATTTACAAACTATAAATTTATAGAATTGTCAAAAGTCTGAACATCTGAGTGCAGTGTCAGCCTTATTCAGAGCTGACTGGATTTGAACTCAGGGCGCAAGAGCTTTATGTTTTCTTACCTTGCCCAAGTGCACCAAATTATAAATTGACTTACCATGGTGAGGAAGATCCCAAATTCGGCATTCATTTCTACAGAATCTCCATCTGTGAATATGAAACTCTTTTTACGCTCCTTCTTACAGGTCAGCACTATAGCAATCTGTTGAGCAGCCACTGAGAGAACGGGTAGGTCAATGCGATTAAATTCATCAAAACAACCCCAGGATCCAGACTGCGCAAGACCTAATGAAATAAACAAAAATGTTGACATTTTATAATAATACGCATATAATATAGCGTCTTTCACGTTTGGAGAACAGCTCAAAGAAGTCACTAGATTTTACTATAAAGTGTTGTGTTTGTGTATTTGTAGGCACAACGCTGCAGCCAATTTGAGTACAGCAATGTCCTACAAACAGTCATGAAACGAATGATCATTTTTATCTGAGGGATTGTTGGCCACGAGAAACTCCCTTTGTTTTTTGAATAGTGCTGTGGGGTATTTAATGTTCACCTCAACAAGCAGACAGTTTTAATATTTCTTATGAAGGCCCGCACCTCTGACAACGCAGAACCCCCTCTATTGGTATCAGCCTGGATATAGCTCAAAGACCCTTTGTGAGGCTTGAACTTATTATCTTCTCAAAGGTGAAAATGCTACCAACTGAGCCAAGCTGTCAAATGGATATATCCCCAAGAGAGGGTCCACACCCATATATCTGCTAGAGAAGGTCCACACGCACCTCTTTTCTAGACTGCAAGCCACCCAGAATCAATTACTGAATAACATGATAAATCCTGGATAAGCCGCGAGAAAGTTTACCAGACAGTGATATCAATGACAAGCTATGCAGTTTTAGCTAGTTAGACTCCAGCCATACCCCAACCCACACTCTGGAGACCCTAAGCCTTGGCTCTTGCCAACCTGCACCAAATACTCTCCAGAATTAGGTAAGCAAAATGCATCCCTCCAGAGAGAGAGTATGCATTCCATTCCAACAATTTATCTCTGGGATTTCCATGTCTAGGTGGGATGCATGGAAATATCAGCTTGGTTCGGATACTACTAAACACGATGATGGGTTTCTGCATGTGTCAGACACCCGGCTGATCAAAAAAACGTAAATCTTTTATCAGCTTTCTCAGGCTGCAAATAAAATCTACCTATTATTCTACCTATTTAAAAAAATAGGTTCTTCTGGATGTTTATTGTTAAGGGAAGCTGCATACTCTGATCAACGTTCTCCTTGTGGGGATGCAGCAAGGAAATGTAGAGCAGATGGTTCCTCTGCAGAGCTATCACAGCACAAACAGAATGGGCAAAACAGTCTCCTTGTGTGTTGCAGTTTCTATCAGACAGTATTTAATACACCCAATGTCCAGATCCCAACACAGATTCAATTTCGCATTTCATCTTTAGAGGAATCGCAAGTTCCAAATTGAACATCACTGCTGTGTGTTTTCCAGAGATTGCCACAATGATTATTTAACCCTTTACAAATTACAGTGACATTCACCACAACAAAACAGGAAAATTACCAATTTTAGTTTGTCAAGGAGAGCTGTGACTTTGAGCATGTCCTGCAGTTGTGCATTACTATCTTGTGGAGTTTAACTATTAATTCTAAACATACACTGACAAAACAGCACTGATTTACAGAAAACACTGCCTATTGTCATTGCTCAGGCTACAATACACTACAAAATAACATTTGTATAACGCCTTTCACGTCGGGAGGACGTCCCAAGGCACTGGATATTCTCACCCCTTCTATCCCACCACTTGCAGCGAAGATTTCAGCCACTCTCTGTTTTACTCCTTGCTTTTTCAAAATTTCTCTGTCACACTCCCTCTCCTGGCTTTAAAAATCCTTCTAAAAATTCAGCTTTTTGACCCGATTGCCTACAATCACCTCTCCTACTCTTTACTTCCACACATTCTCAATCTTCCACACCTTCCCTGTGAAGGTCATGAGACATTATCTGTGTGAAAGACACTAGAGAAGTGCGAGTTGTTGTATATGGTTCATAGACTACGAAGACTAAACAAAACAAATGTGTAATTGTTCAAAACCTCCCAGCAAATCTGCACATTTAAGAATTTTGTATTTTGCGAAACACCCACAAAATATACATCAAGGTAGAAAGTCATGTGTCTGAAATGAATCAATCAGACCTTTAAAAATTCTCCCAAGGCCTCTGAAGTCCATTTGGTCGGAGCAGTTGAAAACCACAACGTATTTCCCGAGGCACTTGCCCATGTCCTTGGTCGTTTCAGTCTTGCCTGTGCCAGCTGGTCCAGCAGGTGCTCCTCCCATGTTCATTCCAAGTGCCTGAGCGAGAGTAATGTAACATCTGAAAAATATGAAACAATGAAAAATATGATGGTTTATCTTTTGAATAGATAACTAGTCTTCTAACCCCTTACCAACCTGCCCGTTGCCTCCGTTCAGCGGGCTCTGGCCTGCTTCATGGCCTCCACCTCGCCCACCCCACCATTGGCGGCCAGGCCTTCAGCCACTCTGCCCCCACCCTCTGGAACTCCATTTCGCAGTCCCTCCCCTCCCCCCCTCCCTCACCTCCTTCAAGGCCTGTCTCAAGATCCTCCTCTTTGACTGTGCTTTCGATCACCCTCCTTCTCCCCCCTGACCCCCACCTTCCCCAATCCCAACTTGGGTCAGAAACAATGATTGTCCAGTGCTTTGGGACATCCTCCTGACATGAAAGGCGCTATACAAATGTAATTTTTTTGTTATTGTTCTGATCCTAGGGATAAATCACACTGTTGATACAGAGGAGAGATAATTTTGGACAACACTGTCATGTACTATTGGACCTGATTTGGGGCTGCTAGATGCTAACATTAAGGCATCTGGAATAAAAGAACATCACAAGCACAAGAAATCCTCAGCAAATGAGCACAAAGCAACAAAACCACATGAGAAATAAATATAAATCAGAGTGCTCACAGCACTGATTTGCTAAGTGGCAATTGCAATAAAGGCGGTGATTAAACCACTGCATCTATTAGATTATGCTTCAGTCTTCATTAACACGGTTCGCATGACCTTATTAACACCAGGTTTTTGGTGGTACATAACGTACGATTTCCAATGAGGACTTAGAGAGAGACCAGATACCCACAATAATAAACAAGCTGTGTAACTCAAAATAGAATATGGTCTTAAACATTCCATTAAAACTGGGAAGGACTCTGGGTTTACTGAGCACAGGCTCTGCCCACCAAATACAGCAGTAACTCCACCATTACTAGCTGCGTTTGTGTATTAGATGTAAGGATCAACATAATTGTTTTTATGCCAATATTCACCTAGAAATACCTTTTTTCAATCAAAGTACATTTTAAAAAACTGAAATTGTTGATTTTACTCAGAATCCGTGATAATGTTCACATTGCAAAACAAGCCTCACTGGACTGTGAATGGGGTACTTACTCACTCTCTCTGCTCCAAGAGGCTTTTGACAGCAGCTCCTCTCCATTTTGACTTCTATGTACCCCTGCTTTCAAACAATTCCAATAGACCCACCTCTTTGACCATGCTTTGGGCAACCTCTATATTGCTCCCACTTGGGAGAATATGAAGCTCCCACTTCTTTCCAACGTGAAGGGCCCAATCCAAGTGTAATTTGTTGTTGCTGTAGGAATGTGTGTAGGTCTTTGGCTTTTAAGCATGTTCTGACATTTTACTGGATAAATGGCAGATCTCTTCATCTAATTTCCATGCTTTTTCTCCATATCTCTTCATGCCCTTACTGCCTAAGAATCTCTGCAACTACCTTTTCATAAGTTCAGTTCCTGGCGTGCCAACCATCATTTCCAATGTCAAACAATTTTAGACATTCTCTTACATGAACGGGCTACTTAAATGCAAGATGTTGACACTCAGTGAGCAAAGCATAAGCCTCCTGGGAATTGATCTCATAACCTTCTGTTCAGAAAAAGCCTCACCTGTCAGTGAGGGGTGTTATAACCAGTCTGTCTGTGCAACCCAGGAACTCGTTCTGGTAGATGAACCCAACGTCTGTGATGCTGATCCGCATCTTGTCCAAGTCCTCATTAAAGTAGAATCTGCATTGCTTCAGCCATTCAAAATCGGCAGGAGTTTTAACGTGCAAACGGCACTATGAAACAAAATGATATTGCAGACAAGGGATTTAACACATTCTTTGTGTATCTACAACAGCAACAAAATTACATTTGTATAACGCCTTTCAGGCCCCACCCCCCATCGTGGGCCAAGCAGGGCGGGGGACATGAAGCAGGTCGGAGCCCGCTAAGCGGAGGGAGCGAGCAGGGTGGTAGGGGTTAGGAGGTCAGAGAGGTAGTGGGGAGCAAGACGATGAAGGGCTTTGAAGGTGAGGACCAGGATCTTGAACTGTATCCTCTGTGTGATGGGAAGCCATTGGAGTTGGGAAAGGTTGGGGGTGATAGGGTCAAGGAGCCTAGTGCGGGAGAGGAGCCAATCAGGAGAGCTTCGGTTTTATTAACGTTCAACTGAAGAAAGTTAGCTTTCATCCAGGACTTGATGTCTGATAGACATTCTGTCAGGACAGCAGTGGTCCTGGAGCATAAATACTTTTATTGTATTATGTTAAAAATTATGCTAAAAAACACTTTTATTGTATTAGAATAAATGCTTTTATTGCATTATATTAAAAAAGTACTATTGGTATTAAAAAAGAAGGGACTATCATCTACCTAGAGAAATATTCACCAACTCTATAATGAAAATGTACTTCTGTGGTGCCAGGAACTGACAGTATACTTGCTGATAGGTGCATTTAAATATTTATTGCTTATTACATTGAAATACGTTTACACTTAAGAGATGTTTAAGCTATATCTATTCAGTGCAGAGATAATGGCCTAATGTTCAGGGATTTGGGGGTTGTTTTCTTGCACCACAGAGAGTAGATGAGAGCAGGAGAACATTATTCTCTAACACCAGGGGAGGACAAAGACTCCTCTCTAAAGGGATGCCATTGTGCTGAACCCATGACCAACTGGAGTTGGGTTATGATTGCTCACATAGAAGATCTGCCCAGCAGACAGTGAGAGGTTTTTGTCCCAACAAGCTGCCCTGGGTCCAACCCCAGGAAAGGAGCAGTAATGACTCAAAGAACAGAAGTGGGAGGAAAAGCAACTCTACAAAGAAAAGCAATAATAAAGATCGAAAAGGCAAGGAGGTTTGCAATATAAGTTTTGCCCAGGAGCAATACATACATTTCTAGTAAATAACCATCACCATCATTATTGAACCAATTTATTTCCTTTGATTGCTTCATCTCTCTCAAGAGGCCTCTCTAAACTTAAAACATTCTTTTTATATACCTTTGGTCCCCCGGCTCCCCCCGCCCCACCAGCTCGGCGTCAGGCTCCACCACTGTTAAAAGCTTTGAGACGCTGCCCTGCATGAAGGTTGGTCAGATAAAGAAACTTCATGAATACAGAGATGAGCAAATTGTTTCAGTTCTTACTAAGTCGTCAAAGATATCCCGCTGGTGCACATGGATAGTGATGAGGGTTTCGTATTTCACCCGGTCGACAGGGCTCAAGTCCTTTGTTGTCATGTCGATCAGGGTATTGAGCAGATCCAGGAAAGACTGGTTGGTTTTTGACATGATTTTGCGATCCTGCTTGGCATTGGTCAGCGCCTCCTCAGAATCCTTCGTCCAAATCATTTGAATTCCGAGCAAGCCAACCTTTGGAAAAGAGATATTAATGAAGCTACATATATCCTAAAAAGCCACTGTACAGGGCTCTGAGACGCTCTCTGGCACGAAGGCCGCTATATAAGTGCAATTTGATGTGGTTGAACATANTTTTTGAATTAAAACAATGTTCACCTGTAATAGACTGGGGGTGGGGGAAATAAGGTCAGTTTAAGCAAGGATAAATTCTTGAAATGTTCTGATACAGACAGCAATCCTCAAATCTACTTTTCTGTATTTAACCCGCAAGAAATATTTTTGTTGCAAATATGAATGGTAAGATCATCCAACTTTGAGTTAGAGAAACAGTGCTTTAAAAAAGGCACTGTTTTGAGTTAGCAGGCCAATTTTGCACAATAAAATAATTTGATATCGCATCTCATCATATCATATTGTTCATATCAAAATTTCTCAAAGTGCTTCATGCAGTGAGTTTGTTTGACGTTTAGTGACTACTGTTTTGTCTACAAAGATGCAATATTTCCAAATGGAATAAAGCTCAGAAATGCAATGATTGAGCCTTTTTTTATATAAATAATAAACTATATGTAAGAATATTATTTGTTTAAAAAGCCATAGGTGGATAACATCACAAAATGTTTCTTTCAACTTTGATCATTATTTTGCTAATAAATGATACGCTGCATTTTGCCAACTAATAAGCTTATATAATCCATGACCAATCAAATAAATCAAATATTTGAAACAATAACTGCGAAGGTTCCCTTCCCTTCCCTTTGACAAACACTGGTGTTTATTTGATCCTTTAGTTATATTAAGAAATGTAGCATTTTATCAAAACATATACTGTATATTATTTTCTGAAACAGGTTGCAATGCAGGGCAGGGTGTGGAGCAGAGAATAGTAGCGTTTCAGGCAATGCCATAAGTAGTCTAATAAATAATAAAACAACCAAAATACTCATCCTGCGAATTGAGCACAATCATAGCATTATTTCCTTACTAAAACATTTATATTATTTGCCTTTACTATATATTTTTAAAACTGGGTGGGAAATGGACTTATTTTATTATTACTCAGAATAATAATCTTTGCATTTGATGCAGTGGCTTGAATGTCTGGAGGACTTCTCAAAGCACTTTCCAGGATTTACTGTAAAGTATAGTGACTGTCAATCTTGAAGGTAATTGCAGCAGAAAAAAAGTCCTGTGGGTGTGCTATAACAGTCAGAAGTGCTGTTCTTCTGGTAAGATGCTAAACCGAGGTCCCACCTTCCTGTTAAAGATCCCATGACAATATTTGAAAACCGAAGGGAGTTTCTTCCAGTGTCCTGGTCAATAATCCCCCAAATAAAATTGGGTATTCATTGAATGGCTGTTTGTGGAAGACTGTTTTCTGCAAATTGGCTTCAAATACACTGTATCCTGTGAAGTATTTTGAGATGTCTCTTTAAAGTGTCCCACAAACAGCAGTGAAGTGAATGTGCAATTTAATTTGTAAATTTTAATTTACAGATATAATTTTAAATTGAAAGTACCACACAAGAGACTCTTTACAAAATTGATTAATTGAGGTACTGATCATACTAGGCTATTTTTACATAGGGTGGGAGAATTTGAAGATGCAAGTTGCTACTTACTGTTTATTGTTTGTGCAAATAAACTGCAAGAGTATTGCAACTTTTTCAATCACATACCTGTGCAGGAAAATAGTTAAGAAACTCAATCAGTTGGAAGCTGGTGTCCTGAATGCTGGCAGATGCTGAGCGAATGATGAGATGGAGCGATTTCTGGGATTCCACCAGTAAAGCATTCAGCCAGACTTCAACGTTTCCTTCTGCCATGACAGGCTTATCCAGTTCAATGATTTCACCCTCACGTGAAGAAATGGCCAAAATACGGTCATACACCTGCTGATGCACAACATTACTGAAAGAACATTCTTAGTGCTGCCACTTTAGTAAAAAAACACACCCAGCATTGTACTTTTAAATTGACACAATCTAGTGTTAATGGAAGCGCTCTGGGTGAGGGGCACTATATAATGCAAGTTGTAGTTGTTGTTAATAGTATTATTACTTTCTGCTGCCAATACCTCCAGTGATTCTAACCAGAGGGAGTAACTCACTGATCAGAGGATTACCTCAGGAACAGAGGAGAGAACCGATCTGGCCACACAATGTGCACCTCCTGTTACCATGAAATAGAATAGATTGCGGCCATCAAAATAATGGTAAATAATAATCCTTGCATTTGATATAGACGTCTCAAATCGCTTCACAAAATATATTGTAAAGTAGATTGACTGTGTATTTTGTGGACAAAAGATGCCAAAGTACAGCTGCCAAAAGCCTGTTGTGGCCAGACCAGCTTTCCTAAAGCACCTTCCCTTCACATGTCGGAACAAATAACATGTTGAAAACAATAACCTTTCAAATCATAGAACAAGTTGAAGTTAGTGGTACATAATACACATATTGAAGGTGATAGTAGTGAACCTCCCAACCCTGTTCTCAATGGCGACCTTTGAGAAGCTGGGCCCAGGGTACTGGACCTCTGACACATGGCTTTCAGGTGTCAATTAATGGGATACCATTTACTCTAAAGCTTTCTGATTAATAAAAAGCCTGTGAACTGACAGTCAAAATCTATGTGTGAGAACTCCAATGCCTCGAATCAGGTCTTGGCCATCTCTACTGAGAACGGTGTTGGAGTATTCATCTTCAATAGATTCAGTATGATAAATATAGGACATATCAAAAAAACTGATGCCAAGAGCTAACAAACGAGATTTACAGTCCAGTGCAATTTTAATTCTTTGAACTGAATTACACTGGACCATAAATGCCTCTTATTAGCTCCTAGGGTGCAGTTATGTGCATCAGCCTGGCAGTTGGTAGCACTCTGAATCAGAAGATTGTGGGTTCAAGCCCCACATTGGGGCTTTGAATCCTCACAGGGATTGCTGGATTGTTGGAGGTGCCATACTTTGAATGAGACGTTAAACTGAGGTCTCGTCTGTCTGTCAAAGTGGACATTAAAGATCCCGTGGTACTATTCTCCCAGTGTGCACGGCCAAACATTCCCCAAATAAAATTGGTTATTCAATTCATGGCTGTTGGAAGGATATCGAGAGACATTGCTGTGTGCACATTGACTAGTTTGCCTACAAAATATACAGTCACTACATTTTACAGTACAGCCTGTGAAGTGCTTTGAGATGTCTTCCTGATCTGAAAGGCTGAGGTACACACTCCTTAGGCACTGATCCAGAGATATAATGTGACCTGATTGAGTTCACTTGTCTACTTAGACAATCTGCTAATGCCTATGCAGCCTTCTTTCCCCAAGTTTCTCCAACCCTCCACCTCAAACTTATCATAGCATTATTTCCTTACTAAAACATTTATATTATTTGCCTTTACTATATATTTTTAAAACTGGGTGGGAAATGGACTTATTTTATTATTACTCAGAATAATAATCTTTGTATTTGATGCAGTGGCTTGAATGTCTGGGGGACTTCTCAAAGCACTTTCCAGGATTTACTGTAAAGTATAGTGACTGTCAATCTTGAAGGCAATTGCAGCAGAAAAAAAAGTCCTGTGGGTGTGCTATAACAGTCAGAAGTGCTGTTCTTCTGGTAAGATGCTAAACCGAGGTCCCACCTTCCTGTTAAAGATCCCATGACAATATTTGAAAACCGAAGGGAGTTTCTTCCAGTGTCCTGGTCAATAATCCCCCAAATAAAATTGGGTATTCATTGAATGGCTGTTTGTGGAATACTGTTTTCTGCAAATTGGCTTCAAATACACTGTATCCTGTGAAGGTTTGCAGCACCACCCCTGTTTGTATCATCTGAGGGAACATCTTAAGGAACTTATACAAAGCAGCAGAGTAACAGCAATAACTTTATATAGTGCCTTTCACATTGGGAGGACAAGGTAAAAAAAACATACCAAGCTCAGAACAGCTGTTTAAGTGTTCTTCTACAAAGCAAACAGGAATCTCATTACAGAGTTCTCATTTGATTTTTCTTGGTTTAACAAGGACAGCTGCAGTCTTGAAAGGCCACAGAATTAGCATATAGATATAAAAAGGTGTTTATTAATAGCTCATATATTCATTGCGTGAGCTGGAGAAAATAAAAAGGGTTGTTTGAAATCACTACCTTACCTTTTCATGGAAGCTGACGGTTTTAATATTGTCAAAAACATTCAGCAGGTGTGCCTGGATTGTGTGAGAATCTGAAGCCTGACCAAGGATTTCGAGAAGTGCCGGGTCAGATACAAAAAAGAATCGAGGAAAAAGCAACCGCTTCTTCTCAAGGTACCTATAAGACCAACAGCACCAACAATGAATGGAAACACCACAAATCCAAGAGGGAGAAAATTCCATTGAAACGTGAGATATTATAACAATAATAAATAATAATCCTCGCATTTGATATAACACTGAGACGTAGCAAAGTGCTTTACAGGCTTTTACTGTTAAATCCTAGTGACTATGTATTTGTAGACCACCTCTATGATACATGACAAGATTGGTTTAGATGAAGAAAGTCCTTCTTCAGCCCATCTAATCTCATCCCTCCAGAATACCCACCCTACCGTCCTCCCATCACAGCATCAAGCTGCTTTTCATGAGTAGCCCATTTCTTTTTAAACTTTGGGATTTGCCAGATGGATCGTAATGACGTTTTCCAATTCTATACATGGTTATCTTTCTGTGTAAATGTAAACATTGCTGGTATAAACCGTTTTGAAACCAGAAAAAATAATTAACCTAACTGTAGACTTTCCCACATATTTACAATAACCAAGTCAAGCTCAAGCAATGAAACCAAAATCTGAGTTGATAAGCTTGATTGAAACAATGTGAACTCAACTAGTTTAGATAATAAGGTTGAAAATGCATCCGCCAGAAAAACAATAGCGGAAATGAAACCTTGAAAATGCCTCTCAGGACTTAATGCAGAACCCCATAGACTTCATACCCACCCACAGGAACTCAGTTCTGATCGGACATGCTATGCTATTGTCTTGCTTCTTACCCAGTCAGAGACTTTTGGCAAATTTCCAGTTGCTCCAGCAAATGAGGCAACAGCTGGCCCATGGTTTCATCCCCTACACAGCACTGCACCACACTGAGGGTCTCATGTGCCCGAGTCATGATCTTCACCCAAGATTTGTCAATGTTGGAGAAACGCTTGGCTTCCTGCAGTAAATACAACAACAACAAAATTACATTTATATGGCGTCTTTTACGTCGGGAGGATGTCCCAAGGCGCTGGACAGACAGAGTTATGGACCTGAGCTGAGAGTCGGAGTCGGGGAGGGGGGAAGCAGGAAGATCAAAAGCACGGTCGAAAAAGAGGGTCTTGAGATGGGTCTTGAAGGTGGCGAGGGAGGGGGCAAGACGGAGGGACTCGGGATGGAGTTCCAGAGGGTGGGTGCAAAGTGGCAGAAGGCCTGCCGCCGATATTGGGGTGAGCAAAGCAGGGGACATGAAGCAGGCCGGAGCCCATTGAGCGGAGGGAGCGAACTGGGTGGTAGGGGGTTAGGAGGTCAGAGAGGTAGAGGGAGCAAGACCGTGGAGGGCTTTGAAGGTGTGGACTAGGATCTTGAACTGTATCCTCTGTGTGATGGGAAGCCAATGGAGTTGGGAAAGGATGGGGGTGATAGGGTTGCGGAGCCTGGTGCAGGAGAGGACACGGGCTGCAGAGTTCTGGATGATCTGCATCAGTTGGGGAGGCCGACAACCAGGGAGTTTGCATAGTTGATCCTCGATGTAATGAAGGCGTGTATGAGGGTTTCGGTGTGAGATAGTGTCGGAGTTGGGCGACCTTGCGGAGGTGGGGGAAGGCAGAGCGGGTCATGGCGCAGATGTGAGGTAGAAAGGATAGTTGAGGGTCAAACAAGACCCTCAAGATTCCGCACTGGTTTGGTAAGGTAGAGTGTGCAACTATGGATGGTGATGCTGTCAGCACCTGAGGTGAGATTGTTAAGCACCTTGGATGACATGACATCCTCCAGACATGAAAGGCGCGATACAAATGTAAATTTGCAATGTTTTGTTCAGACCTAGGAATCCACTTCAATGACTCCAGAGAATGAAGTTGAGAAAAACAGAGGCATTTCCTTGTTTTTAAAAAAAAGGTACTGAATTGATCAAATGAGTGTGTTTAGCAGTCCACTGCCAATCCCCAGAGTCATTGGTAGCCCTGCCAGATGGTGATATTAATGGCAAGCTATGCTATTTCAACCCAATGCACACTCTGGGGTCCCCAAGCGTTGGCTTTTGCAAACCTGTGCCTAATACTTGTGCCTAATCAGGAGTTAGGTAAGCAGGAAGTGTCCCTCCAGAGAGCGAGTGCACATTCCATTCCAACAATCTATCTCTGAAATTTCCATGTGTAGGTGGGATGCATGGAACCCTGTTTGGTTTGGATACTCTTAAGCATAGTGAAGGATTTCTATATGTGTCAGACACACTGCTGATCAAAAGAAAAGGGGGTCATAGGTATTGTAAACATGGCAAACTTTGGCAGTTTTCGCCAGATGAGCATTCATTCCAGCCTGTGAAAAACTGGGAATGTGCTCCAGGCACAACAATGAACATCTGAGCCTTCTAACCACACTTGGACAAGGTCTCAATCTGCCACCATGATCAATGTCATACCTTTGGAAGTTGCTTAGCAATGTCTCCACCTACAAACACGGCCTCCAGGTAAATCCACAGGTTCTGTACAGTCATCCAGTTCTCAATAATGTCAGTCGTGTTTGAAAGATTGTGGACCCATTTCTGAATCTGCGGTTTGAAAGGAGTGTTGTACCTGACAAGAGAAAAGCAAAGAGAAAAAATAGCACAAAAAGCTCTCAAAATGACAACTGTCTCAGGAAAAATGATATCAACCACATTATCCAGAGTGAGCCAGAACAGCGATGTGGTTTGGGCAGCACTAATTTGGGAGAGGGGGCAGCATTAATTTGAGCCTAGCATTGTACTGCTGAGAGGTAGGAATGAGATTGGGAAGCTGAATTTTTGCTAAAGGAGGTTCCTATACACAATAGACACTGCCATCAGAAGGAAAGGTTCTTAACTACTTAACCTACCCCACGAACATCCATGTCACTCCTTCAGGACTTTTGTTATTGCATTTTGGCAACTTTCAGAAACCTCAATCCTACTCTGAAACCAACTATAGAGGCAAGATTGAGGTCGGTGAATTTATGCTTCCCATCCCTTTTATAATAACAATACGTGCACTTGATATTGTGCCTTATATGTCAGAAGAATGCCTCAAAGCACTTCATAAGATTTTACTATAAAATGTAGTGACTGTATTTTGTAGGCAAATATTGCAACTTCAACCCCAGTGATAGAGTACAAACACTCTAAAACGTACAATATGTACAAGAGCAAGCATTCTGAGACACTGCCCATGTAAAGGGTACTGTAGAAACACAAGTTGTGTAGACTAGATTTAATCTGTTATTGGATGGTTACAGATATTTTTAACTCAAGTTGGAGACATGTGTTTCTGTATTGAATGCTTGAGAAAGCTGGAGTTAAATAATGCCACTGATAATGCGTACCTGTTACTCATCAGTGAGCCCAAGATCATCAAGCTGTCCTCCATGTTAGCAATGATTTCTGATGTACTGTCTCCCCTCAGCAGCAGTTCGCCCCGTGCTTTGAAGCTGGCAAAGGTGAATGTTTTGTTATCCCACTCCCCTATGACCTGCTTCAGTTTCTGCTCAATGTCCTTCTCTTTCACTGCACTGATGCAAATATCCTGCAAAAACACAAGCAAAACAGAGAATTTCAACGTGGAGGCCCTTTATAATAATATTTTATGCAAATGTAAGTTTAGGCTATAATCAGATTTCTTTTGTTGTGAGGTTATCAAATGTACTGCCTCCTCAGTATTCCCCAGCCACACACTTGCTGCAGTGTATTGGGCAGTGAACTCTCTCACGTAGCCTGGCCAGCTGTTAGGATACAGGCAGTGGAAACATGGAAAATGACAGGATAAAAAATTTCTCACGGAGGCACTTGAGGCCTGAAAATCATGGTGATAACCTTTAGAAAATTCAGTCCTAATTTTGAAATGCTTCACAGTAATTAATTACTACTTCACAGTAAAGTGCAGTGACTATGTGACAGTCAATTTGCACTCAGCAATGTCCCCCAAACAGCCATGAAACGAATCACCAATTTTATTTGCGGGATATATGGCCAGGCACTGGGAGAAACTTCCTAACATAAAACAATGTACTTTTGCCAAGAGCATTGAATATTTTAATCTACAATATTAATGCACCTCAATTTCTTCCTTGTATTTCAGAAGAGGCGCTTCCATGATGTTCCTCAGCTTAAAAGTTTCACTTTCCACGTCAAAACTGTGCCCAGTGGTTTCTGCAATTCGCTTCCAATGCCGTAGCATCATGGCCTTATCAGACATGTGCTCGAGGAGTGGGCAGCACTCATTGAAGTCATCGATGGTTTGCTTCAGCTCCAGGTATGCTTGCCATTCTTTTAATGCACGTGGAAGCTTACGGCATCTGGAGTAAAAGAAAAAAATCACAGGTTATAATGTTGCTTGTTACGCAATGGTTACCACGATAATAATAATCCTTGCATTTGATATAGCGCCTTATCACGTCTTCGAGACATCTCAAAGCGCTTCACAGAATATACTGTAAATTGACTGTTTACTTTGTGGGTGAAACACCGCAGCCAATTGCACACAGCACTGTCCCACAAACAGTCGTGGTTTGAGGGACCAATTTTTTTAAAAAAGGAATTATTGCCCCTGGAAAAGTGATCTGGCAATCGACTAACAGGGATCCTACTTACTGCTAGGTGAACAGAGGGGTGTGGAGTAAGGAAACTTTCCCAATATTTCGTCCTGCCGGGAATCAAACCCAGGTCTCTCACTTGCGAGGCGAGGGTGTTAACTACTGAGCTGCAGTTCCAATACAATCTAACATGGCCAGCTTTTATTAAAACATTCTGTTTGGAATAAGCTGTGGACTGTGGACAATTTTCCTTTGCGTCTGTCGGAACATTGCAACAGCAATAGGCCATTCAGCCACTTGAGCCTGTTGCACCATTCTACGAGATCATGGTTGATCTGTACCTCAACTCCACCTTTGCCTCATATCTCTTTATGCCCTTATCTAACAAATCTATCCACCTTAGTCTTGAAAATGTGAATGGATCCAGCATCCACAGCCTTTTGGGGGAGAGTTCCAGATTTCCACTACTCTTTGCGTAAAAAAATGCTCCTGATTTCACTCTTAAATGGCCTAGCTCTAATTTTAAAATGAAGCCCCGTTGTTCTGGATTCCACCCAGAGGAAATAGTTTCTCTGTATCAACCCTATCAATCCCTTTATTATTTTAAAAACCTCAATCCGATCACTCCTTAACTTTCTAAACTCAAGGGAATACAGACCAAGTTTATGCAACCTGCCCTCATAATTTATCATTCTGGTATCATTCTAGTGAATGATACAAAGTTGCAACGGGCAGTGACTGGATTGTCTGATCTTGCATTTTTGACTCGCAAGTGTGAAAAGCGCTATATAAATGCAGGTTGTTGTTGTAGCTTGGGTTGTATTATTCAGATTCACAAATAATCTTAAGCACGGGTTTCCATAATCATAATTTGCTCCTCATACACAATAACCATTGTTTTACAGCCACAACTGTTCACGTTGGAGAAATGTTTGTATGTTTATATCATTTTCATAATATAACAATAATGTTGTTTCAGAAAAACACAGGTTAAATTTTGTGGTCACCCTTTATGCTGACCATTCTTTTACACATTTAGATTTTCCACTTTAGCTGCTTTGCTCATAATAATAATAATCCTTGCATTTGATATAGCGCCTTATCATGTCTTCGAGACGTCTCAAAGAGCTTGACAAAATATATTGTAAAGTGAATTGACTGTATATTTTGTGGGCGAAACTAATATAATAGTATCTTTGTCCAACTCCTGTTGGGGTTAACTAACATTTTAACATTCACTCACTTACACTTGGCTACTTGGCAATGACAGAGTGAGAAAATAAGACTGGAGAGTGAAACAGACAGGTATAAGTAGACACAACCAGAGAGTAAAACAGACAGGAGGTGGATTTTGCTTTCCAGATTTCTCCCCAATCCCCAATTTGACTTTCCAAGTTTTGTGAATATCACAAATTAACCCCTGATTTCGGTAATAAACAAACATGCAGTCACCTGTGCTGGAATTCCTGAAGTTCATTGTTGATTCTGTCTATGTTGACCTCTGACCACAGGATGTCGTAGTAGCTGCTGACCGTATCGATCACATTGTTGTAGAGACCGTACAGCTTCTGAAGCAAAGCCAATTGTTTTCTGATATCCAGTAGCTGAGAATACTGAGTGACAGGCAAACCGAAGAGCTCCTCACCACCGGTGTACGTGATATACTTGCGAAATAAATTATCAAATTGATTCTGGAAACAAAATAAAGTAAGCATTTTGTTTGTGTTCTTTCAATGCAATATTAGTTTTAAAACAGTTTACAGTAGTTGTCTTATGCATGAGCTTACAGGAGCAGAATTCGATATGCATCCAATAGTGACACCAGTGCACTAGTAACACAAAGCGTCAGTCACCAACCTGCTGTGTCCTAAATTGCTGAAATACATACATGGACTTTGGACTCACCCACAGTCCGTTTCTAATGACACAAGAAGTGATCAGAGACTGGGTGTCCCAAAGAAAGTTAAAAATTTGTGCACCTTTGCTATCAAAGACTTTTTAATGACACTAGGAGCTAAGCATATCCTCAGCAATTTCACATTATCCTCAAGATACTGTGTGAGATTCCCAAACTGTGGGGAGACCTCAATCAATCCGTAGGAGTCCTGGAGCTCAGTGGTTAGAGCACTCGCCTCGCAAGCGAGAGACCTGGGTTTGATTCCCAGCAGGACAAAACACTTGCATTTATAAAACACCCTTCAGGTGGGGCAGCGTCCTGGAGCACTTAAATATAATACAAATAATACATCCTCTCAAATACATTGATGCTTTTTATCATTACCACAGTTTCGAGTGATGAGTTCCACCTTCCCACCATCGTTTGAGTAAAGAAGTTCCTCCTAAATGTTACAGATCTCACAAGATCAGTTTGGATGAAGAAAGTCCCTCAGCTCATCAGATCTCATCTCTCCAGAATACCCATGTTTCTGTCTTTCCACCATTGCATCAAGCTGCTTTTATAAATGACTCTAATATCTTGGCTTCAACCACTCTTCAATTATTAATTAACCTCTGTGTGAAATCTGTTACTGGTTATTTTATATTTATGCCTTCTCATTTTGGGACTCACCAACAGATGGAAACAGCCTATTAGCATCCACCATATTGAATCTTTTCATAATCTCAAAACACCTCTACCAGGCCCCCTCTTAATCATCTCATCTCCAGAGAGAAAATCTCTAATCAGTCCAATCTTTCTTGATAGCTGTATTCACTCATCCCTAGTAATATCCTTGTGAATCTAAGCTGTACTTTCTTGAGGTTATGCACCTTTAGTTTCACACAAAGGCTATTGGTTAACAGGGAAGTCAATTGAATACATCTAATTACTGTCAGGATTCAATATTCACAAATTCTCATTTATACTCCAATATACTGTACCTGAAAAATGATAAGTCTGTCACTGGCATCCTGTGGGGCCAAGCCAATAACCATTGGTCCATCCTACAGTAAATTAAATGAAGCAAAATTCAGTAACTATTCAGTCATCCCACTGTGGAATCGGCACACATTCACAAAGTTTACAAGACTGCAGTGTTTCAAAATGTTTAACACTAACAAATTATGACCTACCAAACATTATATATATTTGGGGCTGTTGCCAGGCAGCCAATAAGCAATTTAAAACGTAAAAAAATATATGTTTTGGATATGAATTTTAAACCCTGATATGAATAACAATTATGAAAAGTTTCCAATCTGAATTATATTATTTACAAACACACTGAAATTAAACTTTAAATACACAATATATTTCCAGTACTCAAACTGCAAGATTCAGTGGTCGCTTTCTAACGTGGGTTTCTACTTTTTCTGTGTACCTTTTCATAGTCTGCATAAAACTGACTGCAGTCTTCAACGAATATCTGCACATTGCTGATGAGGTCTCCTCTAAAATTCGGCTGCAAAGCAACCAGTTCATTCTGAATCTCATTTGCACGCACCAGCAGTTTTTCCCACGTGTAACGCAGGGTATCTACCTTCTCAATCTCTTCCTTGGCCACAAGCAATTCATACTTGTTTAATGTTGCATATGACTCCTATCAGTATGAGAAGAATCAGTTATTACCAATAGTTATTAGTTATTTGTTAACACAAAAGATAGTGAAACTGATCATCATTAATGCACTTGATGAATACGTTCCTTGTGGAATGTACAAAAACCTTACTAAGAATCCAACTTCCTCAGTAAGTAAAGAAGTTGGGGTGAAAATTACAATATTTGATGTGTTAATTTTAGCAACAAATTAAATACAGGAGAAAAGCCCATCCAGCTTGCTTCACAACAAACCATTTTATGGCCTATATACTTCAACCTCCTCTAATCCGAGTCCTCCGCACCACCCTCGGCAGCCGTGCCTTCAGCCACCATGCCCCGAGGCTTTGGAATTCCCTTCCTCACTCCCTTCGCCTCACACCCTCTCTCTATTTTCAGGTTCCTGCTGAAGACCTTTCATTTTGACTGCGCCTTTGGTCACCTTCCTTCCCATCCCCCTGGCTCGGCCCCGGGATCCTTTACTGTGAAGCGCTCTGAGACGTCGTCCGGTGTGGAGGGCACTATATAAATCCAAGTAGTTGTTGTAATCGCACTTTGCTGTCTTATACCTTAAAATATTCATTCTCTGAGTCTCTAGCCATTTTCCTCTGAAATCCTACAATTGATTTGCCATCCATTGCTTTTACTCCAACTGGGAGCCCTAGCTTGGGGGAGAGGGGGAGAGGAAAAGGCGACCAAAGCACGATTGAAAAGTTAGGGCGAGAGGGAGGGAATGTAAGATTTCACAGCTCAACATGGTGGGGGCAGATCGGGCAGGGGAAATGAAGTCGGCTGATTTGCTGAGTGGAGGGAGTGGGAGACAGTAGGGTTGCAGGAGGACACACTGGTTTGATGGGGCAAGGCTATGTAGGGATTTGAACATCAATAACCTGGTATTGATGTAGTAGATTGTTTCTATCTTGTGCTAAATATTCTCTTACAGCTTGATTTCCCTCCTGGATACATGCAATTCAGATAGTGGATACCAATATAGATGTATAGTCAAACATTGGGCTACCTCAATGGGCCCCACTTGGAAGTCAATGGCAATCTGCTGCTCTTTGATTTCTTTGAGGGCAGCCATTGCTATTCGAATGTCATCCAAATCCTTGATTGGTCGATTCAGTTTTTTGCTGGTTTCCTCTACGAATGTAAAAATGTTCTCCATCTCGTTGCAGTATTTCTTGTTACAATGTCGACCTAAATAAGTTATCCAGGCCTTAGTTTCTGAAGTTAACGCCATCTTAAGATCAGCTGAAATAAAACAAATGTAACACAATAAAGATTTGCTGATAGCAATTGTCAGATTGAAATGGGTCTTATAAAAAGCGTACTACTCCATTTGGCTCAAACCAGTAAAAATAATAAATAATAATAAAAAAAACCTTGTATTTGATATTGTGTCTTATCACATTGTTGAAACGTTTCAAAGCACAGCTTTTATTATAAAGTGTAATGACTGTATTTGAAGTCAAACATGGCAGAGCATTTGAGCACAACGATCCACAACCAGCCATGAAATGCATGACCAGTTTTGTTTCGGGAGATTGTTGGTCAAGATAACTTAGGGAAAGCATGACAAAATCTAAAACAAATGAATTGTATTCCATTTTTTAAAAAATATTTACACAAGTGAAAGCATGAATGTTAGCCAACAATGATTAGAGTTACCAGTGTAAAGTGCCAGTGCTCCTACACAGATGTATTCAGCTTCAGAGTTGATCTCGGATTCCAAGTCTCGAAAGTAGAGAATCTGTGATTCAAACTCAGACAGCCGAGGGTTTCCCTTCATAAAGTCCTGAATGAACTCTTCCCGCTCTCTCTGCCAGATGTGATGATAGCATTTGAATTGTTCAAGAGCAGTAAGCACCTCCTTTAGTAAAAAAGAAGCAATAAAAATAAACAGGATCTGAGTCAATGCTACGATTACAACTGCATTTGAACAACAAGCTAGTTCACATCACTCACCACTTCCTCCACGAAGGATTTATTTTGGTTTTGCAAATAAGCAAACAGTTTGAATAATTGGGCGTCACAGAAAATTCAAATTAAAATGTGTTCTATCAGGAATTGTACTGTTGTTAGAATATGATATATGTAATGAAACGCTTTAAGGCATGGCCGCATAAAATTGTAAACGTTAAGTTGTTAATCTTGTTTATATGAATCAAAATGGCGGATAACACCATTTTGTACTAGAACCATCACTCAACATCTGTTAATAACATAAGTTGTTTTTGTCTGGTTAAGAAGAAATGGTCAACATGAAAAGTTGAAGTAAGACAACCATTGGCCTTGGGAGGACACAAGCTGTTTTGCAGTCAAAACACCCGGATCTTAGGATAAACAGCAGTAATAGCACGCTTGATTCTTTGACCAGTTGCAAAAGGCCCACGCGCCTCATAATTGGATGAACAAAAAGGTATAAAGTTGAAAGGTTGTTGACATGACGCAGCAGAATCAGCAGAGAACCAGGCACTCAGAGGCGGAGGGCCAAAGCACACTGACTGCTCCAGAACCGGGTAGTTTATGTATTCTTGCTGTGCTTATATTTGAATAAACTGAATTAGCCATAAAGTTTTATTGTCTGGTCTTTTGATTCAAACACCAGGAGTTGAGACCCCAACACTGTCACTGTAGTATCACAGCCCTTCTCTCTCTGAAACTTTCTGTCAGACTCTCACTCTCATCTCTCTCTCTCCTCCATCGAGTCTCTCTAACTTTCTAACTCTTTCTCTGTCTTAACGATATCTCTGTCTTTAACTCTAAAAATGTACAATACAATGGTGAAGTTTGTGTGTGAGATTTGCTCTGAGCTACTACCCTGAATGAAGGGCACTATATATAAATGCAACTTGTTGCAGTATCACGGATCAAGGCTCAAAGTATCCTGAGTAACCTCACAAGCATCTTTGCACATGGGAAAACAGTTTTTTTGCTGGTATCTTGCAGGCCCCACACCCATCATTCACTGGGAAATGTAGATAAATAGACAGAATTTGCAAAAGTTTACAAAGTGCGATAAACATCCCACAATACTTCCATAGTGAGATAATATTTAGGATTTAATCTTCAACAATGATAAAAATGAGGAATAACCTCAGATAACAAGAAACATTTATATTGAATAGCAGACAGGTCAATCTAATAAGTCTTAAGGAAATAACCATGGGTTATAATTAAAGAAAAATCCCATCCTTCACAAATACCTATCACTTTATCTAATTCTGAATATGACTAGAACATTGTAGACTAAAGTAAATAGCTTTTAACAAACCACACGTAATTTGTTCCAAAATGACAGTAAACATAAGAGATCTTTGAACCCCTTTATTCTGTATTTCTGCCGTGTGTATATTTAATATAACTCCCATTATTAGACTCCCAACATAACCAGAATAGTTCTCTGAAGATGCAGCATTACCTTTTTAGTGGAATTGATGGCCGTACTCAGCACTGACACCAGTTTTATGATCTCCTTGTTTTCTGAAACACTTTTGTGATAGTTCCTAGGTTGGACAGGGATGTGGAGGTTCACAGAGGCAGAGATATCTGAGACGCTGCCATCTGAAATGAATAGAGGGCCAACCAATACATTACAAACTATCAGCTAAGTCTTGTTCCTCTGTGGATCATACATGCTTAAGGGAAGTATAATAAAAACTATGTTCATTAAACAATACATTGCAGATTTCACCAAACAAAAATCTGTCAAGAAGAAGCGATCCTCAGAGAGAAGATTATCATCTAAGTACTCCCTGATACCAGTTAATAATTAGGCTGGTAACTTAATATCTGTCAAGTCTGAGAGAGAGATTTTAGATTGCACAAAGTAGCACATAACTGGTACTGAATTTTGAAAGATCTTTTGGCTTGAGGAGGGGAGTGTTTAGGATTCAGAATGTCCGTGCTTGCTGGTTGTACAAAGCTGCCTGCTGACTGACCTGCATTACCAGAGGAGCTCACCACTGACAATGTCAACCCCACCACGCCCCACTCCGCAATTCATATGACCTTAGTGACCAATTATAAACTAAACACTAGTAAGAGATAATAAACAATTTCTCATTGCTCATAGCTTATTCATCTACCACTGAAGATCATCCTCTCTTCTGATCTGTCCCTCGGGCTTGGTTACCCCTCTTATGTTGCGGTGACCAGAATTAGACAGTGTGACCAAAAAGCCGTGATACCATTACAATTTTTTTATGCACTGAACACTGTCTTTGAAGAAATAAAGTAAGAATTATTATTTGGTCACCCTGTCAGATCAGTGTACAACAGGAGCATGATATCTCGGGATCTAAACTCAACTGATTACAGCCCAGCATCTTGTTTGCCTTTTTTATTGCTGCCTCACACTGTTTGACATAACTGTTTGGCGCTATTAGTCAACTAACACTATGCAAATTATATCCCATCGATGGAGTACATTTGCCTCCTATTCTTACTTCCTATCTGCAGTGCCATGGATTTATTTGTATTAAACTTCATTTGACAGTCATCATAACTTACCAATTTGGGAACATTAATTGAATGGAGTGAGTTCTACACACAGTCATATGAAGTAAGCAAGGGGTCTGTCACTATCTAAAAAATCGAACGTCAGTATTAACACAATTTCAACCCCTCAATGTACAGGGACAGAATTTCCGGAGAATTACAGGTTATTTTGCAATACAAAATAAACGTAATATGTTATTGTGGAGATGATGATGTATCGACAGATAGCATGCTTGCCATCAGTCTCAGCACAAAAATGTCCCAAAATTGGACAAAATCTTTACTCACAGAGTTCATAATATGTATCATAAAAAGTAATCAATCTGTTGATTAAATTAGGGCTCACGAAATAACAGATTAAAATGGGCTTTGCAATCGGATTCAGAGGCAATGATAAATGAAACACATTTTGACTTGGAATCAGTCACCAGTATAGGTTGACCAGAATAAATCATTATTTGTGTATCTGTTGAGCCTAAGTAAAATTATGATAGAAAATTTGTTGACGACACTAAGCTGTGTAGTCAGGTGGCAAGGACAAAGAAAGTTTGAATATGTTCAAAGGAATCTTGGCCGATATAGAGTCTAAGAATTAACAGACTTTAATGTGAGAAAAAATAAATACTGAATATTTATACTGTGGAGCGCTGTCCTTTAACTGAGATGAAGAAAGAAGAGGATTTGAGAGGATCACTGATCATAATTTAAAATTATGCGAAGTAGTTACTTGTTCCTCAAATCAAATCAAGTCCTAGGAAGTATTTGAACTTAATCATTACAACATTGCAATAGATTCTTGGTGAGGCAGATTATGGAATATGAGGTTTGAAAATCCAACTAATCTGATTTTGTAAAACTATTTTGTCTTCATATTTAACTTGCGAAGAGAAAAATCTTTATCTCCCTTTGCATATTTTTAAAAGGAAGAATTGCTTTCATTTCTAATATTTAACAGAGCAGTGTTACCAAGAACGCTTTTGATTGCAGGTTCTGGGGCTCCATCTTCAGAATCACTGTCCTTGCTGTCTCGCCTCATGGCTGCAATCTTTCGTTCATTCATTTTTTTCTAAATAAGAAAAAGCATATGTGAAAAGAACAAGGACGAACACCAAGGCTGAGCATCCTGCTCAGAGAATAGAATAAATGAGCAGACGATTGAAGCAAACCTTTGAAATTCTCTCTCTACTCCATTGGCCAACACCTCTGGAGACGCTGACAATGTACTCCACGGCTTTGTTGAGAGCCTGTTGTACCTCATCCAATGGAGGCACCATGGTTATATTGGGAATGGACAGCGTAATCTTTGTTTTAAAGATGGGCTGGCTCGACTGTTTCTGCTTGGTGGAGGGGTCATTTTCTGTTTGAAAAAACAAACGGACCAAATAATCTAAATTAGAGATGTTTAATGTTTTAAACATTGCCTCATGCAATGCTAGTTTATTTTTGCTCCTTATTTTCTTTTTTAAAAATGTTGGTTGTTCTGTCAGCTCCTTTCAAATTGATAACCTCACGGGTAGCCTGATAATTGTTCGAAAGGAGAAGGCAGTTTCTCCTTTTGTCCTGGCTAACAATCGTCCAAATAAAATTGGTCATTCGCTTCGAGGCTGTTAGTGGAATGTAGCTGTGTGCAAATTGGCCAGTTTGCCTACAAAATACAGTGTATCCTGAGAAGAGCTTTAAGACATCCTGTTGATATGAAATGCACTATACTAAACGGAAGAATATTTTTATTTATTTATAAGCAGCACACTGTGCGTGCGTGCGTTTAGGATCTGCAAGTGTTGCACTGGTTCAAGGTCTCAGTGTCTTCACTTCAGTTCACATACTATTTTGTATAGTGTTACCTAGACACTCATCCAAAGTATACAAAAAGGGTTTGAGATGCAGCTGGTGCAAATTAGTTTCCATGTTTGTCTACATAACAGTCAATACTATTATTTACTATAAGACATGCAATAAGATGTATGGAGTGGCAGTCTGAGAGCTCGGATTCTGGAGATGGATTGCGATGATCACTGAAGCAGCCGAGGATCACCATACCTATAAAGTAAAGGACTGAGGACGAGTGGATCCGCTTGCGGATAGTTTCCAGAGCATTACGGGTGACCTTCAGTAAAGCATCTACGTTGCGGTGGTTGAAATAAGACAACAGCTCTCGTGCTTCCTCTTCCAGTATCTCCATCAGGTCTCGCTTCTTCTTTTTGCTTCGGGGAGATGGAGGGCCGCTGCTGAGCTGGCTGGCATTCAGGGAGATGGAACGTTTCTCACACTTCGCTTCTTCTCCTGCTGTGAAACACAAATTGGTATCACGTCATTGCAACGTCTCAAAGCTTTTCACAGAATTTACTATAACGTGAATTGACTGTGTATTTTGTGGGCGAAACACAGCATCCAATTACGCATAGCAGTGTTCCACAAACAGTCGTGGATTGAGTGACCAAATTATTATCAACGTTCGGAGGGCAGGGAGGAGCAGGGGGGGTGGGAGCATGATCAATAGCTCTGGAGACCAGTTCAACAGATACTGTGGCTGGCATTGGTGCTAACCATTTTGATAAAGCAGATCAATTTGACAGGCCAGAATTTCTGACAATTTAATAAAATCACTAATGACAATTGCCACATTGCAGAGTCCTGTAGCTCAGTGGTTAGAGCACTCGCTTTGCAAGTGAGAGACCTGAGTTCAATTCCAGGCAGGGCGAAACCTTGGGCAAGTTTCTTTACTCCACACGCCTAATAATAACCCCTCCAAAACCAAAAACAATAATAAATTGGTCATTTTCAATCTACGACTGTTTGTGGGACATTGCTGTGCGCAATTGGCTGCCGCGTTCGCCCACACATATACAGTCAATTCACTTTACAGTGTGTTCTGTGAAGCACTTTGGGACGTCCTCCCGACGTGAAAAGCGCTATATCAAATGCAAGGATTATTATTATTATTATTATTATTTTTCATCCCAATGCTTGCAAACTGGTTGTCAAACGTTACTGCTGTTTTTTTTCTTACCTTCATTCTTATCAGTTTCTTTGCGCTCCCCACTTCCAGTGCCATCTTTGAACGTTTCCTCCTTCTCTTTACCCTGAGGCTCCAAATCCAAGAGCATGTTTATAAGCTCATTAGCTGCTTCCTCAACCAAAGAGCATTTACAGTGCAGCATTTGGGCAGCCTTCACACACAATTCCTGTCGCAAACATGTCAAACAAGAGAGACGCATTGGAATTCACAAATGCATAAAAAGTGTTCTGTCTACAGCATTTTGGGAAACTGTGGCTCCTGATTTTGCAGCCGGGATTCGGAAAATGCTGAGCCGTGGAAGAAAGAGTTAATAGTTTCACTCCAGCAAGAGGCCAAAAAATAATTTTGTAAGAGTTTTTTTTAAGAAAAATAATCAATCTTTGCAACTAGGAATCCAAAACAAAATTCACTACATTAAAATCAAACCTGGTGCCGATTCCACTCTGACAGGCCCGGCGGGACAAACCATTCTTTGGGAAAAGTCACGCAGGGTCTCCCCAAGATTGAAGTGGCTTTGAGGAAACACACCTTGCAAATGCACACGGTCTGCAGTTCTAATGGGCATCCTCACAAAGAGGTTGGGGAGAAAGAGTTTGAGTCTTGGTACTCATTTTAACCTCCAGCCTCTGGAGGAACGCAGTGGCTAAATGGCCCTACTGTGTTTCAAACCTAGAACCTCTGATCCCAAGTTGTTTGTTCCAGGAATGTTAGCTGACAGGTCAAGAACCAAAAACAGCTAGAAATATAAAGTGATGAGCTCAATCTGATCTGTATTAAAATCATGCAAAGTCAACAGCAACTCACCAATACAATGGATTTGGTTTAGGTTTTACTGTAAAAATACTTTTAATAACTCTTACATTTGATTTAGCGCCTTACAATACCGGTGAAACGTCTCCAAGCATTTCACAGTATTCACTGCAAAGTGGAGTGACTATTTTGTAGATGAACATGGCAGCCATTTTTGCACATTGCAATGTCCCACAAACAGCCATGAAGTTAACTGGCCAATTTTATCTGGGGGATTGTTGACCAGGACATTGGGAGAAAATCCCTTCTCTGTTCAAATACCGCCATGGGATCTTTGAGGTCCACCTGAATAGGCAGATGGGACCTCGGCTTAATTTCTATTCTGAAGGATGGCACCGCTAACAATGCAAAGACTTGAAGTGGAGTCCTGTAGCTCAGTGGTTAGAGCACTCGCTTTGCCACCGAGAGACCTGAGTTCAATTCCAGGCAGGGCGAAACCTTGGGCAAGTTTCCTTACTCCACACGCCTTATAATAATCCCTCCAAAAACCCAAAACAATAATAAATTGGTCATTTTCAATCTACGACTGTTTGTGGGACATTGCTGTGCGCAATTGGCTGCCGCGTTCGCCCACAAATATACAGTCAATTCACTTTACAGTGTGTTCTGTGAAGCGCTTTGGGACGTCCTCCCGACGTGAAAAGCGCTATATCAAATGCAAGGATTATTATTATTATTATTATTGATGCCAAAAAACAACACGTTTTTCCTTCTTTCTTTTAGAATGACAGACAAAGTAATATTGGCACATTGTGCTGAAATTATATTTTAAAAAATTGAAATCTTATTAGCTGCTTCCTCAACCAGGTTTGATTTTAATGTAGTGAATTTTGTTTTGGATTCCTAGTTGCAAAGATTAATTACTTCATAATTTAATTTAAAGATAATTTTTACCTAAAGCAGAGGAATCTTTGTTTCACCACCAACACCAGTGGATTAAGCGTTTACAACAATAAGTACCTGGAATTGAAAAAGCACTCCTGAGAAAAGAGCTGTTACTGGTACCTCAAGTGCTGGAAAAAGTGCTTTGCAATGTTTTGCAAGGAATCCTCTGTGAATCATGCCAACTCGTGGGAATTCAACTGCAAGAAGATCTCCAGTCAGATCCCAAATCTCACAAGTCAGTTTGTGGCAAAGTGTTTCTTCCAACAGTGCCAGTGTTTCACACACAAAATAACACAGTCAATCCACTTTTACTATATATTCTGCAAGACGTCTGAACATCATGATAAGGCTCTATATCACATGCAAAGATTATTATTATGTCACTGCTTTCCTCGGGAGCATTTTTTCACCCACTTTAGTAGAACAATAGGTTGCCAGGAAGGTGGTTGAGGCCAGGACACTTGACTCATTTAAGAAACTGCTTGATGCTATAATGGGAAGATTCTAGGATGGGCATTCAGGAAAGATGAGATTAAACGGGCCAAAGGTCTTTCTTGTCTGAACCCTTGTTGTGATCTGCAATTAAGTCACTTAAAGGGAACAAGCAGAGCAAATAGACATGCTGCAGTTTTAAAACTAGCAAACACTGGAGGAAATGAATCTCATGGGCATGTGGACTCTTCATCTCAAGTGTGAATGCTTTTGCCCTTTATCATCAATGTATCTGCGCACCAAACGCACCTTAGTCATCTGCAAAAATTCTTCACACATAATAGATTCGCCTTCTGGTAATTTACAGAGCTGTGTGCTGCTCATGTCTTGAAGTACTGCATCAATGCGAAACTCTATCAGATCGTTCACACGATCTATCAGCAGTTCAAGTTCATCTGCAGGAAGCCCGATACAAGTGAAGCAAATAGAATCAACAGTTATTATCAAACATTATATAACACTGTGCTTAATTTCCTATAATATGCTCCCACTTTCTGGAACTCCGTCCCTGAGTCCCTCCACCTCGCTCCCTTTAAGGTTTGTCTCAAAACCTTCCCCTATGTCTGCACCTTTGGTGGTGATGCCCCCACCCACCTTGGCCCCCACAGCCCCCGAATCCAACCCCAGACCAGGTGCAATCCCTCAACAGTCCAGTGTATTGGGGGGTCCCCCGACCCGACGTAAAAGACGCAATATAAAGTACAGGTCACAGGTTCAATCCTTAGGCCCAATTGGTAAAAAAAAATGGATTTTCCCTTCTTTGCTAGATCATGATTAGAGAATAAATATTAAACAAAGAAGTTAAAATAAAACTCTAAATTTAGAGGTGCAGGAACACAGAAAAGCAGAAACAGAAGGAGGCCATTTAGCCGATTAAGCCTGTTCCATCAGTTTATGATTTCTTGGCAAATCTTTTAATCCCAATTCCCATATTTTCACCTTATCACCTCTACTACCCAAGAGTCTGTCTGTCATTCTTTTAACATCCCTATCAAATCCACCTCTACAACTTTCTGGAATAGAACATAACACATCTTCACAATCATCTGTGTGATGATTTGCTTCCTGGCCTCCGTTTAAAATGTCTTCATTCTGAATTTGAGGCTATGCCGCTTTGTAACAGATCTCAGTTGCTCCAAACAGAACACAATATTCTAAATTAGTTCTGATCCAGCAACTTGGGACATTCACCTGACTTGAAAGGCACTATACAAATATAATTTGTTATTGTTGTTGCTCTATGTAACTGGAGTAACACGTCATTACATTTCCAATTTCCCCTGCCATCATAGGACCATGTACTGATTAACACCAAACATGAGCAACTTCTGTCTTTGTACAGCAATAAATATCACATTAAACAGTTGTGAAGTTCAAAATTCCGCCCCCCACCCCCCATCTCCCCTATTATTATTTATCTGAAGGTTATTTGAAAAGAAATTATTAAGTAGAACAAAACAAATCCATTAGAGAAAAAAGGAACAGAATCCCAGATGATCAAAAGAATACAACTTATCACTCCACATATTGAGTAACAGTGAAATTCAGTTCATTGAATATAGGATAAATGAATAGTTTAGTTTATTGAATAGAATTTAGAACTCTAGGAGATGAGTCTCCTCTTATGTTTAGTCTGGTTATAATACCCATGAAACTGACCACCTGCTTCCTCAACCCCATCCCTACCCCTCTCCTTACCTCCCAGCTCCACCTCCTTCCCCTCTACTCACAGACATCATAAACTTCTCCCTGTCCACTGGTACTGTTCCCACCCCAATAAAAATGGTCATCATCATTCCTATCCTTAAAAAACCCTCTCTGGACCCATCTCTACTCTCAAACTACCGCCCCATCTCTAACCTCCCTTTCCTCTCCAAGGTACTGGAACGAGTTGTTGCTTCCCAGCTTCCCTCCTTCCTCTCTCGCCACTCCCTTCTCGAACGCCTCCCATCAGGTTTCCATGCCACCCACAGCGCAGAAACAGCCCTGGTCAAAGTGATAAATTACATTCTGTCCATCCGTGACCAGGACTCCCTCTGCCTCCTCATCCTCCTTGACCTCTCTGCTGCCTTCAATACCGTCGACCACTCTGTCTTTGTCCACCGCCTCTCCTCTCACCCCAACCTTTACGGCTCTGTCCTTGAATGTTTCAGATTGTACCTCTCACACCACCTCCACTTCATCTCCACAAACGGATTCTGCTCTAGACCCCGGACCATCTCATTCAGTGTTCCTCAGGGCTCTGTCCTTGGTCCCCTCCTCTTCAATATCTAAATGCCACCTTTTGGTAACCTAATCTGCAGACATGGGGTCAACTTCCACATGTATGCAGATGACACCCAACTGTATCTCTCTGCCTCCACCCTTGACTCCAGGACCACTCCTTGGTTCAGACATTGGCTCCTGTCAGCGCCTCCACATGTCAGGCACTGACAGCATCACCATCCATGGATGCACACTTCACCTTGCTAAGCCAGTCCAGAATCTTGGCGTCTTGTTTGACCTTCAACTATGCTTTCATTACATTGAGGCTCGACAATGCAAATTCCTTGCTTGTCGGCCTCCCCAACTCTTCTCTCCATAGGCTGCAGATCATCCAGAACTCTGCAGCAGTGTCCTGCACCAGGCTCCTCAACCCTATCACCCCCATCCTCACCCGATTCCACTGGCTTCCCATCACACAGAGGATACAGTTCAAAATCCTGGTCCTCACCTTCAAATCCCTCCATGGTCTTGCTCCCCTCTACCTCTGTGACCTCCTAAACCTCTACCTCCTGCCCGCTCTCTCCGCTCAGTGTGCTCCAGCCTGCTTCACGTCCCCCGCCTCGCTCGCCCCACTATTGGCGGGAAGGCCTTCTGTCACTCTCCCCCCACCCTCTGGAACTCCATCACGCAGTCCTTCTGCCTTGCCCCCTCCTTTGCCTCCTTCAAGACCCCATCTCAAGACCCTCCTCTTCGACCATGCTTTCGATCACCCTGCTTCCCTCCCTGCCCTCCAACCTCCCCGATCCTGACCACCAGCTCAGGTCCGAAACTCTGACTGTTCAGCACCTTGGGACATCCTCCTGATGTGAAAGGTGCTACACAAATGTCATTTTGTTGTTGTAGTTCAGTTTATTGAATCATTTTAGCTGTCAAATTGAGTATTTATTTAACAGAATTTCACTGTAATAAGGTAGTCCAGTAGCTAATATCATGTCTATTCTAGCCTCACCCCAATGAGAGCAATTTGATCTTTTTAATGTTTAGCAAGTATTGTCACATTACAGAAATTCAGTAGCATTTTACAGTCAGATGCTATTATAGCTTCACTACAACAAGGGTCAATTTTTGTAACAGGATCCATTGTATACTAGTGCGGTCCACTTCAGGCTTCTAGCATTAACTGGTCAGCTTCCTGATCATAGCGCACAAATACAGAAGACCTCCCGGTACAAATGGTATTTTGGCAACCAGTGAAAACTTTCACAATAAGGTCAGCCATCACTGACACAGAATTTATGGACCCAAACCACTGAGTAATAATAGGGCTTGACTGTATAAAGCATGACTAAAGAAATACTGAATCTAAATAACAAGATTTGTAAATCGCAAATCCTGGATTCATTGTGGATTTCAACATCCACTTCTCGGAATTCAGAAGTAAGATCAGCATCCGAGAGGCATGCCAGAGGATCAGATTGCAAGATATCTGGGAATTCACGATTTTCAAATCCTTTTGTGAATAATAATAATAATAATAATAATCCTTGCATTGAATCTCACAATTTGGACCCTGCTCTTATTTCTTGGTAACACGTCGGTTAAAAAACAAATTCTAAACTCACCTAAAGCTACAGAAATCCCATTCAGATACTTATCCATGTTCAGAGAAGTCCAATTGAGAGATGTCAACCCTGGTTGAATGGCGTTATCCAATTTGGCTAAATGAGGACCCATCAGTGGTTCAAATGCACTTTGGATTTTGGATCGCACCCTTTTATTTTCTGATAAAGCCATCTAAAAATGTATGTTAAAAGGAAGACAATATTTTACCTTCATATAGATTGTTTTCCAGCTAAATGAACGGATATCATAGAACTCCTTTATGGAGTCCTCCCCTCCGCCCCCCCATTGCAGCGTTTTACATATAGCACAGGTATCCTGCAGTACACTCAGCTTCCAGCACTGACTACCCAACTTCCCACACCAAAAAATGTCCAATGCGCAGGTCGTTAGATCACTGCTGAATTCAATTCATGCAGGAATTGATATAAGTGTAACATATACATACATGTACGTGCAGGAAGTGACGTCAGCAGGAATCTGACCACGAGTAGTTGGCCATTATTTCGCGCTTTGCTTATAACACACGCTCTGATCTCTTGGACCCAAAGAAATGAATTATAACATATTTCCCTGTGTGAACAAATTATCCCAATCTTGGCTGCTACAAAGTTCACATTAGCACAAAAGAGAAGACGCTTTATGGAAAATACGTGGATGGCATAGAGTACGATATATTTGTGATGACCTGGTAATTCAATGAATGCGTTTTAGAAAGAGGTACGAGGAGCTGGCAGAATGTATTCCATGGCTCTTCGGTGTGTTTATATCACAAGTTGATACACTAATAAGCGATCAAAACCAACAAAAATAATTAAAGTAACATATGAATTAAGAAGCGAGGATGTGCCCTTTTTGCAAGTAATGCAAAAATAGATATATATTTAAGTTGTCACCTGAAGCTTATTGTAGTTCTTCTTAAACATCTCTTGCTTCTGCTGAAACATTTTAGCAAAATGAGGAATTTCCAGACCCATTTTAGCCATGCATTCCGTTTCACGTATCAACGTCAGAATTTGGGGATCAAAGTTGACAAACAGTTCTCCTGTCTCTGGGGCTTTCACTAACAACGATGCTTGTAACCCTGCTTTTGTGAATTCAATCTGGAGGAACGAAATGGAAAGAAATATAACACAACAAATTGAGCTGACAAAATGGCAGTAAACTTTTGATGAAAAGTGTGCTTTGCTTCCTGTAACTTGTGTCACAATCTTTCCGTACCTGTGTCAGCCAGCCCCTGTGGTACAGCATCTCAAACTCCAGCAAGACCTTTGCCACTTTGTTGTAATTGCGAATGATGCGTTTGGCATCCACTGTCTGCAGGATGCTCAACTGCTGCTGGAAATGTCCCATCGGCTCCTGGACCTTATGGAAGAGTTGGCGCGCCCACAAAATCTTCCCCGCTATTGGCGGCATGTCCCGGGCAACTGGTGGGTCGTTTTTCTGTTTGGTATAAATCTTGGACACTATTTCAATGTCCCGCCCATAGTTCTGAAGGATCTTTTGGTACTTTTCATCCACGCCTAGGTCTGACACTCCAAGTCTAGACAAATAGCATAAAAATAAGCTTCAATTGCCCCCACACAAGACAAACAGATGCTTCAATCAAGTACACTCAGTCATGCTCTTATTCCTGCTTAAGCAGAAAAATGGCAAAAGCATTTTTGTGACATTTAGAACCATAGATATGTACAGTTCTAAGAAGAAGAAGGCTATTCGGCCCACCCTGTCTGTGCTGGCTCTCTTAAGAGCAATCCGTTCCGTCTCAATTATTTGCCTTTTCACCATACCCCTGTAGTTGACTTCTTTTTAGGTATTTATCTAGTTGCATCAAATGTACTTGGCAACATAAAAACATTTTCCTTCAAAGCAAATAATTTTTGCTACTATCCATTTTATGTGATAAATGCATGGGAGCAGAGTGAGCAAAGATCAATAATTTAAAGGCAAAGTGACAAATGTCATTTAACATGAGTGAGTACAGAGTGAAGAGATTAGGCAATGAAAACAAACAGGGAATACAGGACAAATGGTATAATGGGCAGGGCATAGCATGAGAGGACTTTGAGTGTACTGGTGGATAGGTCACTGAAAATATAAGCAGTTTGTGACAGCAATAAAGGGAGCGAACACCATTTTGGGACTGTGAAACTAAAGGAACAAAGTACAGGCTCTTCCGTTTTCTAAATGCCCTTTTTAAATTTCAACACAATGTGAAAAAACAGAGAAGACAGGTTCAGATTCAACATTCCCTGTGGACTTCAGGTGTGATTAACACATGAGCTGACAACTATTTCCTCGGAAACTAAATCAGACACAAAGCTCGATTCACATTAAACATTCACTGGAAAGATGCTTTGTGCACAATTAAATTAAAATTCACAGTTTAAGGTCTGGACATTCATCAAGAAAAATATTACAAACCCGGCTTTAAAATTGAGTTCATCGAGAATTTTATTATTGTAAAAAATATATATTTTTTAAAAAAAACAAGTAATCCTGCAATTTTTAATACAAAGTTTCACATTTTCTTTGGTCAGCTGGATGTCTGATATATGCGGAAACCAGTCACTGTGCTTAAGAGAATCCAAACCAGCCACCTACACATAGAAATTCCCAAGTTTGGAATGGAATACACACTCCTACCCATCCCAGGGGGATGCATTCTGCTATTAATTCCAGAGAGAATTAAATGCAGGCTGGCAAGAGCCCAGTTTGTGAAGTACTGCTGGAGTTTAACTAGGTAATGCCACAAAGCTTACCATTGAAAACAGAGTCTGGCAAGCTTCTTACTACTTGTCCAGCTAGGACCGCCTTACCCATTATGGATTTGGCTTGCCTTGTTAAGGGGAGCTGAGTGGGAAAAATCCCTACTCCCACTAACAGGCAAGCCTTTCCAAGTCCTATTGATGAGCCAGGCTGGCTGGTCTGGCTTATCAGACAGTGAAGCAAAAAATATCAACGTTTTATTTTATTAAGTCATTTTATGAAGGAGAAAGGTTTTATGCCTGAAATGATTTGAACCGAATTTGTTAACAGAAAAAGGAACGATTGTGCTTTACATTACCTTTCAAACTTTTTCAACACAGTCAAGGCTCGCTCTGTATTCTGAATTTTTTCAATGGTGTTTTCTGTAAATGTTCTTAGTTGGGACTGTATGAGTTAATAACATTAAAACTTAATGTTAGTGCCGGTGCACATTAAAATGTTAAAAGAAATCTGTAACCAAAAAGGAACCCTGTGCTCTAGCATTGAAAAATAAATCCTCCAGATAAAATTGGTCATTCACTTCATGGCTGTTTGTGGATCATTGCTATGCACAAATTGGCTGCCGTGTTCAACTACAAATATATTCTCACTACACATTACAATAACGCACATTACAGTTAATCCTGTGAAGCAATGTGATAAGATGTTATATTGAATGGAAGAATTATTATAAAGGAAATATACAGAGAATGTGCATACCAGGCATTAAATTAATTTATAATACTTCTATAAACTCAATTATTAGGTTTTTTGCAATTCTTGTGAATGGAATTGTAGCCAAAGTATGGAGGTAAATGTGGCCTATAATGCAAGTTGTATGAACCAGGTGCAAATCAATGTCCACTGAAAACATCACATGTGCACTTAAGTATCCATTAATAATTACTTAATTACAAGTACAAGTCATTTTGTAAAAGCAGTCAACACAACCAGGCATGAGTTGCTCCCCCTCCACACCATCAAAATGGTTGAGCCCAAAGTTGCCTATGACAAAGTTGGACTTGCTGGCTGGTGGACCAGAGATGGCCCTTTGCAGAATACCAAAGTTATTGTAGAACTTTGAATTTTGTTTGTTGAGTTAAGATTGGTATCCAGTAATCCATGTTCTGGCAGGCTAGCCCATCCAATAGTGGCTATGATCATCTTTAGGCCCAACTATTGTAACAGACTGGAGGATGGCACACTCAGAGTTTGTCTTGTTATTGACTGGCCCCACTGACCACTTTTATCATAATAATAATTGTATATAACGCCTTATCACATCTTCAAGATGTCTCAAACTCTGCACAGAATATACTGTAAAGTGGATTGACGGTATATATTCTGTGGGCGAAACGTGCCAGCCAATTGTGCACAGCAGTATCCTACAAACGGTCATGGATTGAGTGACCAACTTATTATTATATTTATTTTTTTTGAAGGGATTATTGCCCCCTGGAAAAGTGACCCACTAATCGACTAACAACCAGGTTCCTACTTATTGCTAGGTAAACAGAGGCATGTGGAGTAAGGAAACTTGCCCAATGTTTTGTCCTGCCTGGGAAACAAACCCAGGTCTTTCACTTGCGAGGCGAGTGCTCTAATCACTAAACTACAAGACTCTGAGTGCTCTAACCACGGAGCTAAATAACCAGAACACATTCACCTGAATATATGTTAAAACAAAAGAGATTGGTTCCTAATTATTATTCCTAATTATTTAATTTTGTTCATGTAACGCAGGAACACTCACATGTAGCTCTTTTACTTGTTTGCAAAACTCATCATAATCCTGGTCAAAATCAGTTTTCCTCTGGTCTAGGAAGTTGTACTGTTGTTTTTTCAAACTAAGCACAATATTCTGAAACACATCAAAATTAACATTATTAACTGCAGTGTTATACTTGGTATAAAGTTTTATAACATTAGAAAGATCTATAAAATCCCCATCCACGTTACAGTGAGGTTGTAATTTGTGTGATAAAAAATTAGCTGGCTTCCGGTTCCTGGGTCATAAATTGTATTATGAATGTTATATTATATGCACTAAGCAACAGTCCAGCACTGAGAACCCATGTTATAATTAAACACAAACATTTTCACTTATGATGCTTCACGATAAAGCATTTTAAAAGTAAAAACCAGGATTGTACATGTGTTCGTGTACAGTCACTACCATTTTCAGTCTCACAGTGTACTCTCTCTGTAAGGTACCCCAATCTGGTGGAGAGAATGACCTCAGTCATCCTGGACAAGGTAAGATTTGGGATCCTGGGATGTGGGGCATTAAAATACCGAAATCCCAGGATTCTGAAAGCTGTGCAGGTTGCAGCAGAGTTTTGTATTAGTTGGATCTTGTGGATGGTGGTACCGGGGAGACCAGCAAGGAATGCATTTGAGATATCAAGGTGGGAGGCGACAAAGGCAGGAGTGTTTTTGTGACTTTAGATTGAGGTAGGGTCAGGGCAGGCAATGTGTTGGAGATTGAAAAAAGAGGAGCTGCTCAGGGACTGAATGTGAGCTATAAAGGATAGATGGGAATCAACCCAGACTCCAAGATAGTGCACTGGTTCGGTGACTTTGAGGACAGTTGGATAAATGAGAAACTACAAAGAAAAAGATAACAAAGGCTGTTTCACTGCACCATATCTGACCTTTAGTCTCATGTCCCATTTACAGTATAATATATATAATATAATTTATATTGGCTTATGGAAGTGAGATTCTAATTGTAACTTTGACACCATCCCTTACACTTCTCTTCCACTGCACTAAACCACACCAGTACCTGAAATTTGGTAGCTATTACTTCCAGTCCTTCAATCTTGGAGTCCTGGAGAGCAGAGTACGTTGTTATGCTGCTGAACATATCTAGGATTTTGTTCAGACGCCTTTCAAATGTGTCAAACTTGCCAAAAATGTACATCTCACTGAAATCAAACTGTCTCTCTGCTGGGTTCTGTTCCAACTTCTGTTTAGTTTTGTGGAAGCAGCGCTGGTATTCCTGCAATATAAATATTAATGGAGAATGAAACAGAGTGGATACTTAAAAGATAATTTGCTACTTCAAACACATTTTGCAGAAATAAGGAAAGGACTTTATCAGCAGGCTCTCTGGGTTCCTGCTATGAGATTTTCTGATATGGTGATTACAATGCAGTCATTAACAGAGAGAACAGTTTGTTTGATGTAGTCAATGCTGCTAAGCCAGTGGAGGTAGGAAGAAGTCCCTAGAGTAAACCAAAGCGAAGGTGAACTACTGCAGACAGACACACATATATTATATATAATATAGCTGGATTTTCCATTCCAAGAGCAGTTTTCAGGCCTTCATCAAGGAAAGTCTGAAAATGCTCTTCATGTCCCAGGATTAGGTTAGTCCATCCACCCTCAAGGCTAAAAACAACATATGAGTAGGTGCTGGTTCTGCATTGTACGGAGACGTTCTTATCTTGGCAACTTTCTTAAATTTCCCAAGGCAAATTTTAATTATCATTCCATACTTTCTCAAAGGACAGTGCAAATTAAACCAGTCACTTTAGCACACAAATCAAAGGATGGAGAGCCACGAAGGCCTTCTTATCAATTTTGCAGCTGAATTCGCTAAACTCCTACCTTTTGGACCTGTCAGAGCCTAAAGAATGCCTCTCACCTCTGCATCAGAAGGTTGTGGGTTGAAGCCCACTGTCAGGACTTTGAGCTCTTAGTTTAGGCCAATTGTGGCCAACCAGTGGCCCCCAAACATTCGCACGAATCTAGGTAACTTCTTCAGATAAGACATTAAACTGTGGTGCCTGCTCAAGTGGACATTAAAGATATCGTGACACGATACAAATTAGAAAAAGGGAGCTTCTCTCAGTGTCCTGGCCTACAACCCCCCACATAAATTTGGTCATTTACTTGATGGTTATTTGTGGGACATTACTGTGCACAAATTGGCTGCTACTTTTTCCTCCAAATACAATAACAATAATAATAATTGTTGCATTTGATATAGCGCTTTTCACATCTTCTAGACGTCTCAAAGCGCTTCACAGAATATACTCTAAAGTGAATTGACTGTATATTTGTGGGCGAAAGGTACCAGCCAATTGCACACAGCAGTGTCCCACAAACAGTCATGCATTGAAGTGACCAATTTATTATTGCTTTTTTTTCTTCAGGGATTATTATCAGGCGTGTGGAGTAAGGAAACTTGCCCAAGCTTTCACCCTGCCGGGAATCGAACCCAGGTCTCTCGCTTGCGAGGCGAGTGCTCTAATCACTGAGCTACAGGACTCCAATGTCTTGGACAATGTCTACTATACTCAATTCTACATTCAACAGTAAATGCTGTAATGTTCTTTCAGACATTTTCACAAACTGATAAGATGACATCAACGGATACGCAAAGATTATTTTGTTATTAAAGATTGAATTGTGGTCAGCACCTGCAACTTTGGCCTTGAAGAGATATATATTTGTGACTGCGTTCAAAATACAAATTATATATTTACAGGGACATGAATTGTAATTTCTTTGAAAAACAACATCTTTGTCCTTGTGAAAAGAACTTCCAGAATATCTGTAATATTTAAAAACCGTAAAACTATGTTCACTTTAACACTGACAAAAGGGATAGGAATTGACATAATAATAATAATCCTTGCATTTGATATAGCGCTTTTCACGTCTTCTAGACATCTCAAAGTGCTTTACAGAATATACTGAGAAGTTAATTGACCGTATATTTGTGGGTGAAATACAGCAGCCAATTGCACACAGCAGTGTCCCCCAAACAGTCATGGATTGAAGTGACCAATTTATAATTGTTTTTTTTTCTTCAGGGATTATTATCAGGAGTGTGGAGTAAGGAATCTTGCCCAAGGTTTCATCCTGCTGGGAATCAAATCCAGGTCTCTCGCTTGCGAGGCGAGTGCTCTAACCACTGAGCTACAGGACTCCACAGGCACTATACAAGTGCAATTTTGTTGTTCTTGCAGACTAAAGAATTGGTGAGATGCAAGTACCCATTAAACAAAATTGATTAAAATTTTGATAGCAACACCATGTTTTGCAAAAAAAAAGCCCACATAATTTCTTATATTATAAAAAGAGACGTGCTGCTGAACTCGTAAAATTCTACCATTAATTCCTCGGGTATAACTGATGGAATTTTGGTCCCTGGGCTGGTTTCAAAATCAGGATCCAGAGTAAGAAGGTAGTACATGAACCAGTTTCTATTTGTTACAAAAGGTTGAATGTATTTTAGAGCAGTGCAGGTACCTGGTTTAATCGGATAGCAGCCTTCAGCTTCTTCACCATCACTTCCTGAGGTTGATCCCAAATTGTGCTGGTCCCATTATTTGTTATGTACGCTTTACTAGCAGTTATCATCTGATTCGTTACCTGTAACGCAGAACAACTGGATCAAATTTTTCAAAGCATCGACATAACTTGACTCGAAAGGATTCACTTTCACTTGACAAGATGCAATCATTCCTTTACATTTATTTCAGACAATAACTTTTAAACCACTTCACATCGGGTAGGGTCTTGGAGTGCTTAACAGTGGCAGAGCTTGATGCTGAGCCCAGGAGAGATGGTGGATTACAGCTTAGATTCACCATTAATAACATATTATATCACTGTACTACATGTTAGTTTATACTTCTTTTACACGGCTGGAACAATTTGGCATCACAAAGGTCACATCTTTCTAGAAGACCATCCCAAGCATCTTCCCATTACAGAACTAAGTCTTTTGTTAAATGTATCCAAACACCTGGCTTCTATCACCCTTCCTGGTAACCTATAAAAATCCAAGTTAATTCTTCTTAACCTACTTTAGCCACTGATTTGCATTTGTCTAGAGAAATATTTTCTGGTGTATGTCCTAAATTGCCCTTCACAATTTATGTGCCCTTGATATATGTGAAAGGATTGCTTCAGGTCTCTCTATCCAATAGGTCTCAATTGTAGCAAAAGAGAGAATAGTGGGAAATACTATATAGGAAATATTTCCTCAGATTGCCAGAGACTGAGGAAAGCACTGCACTTGCACAGAGCTGACAAACCAATACTGAATGTCGATTCATTGTTTTGCATTAAAGAGTCATTAAGTGCAACCACTTCTTCAATAACAGGGAAAAGACAAGAGCTTATAAGCTACAGATTTTATTCTAAAAATTTTTGCAATTAACTGCAGCAAAACTGCCAATGGGCAAAGCTTCCATTCCGAGAGCACCTCCTTGAAACTATTTCCAAATACACTTTAACATTGATTTGGTCTGGAAACTGCATGGAATCGATTCTGAGAATGTAGCATTATTTCTCCTACATTCTTCCCCTAATACTACTGAAGAAAGACAGAGCAATTAACTTCAAATAGGTATAAATAACATGTAAGATGAATCAGCCCCTTACCTTCACAAATAAGGAGGTAATCTTCTCAGACGTATTGTAGTAACGGGAAATGCTGTGAATCATTCGAATTGCATTGATTAACCCTGGGATGGCTTCCACCATCGAAACCTGCATTGCACAATAATATAAAAGTCCATTTAAATGTTCTTTATATCACTTGTTTGATGTGATATAATAAAGTTTACAAATCATAACATAATGCATAAATTAAAGGACTAACACAAAGCTAAATATACTCATAAGAACCTAGCCTTTCATATCAGTAAATGGTTATTGATGGTGAGATAGAAAGGCAGGTTAGATGAGTACTTAGCTACCATATCAAAGCTCATTAATCAGCTGCAATTCAAGTTCAGGACTGATAAAAATAACAACAAATATATTGAAAGCAGCCTGTGATTTTAAGCAGTTTGGTTGTATTGTTAAAGCGTATGCATTTAAAATAGGATTGCATTCACTGGAGCACAGAATAAGAGGGGAACAAAGTCTTTAAAATTCATACAATATTGAATTATACCGCACAGAAGGAGGCCATTCGGCCCATCGTGTCTGTGCCGGCTCTTTGAAAAGAGCTATCCAAATCAATCCCACTCCCCCACTCTCTCCCCATAGCCTCGCAAACTTGTCCTCCCCAAATAATCATCTACTTCTCTCTTAAAAGTTGTTATTGAATCGGCTTCCACCATTTTCAGGCAATGCATTCCAGATCCGAACAACTCGCTATGTAAAAAAATTCTCCTCACCTCCCCACTGTTTATTTTAAATCGGTGTCCTCGGGTTACCAACCCACCCACCAGTGGAAATAGTTTCTCCTTATTCAGCCTATCGAATCCCCTCATAATTTTGAAAACTTCTATTAAGTCTCCTTAACCTTCTCTGCTCCAAGGAGAATAATCCAAGCTTCTCCAGCCTCTCCTGGTACCATCCTAGTAAATCTTTTTGCGCCCTCTCCAATGCCTTGACATCCTTCCTAAAGTGTGGTACCCAGAACTGAAAGCACTACTCAAGCTGAGGCCTATAAAGGTTCATCATAACTTCCTGCCTTTTGTATTCTATGCCCCTATTTATAAAGCCTAGTTTCCCATATGCTTTTTTAACAGCTTTATCTACCTGTCCTGCTACTTCAAAGATTTACTAATGTGAACGCCCAGGTCTCTCTGTTCCTTCACCCCCTTTAAGATTATACCATCAGCTTATATTTGTGTCTCCTCACTCTTGCTCCCAAAATGCATCACTTTGCATTTCTCCACATTAAACTTCATCTGCCGCGTGTCTGCCCATTTTACCAGTCTGTTTATGTCTCTTTGCAGTCTGCTACTATCCTCCTCACTATTTACTACTTTTCCTAGCTTAGTATCATCTGCAAATTTGGAAATTATACTCACTATACCCAAGTCCAGGTCATTTATATAATGATATAATATACCTGGATTATATATATTTATATAATTATGAAGGGTTTGAGACCTTAAACAGGGAAAGATAATTCCTGTTGGTTGTGAATTACAAGAAGGACAAAGAGGGAGGAAGTTTAAATATGTTTATACAAAGTATTAGGACATGCAGCTACTGAAAGCAAGTTAATTCTGTCATTTGATTGAAAATTTTAAGCATATCTATTATGGCACCAACTTATTTTGAACTTTAACATGTACAAGTGTTAATACAAGTTTAAAAATTAAAGCTACGTAGGATGGCAAGAAGTTGCACAAATGTAGTTTCTTTCAACCCTTTACATTCCCATTAACCAAAAAGAACTTGCAAAATTTTTCCTTCATACTTCAAATGTTTCAAAGGAAAATTTAAGATATAAAACGGAAATTGTGAACGAGCATAGAAACAGAATTCAGACTAGAAGCTCTTGTGTGGAGCTAACATTGCACAGCCTTCAGCTGAATGTGCTAACATTGAATTGAAAAGCCTTCAGTATAATGTGCTGAAATCTTTGATTCCATAATCACTGAAGAGTCAAACAAGCACATCAGTCACTGTGAACTAGATTGGTTCAAAACTCGCTGCCATGTGACAATAACAGCTTTCATTCATATAGCGCCCTTCATTCAAGATGGGTAGCAGGTTTGGATGCCAAGAAAGGCCAGGAGACCATAGTCGGGGTCAAAGACGTAGATCTGCAGGTAGGTTTCAAAGAGAGGGAGCTCCAGAGATTAGGGGCAGAGTGCTAAAGGCACAGCCACTGACAGTGGCGCGAAGGGTCAGGGATCATGCAGTAGGCATGTGGTAGCTGAGCAAAGAGGGTGGACAAAGGAGTGGGGTACAAGCAACTTGAAGCATCAAACAAATATTTCTTCTCAGCAATTATAAACCTGATATCAACTGCCCCACAATTCCACCCTGTCTTTGTCTGAAAGACCTTTCTGACTTAAAATTCAAGATCGTACAGAATTTTGGGGGGAATTTAATTCAGTCTCGTTTGGAAGCCAGTTTGTCATAGTTCGGTAAATAAAAAGCTTCCCAGTTAAGAATTTTCACAAATCTAGGCAATCTTACATTTTAAGGGAAAATCATTTGATAGGCTTAGGATTTGGTAGAATTGCCCCACAAGCCTGGCACCCAGCCTGACAGTCAATCAACAACAGATCCGCTACCCAGATAGTTCACCCTATGATGAAGATCAGCTATAATTTTATGGGAAATGGAGAGATATATAAAGAGTTTTAAAAAACTCTCTCTATTATAAACAGGGGTACCAGACAAGCAGATTCTAGCTACTTACCGGATCACTGTTGTACAGGGGATCACAGAATTTCTCTAATGCGTATAGATACTTTACATTGTCTTTAGCCTCATTGGCTGCCTCAGTAATGCGGATATCCAGCTCTCGCCAAGTCTACAATCAAAGCAAACAATAAAGAAGCAAGTAAATCAAATAGGAAACAATATTCGTGCTACAGTAAATTCTGCAATAATAATAATAAACCTTCCATTTGATATAACAACTCGCATGTCAGGAAGATATCTCCAAGCATTCCCCCGCATGGCCCGCCCCACCATCGACGGTCGGGCCTTCAGCCTCTCCGCCCTCACCCTTTGGAACTCCATTCCAGATTCCTTCACCTTTCTCCCTTCCTTGCCTCCTCCAAGGCACATCTCAAGACCCTCTATCAAAGTCTATAGAAACATTTTCAGGTGAAGGATTATTAGACTATGGAAGGTTTGCCATAAATGGCCAGTGGAAACTAATTGAAATAATCCTTGCATTTGATATAGCACCATGACATCATAGAAACATCTCAAAGTGCTTCACAGCGTTTACTGTAAAGTAAACTGTATATTTTTGTAGCCGTACACAGCAACCAATTTGTACATAGTGATATGTAAACAGTCATGAAGTGAAGTGAATGACCAATTTTATCATTCACTCTACTGAAATATATCTTGGCCAGTTCACTCAGTCCATTCTCTTTTCAAATAATGCCATGGGATTTTTAACAATTTCCTGAATAGGCAGATGGGAGCTCAGTTTAATTTCTCATCTGAAGGATGGCTCCTTTGTAAATACAGTGCTCCTCCAGCACTTTACTGGAGTGTCAACCTAGACTTTGAGCTCAAAGTACTGATGTTGGGCTTGAACCCACAACCTTCCAACTCAGAGGCAACACTGCTGTCAACTGAGTCAGGTCGACACTTTGTAGCAATGAGAGAGTGGAAATCTTAATTTCATCAGCCTGGATTAGACACGGCACTCCGAGATGTTATTGTGCGTGAAGGGTCCGATATAAATGCAAGTTGTTGTTGCAGATTCTCTCAGGTCCCAGGAGTGAAAGGATAGCATTTCAATTCACAATGTAAACAAATCTTTGATTTGTGGTATTGTTTATTGAGCAAGTTCAATACTAAGAAATATACCTTAAGAAGTTTGGATTTTGCAGCTGTAAGCACACCGAGCACCGCCTTCACATCCTGTGCCTTTAGTTGATCTAGCAGATAATTGAACCTTGACATCCGTTTCTTCCAGTGATCCAACTCCGCGCGGGGACCAAGATCATCGGCTTCCTTGCGTAACTGGTCGCTTTCGGCAAGAACCTAGCATTACAAGGCAATTCTGAAGAGAACGCTAAAAAATATTCTTCAATATTCTTAATATTAAACTGGTTGAGCATTTTAAAGATTGCAGGAAAGTGACGGCTATTTTAAAAATACTGGGGTGAAAATTGCAACGATTCTTGACAGCTATTTATCACATTGAATCTGTCAAGAAACATCAGAATTTCTTTTTAACTGAAAACTGTCTCTAGGGGTACACTTCTGGGGATTTATTTTTTGAACATCTACAGAGTACTGAGACTTTGATTCAATGCATTCACTCTACTGAGTTCCAATCTCCATTGTGCTCTGCAGGAAAGAATAGACAGGAGACACCACTAGTAAAGAGAAATTAAAATTGAATGAAGATTTTTCCATGCACCACAAGCATTACACTCTTCTGGCAGCTAGTTAACAGACTAGCAGCAGTAATCTGGTAACAACATATACAATACAAAATTACATTTGTAAAGCGCCTTTTACATTGGGATGACATCCCAAGGTGCCGAACAGTCAGGGATTAGGACCTGAGCGGGGGGTGGGGATTAGGTAGAACAGAGAGGAGGATGGCTGAAGTCACGGTCGAAGATGAGGGTCTTGAGACATGCCTTGAAGGAGGCAAGGGAAGGAGCGAGGCGAAGGGAATGTGGGATGGAGTTCCAGAGGGATGGGGAGCCAGTGGAGCTGGGTGAGGATGGGTATGATGGGATTACTGTTGCTGTATTTTGTCCCCTCCCCCAGCCTAGCCTCTCACACGGTTCTAACACTGACTAATAGGAAAACTCCAGCTTCCCCTCAGCAGAGGTGCACTGCTGTGTGGTGCGATATGTAGAATTGTAAAGTTCCGACATACACTGGAATTTCTCCTAATGTCTAGTACTCTTTGAGTGTCTCTTCATTGTTATTGCACATCTCGAAATTTCACAATAAGCAGTTGGAAAAAAGTAAGCTCAAGATCTCAGTCCATAAATTACATTCAGCCTGTGGTACTTTAGAAATGGATAATTACCTACTTTGGTAAAAAAATCTCTATGTCCTCCATATTTAAATAATCGCCTTAATTTGTCTCTTTTTTTTGGATACAAGGCATATCTGACACATCACCACGCTTATCCACACATGTATCCCTACCTGCTCGATCTGTCTGTTCCACACTTTCATGCACGCTTCAATCTTCTCCAAGGCCTCAGTGCTATTAGCTATTGACATGTAATCTGGAGGGCCTTTCAGGATCTTCAAGTCATAAGTCTCACATGGTTTCAAGGTTACCTACAATTTAACAAAATATCAACTTGTTCAATGACATACAAAAAAAAAACAGCAAATAATAAGAAATGACTTGGTTGAAATTTACAAATTAATTCAAAAGTCGCAAACAGGATCAATGTCTTTTTTGATTTGATTTTAGCTAAACCTACTGACAATATCTGTTGCAATCTGAAAAAAAAGATACAAGCTGCTTCAGTATCATTGGTATTGGGAAGATGTACTCAGCATCTTAAAGTCATTTTGATTCATTCATTCATTTGTGGTTTCAAGTCCACAATGGCACTTGAACTCAGTATGAACACTCTCTAGCAGTTCTGGCTGAGTAGAGGCATCATCTTTTGGAGGAGATATTAACTGAGGTCTTAGACTGTCTGTCAGAAGTGTATGGCTTGGGGAGTAGAGGTAGGAAAATTTAAAGGTTTTTGTCCAACAATCACACAGATTGCTGTCTTCCAAAATGTTCTCTCCAGACTCTCTGAACACAATAAAAATTATGATGCATTGATTTGGTTGGTGTGAATACTGAAAGTTTTTTTACAGCTAGAGATTAAAATGTATATGATCTAAAACAAATCTTGAGTTTGTTAAACATTGTTAAAAATATTCACAATTTTGGTTTAATTCAGATTATGCTTTACTAACCTGCTGCAATATTCTATATTTTCATATGTACACCAACATTTCTATGCAATCAGACATCAAGTCCTGGATGAGAGCTAGCTTTCTACAGTTGAACGTCAACATGACCGAGGCTCTCCTGATTGGCTCCCGTCAGCGCCTCCACATCTCAAGCACTGACAGGATCACTATCCAAGGATGCACACATGTATTACAGGATTTGTAATCCAAGCGCCTTTCATATCGGGAGGACGTCCCAAGGCGCCCGACAATCAGTTTCGGACCCAAGCTGGGTTTGGGATTGGGGAGGGTGGAGGGCAGGAGGGGGAGGAGCATGGTCGAAGGCACAGTCGAAGAGGAGGGTCTTAAGACGAGTTTTGAAGGAGGCAAGGGAAGGGGTGAGTTGGAGAGACTGCGAGATGGAGTTCCAGAGGGTGGGTCAGAGTGGCAGAAGGCCCGTATTGCCTACACACCATTAGGCGATACTTCAAACTGATGCAGTCACTTACTTTTTCCATCAAACTTTCTTGAGCACCAGCCAGAATGCTGACAAAGCCATCCAATGAGCTCAGAAAGTCTTGGCGTACGGTGCTGGTCTGAGCACTGTTCAGCTCACCCCAACCATGGTTCATTCTCTTTAAAGCAGGTACAAATACTTCTGAGAGAAGATGTTCCACAGCTTTCAGCAGCCCAACATCAGAAGTGTCAAGAATATTGAAATTTATATCCTATGAAAAAATAGAGGAATTTAGCTGGTATCTTTATTTACTATATTCCTTTAAACTACAAAGCATTGCCATCACGTACATTATCTCACATACATCCATGAAATTCAGGTGTTGCAAAAAATGTTATAAGATGATAAATGGATGTGAAAAGTCAATAACTAAAGAACATTTGCACATTGAAAACCTACTGAAAGGTAAATATTTGTGATCTCCTCTGTAAGATTGCAGGTTCAAGTTCTGGTCTGGGCTCATTTAGGGCAGCCACTGAAACAGTGACCTCAGAGACTGACCACTATCCAGTGACCCCTATTGGAAGGTGTGTGTAAGTGAGACGAGGATTAATCATGGCTGTGATTTCTCCTTTGCATTACAGGAGCAGCCAAACTGTGTGCCAACAATCACTTTTAAAGCTAATTAACATGTGAAAAGAGCCCTTTTGAGCAAAGTATTGTAAAACAATGGAACTGTACCCTGGTGAAGTCTAGATGGGGAAAAGGCAGCAAACACATACAGGACAGCATTAGAGGAGAGAAAATAGTGAAGGGAATAATTTGAGTATTTCATTCAAAGACTGGAAAACTAAATAGTATAACATAAACAGAACTTAAAAATTGGATGCCAGTTTTCTAATGTCATTAATGAACCACTACTACAATGGAGCACTTTAAAACAGTTTTAAAAAAGTCCCTGAAAGTTCGTGGCCATCCTTTGGACCATTCATTAGACCATCCATTTGACCATCCAAGGACTTTCAAGGGGTCCTGAGGAGTGGAAACTAATCTGATTGACACATGTGGTGTTTATAACACAGGGCAGCAAACCAAACTGCTCTGAAAACCATTCCCTCCAGGGGATCAGGAGAAGTGCTCAGGCTCAATTCAATTACCTTATGAACATTCTCTACAGTGATTGCTTTGGAGGTACTGGCTCTCAGGAAAAAGACGCACACACCAGTAAGTGGGACATCCTTCCCCTCAGTCACAAATATCTTTGGTTTCTTTGTTCGTCCTGTGTTAGGATTCGTCCCTGCTCCCAGGAGGCCTAAGTGCACTAAAGAAACACAGTAAAACAACTATCAATTTACCCATAATATTCACCAACTGTGGATCACTTCCAATGTTTGCACTCAGCTTTGACATAAAAAGGTGTAATGTAGTGGAAAAATGTAGCATGTGATATACTGTACACCACATGAGCTAGTATTCCTCAAACTGAGACTGAAATGCTCGGATTCACTTAGCATCACGTTCAAAACCATTGCTGGCCAACTCAGCAACTGCAGCCAGTGGTTTGGATGCAAATCTTTTGAACAAATTCCTAGGATGGTAGTGGGGGGAGGGGGGCAAGGAGATGTGCACCCACAGCAGTCATCTTCTGAGACATCTCCGAGAACAGAATGTCCCACAACATGATGATTATCACTTCACAACCTGCAATTTCCCTTCCAATATTAATGAATGAAACACATCAGATTTTCAATTTCTTTCAAATTCTTCATAATCTCACCAATAGGATCACTATTGAGTTTTTGTCTTCACTCCCTGCTGAGCTGGTCAACCGTGAGATCAATTAGCATGGGGGTGTCAATAGTCATTGTTAGGTTTTTAATAGGTGATTGCGACACTGCTTTCAATGGCCCAGCAAACACCATTAACCACTTTGATCAAGCATCTTCACAGATGAAACACCTGCTTGATCAAAGAAAGATCAGAGAAACAACCATTGACATCTCCCAACTAAAACTGCAGTGAATGGCTCCGGGCCCATTGGTGTTGATTGCTTTAGCCCATTTTCCTCTCTCCATAGATGCTTCCTGACCTGCTGGGAGTTCTCAGCGACTTCTGTGTTTATTTCAGATTTCCAGCATCTGCAGTATTTTGCCTAATGTCCTGTCTTTGTTGTGTCAAGAGTGTTTTCACACTTCTTAGTATGGGGGCGAGGCGGAGTCATGGAGAGGAGAGAGCTCTGTAAAGATAGGAGCATGAGCAGACGTAGAAAGAAGAAGGGAGACTGGAAGAAGTCTGCTCTAGGAATTGGGAGAGACTCGGACCTTTCGAAGCACAGCAGTGGGCACTGAGTCGAAATACCACTTCTAAATGTAATGGTCATTCTCTTTCTTTCAAGCACTTGTATCAACGATGTACAGTAAAATCTACCATCTCTGTGAATATCTGTGGACTCTGTTAATTAAAATTCATTAGAAAACCAGCCAACCGATTCAGTCTTCATAATTACAACAGCCTTCGAATTAGACTGGAACTGTGACTTCTCTATGAGAAAGTATTCTATTCTGTCAGGTTAATATCGGCCACACAGGTACCAGAGCTGAGCAACAGTGGGTGGAATTCGTCCACGCTCAGGGAATTGAGTTTGTGACAATCTCATTTAAAATCTTGTATACCTCTCTCAGATTCCCACTGAGCTATCCATCTCCTTTCAAGACCTGAAGATCCTAGCATGTCAAATCATTGCTTATAGCTCATTCCTCCAACAGTGAGGATGATCCTTGCTGTTCTCCTCTGCAATGTCAATTTGACCTTGCTATCTTGTTCTTTCCTGAGCTAAATGCTGGCAACAACTCTGTTCTCTACTGGCACTGGCTCACCAATGTAAACAAGCTTTGGATAGGACTTAACCCTGACTAGACAAAACCTGTGGGATGAGGCTTGCTGGCATGCAATTTCACACAAGAATTTAATAGCAGTTTCCCTCAATCAGCTCAAAACCCAGATTCCCAGAAGCCAATGATGAGTGCCCTGACTCAGTCCCATTCAGATAGCAGCTCATTTCCACTTTCACTCATTGAGACATTCATTTCCAGTGTAAATATACCACAATGTGCAGGTACTGCCAAATATTTGTGAAGAAAACAAAAATCAGTAACATCTAAACAGTATATCTACTCTATTCACTACCTTCAATCCTTGTTATGATATAATTTTGCCAGTGTCAGCAAGATGTTCAATTCCCTAGAAATGGATTAAATTAACTTTTGAAATAACATAAATTACTGACCAGTTTAATGTCACTTAACAGAGATAAAATGGCATATCTGTACTCCAAAATCATGAAAAGAGGAACTATGCTGCGATACACACAAGCCATTGAGTATACAGAATTGTATTACAGAGCTGCTTTCACTTATACAAAGACCATAACAGGTCATCATTCACATGAGAAAGCACCTCAATAATGCACTAATGCAACGTCCTGTTGGTTATTTATCATCTTGGGAAAGATCTTTCAGCAGCTCACTTGAACGCCTAAATACAATAATATTTTGTCATGTCAACGGTGATCCGTCTCTCACCTCTGGCATCCAATCTCTCTCTATCTTCCTCACTCTCTACCCACACATCCACTTCCCCCAATTAGTTTCACTTTTTTTAATGATACTGTGATGATTGATGTTCCTTTCAGCTTTCCTCTGTAACCCCTCCTAAACTCTCAATTATGGCAACCTTCCAGCTTTTTTCCTCCCTGCACTTCCACTGAGTTTAAATCTGGTGTCAAAAATTGGTATGAGAAACGTGAAAGACGCTATACAAATATAATTTGTTGCTGTTGTTTAACAAGGTTGCTGGAGATTTCAATGGCGGTCTATTGTAAAATACTTTGAAGCGTCCCTCATAATATATTTTCTTAGAATGACATAAAAACAGTAAAAGTTCAGTGTTTTCAAAGGATACATAATCTAATAAGATTAATACAAAAACAACAACTTGCATTTATATAGTGCCTCTCGCACAGGGAAATGTCCCAGAGTGCTTAACAATGGCGGAGCACGACCGCAAGCCGGGGGGAGGGGGGAGATGACTATAGGCATGGTGGAAGAGGAAGATCTTCAGGCACGACCTCAAGATGGGGAAGGAAGGGTCAAGGCGGAGGGATAGAGGAAGAGTGTTCCAGAGTTTTGGAGCATAGTGGTTGAATGCGCGACTGCCATCAGTGGAACGGAGGGCACGAGGGGCATGCAGGAAACTGGAACCAGTCGAGTGGAGGCAGCAGGTTGTGGGTTGCAGGTAAGTAGGTCGGAGAGAGAGGGAGATGCCAGCGCATGAAGGGATTTGAAAACTAATGTGAGGATCTTGAAATCGATCCACTAATAAGATTAATAAGAATTAAAATTCAATAAGAGCATTTCATTATGATTGTTCATGATAAGAGAAGGCTCATTTGATTCACTATTGTATTTTCAAAATTGTTGAGAAAATCCGCAATGCTAGGCAACATCTTAGAAACTGTCCTACTAGATTCCCTTGGCAGATTGCCAATGAATGAAGAGTCGAAAAAGAAACTTAAGCAATAATATAAAAGTTGTCTTAATATAATAGCTCCATGTATTCTGTTACCCGTCTCAGTTTGTTCCACTTCTTGGTAATAAAACATGAGATGAGGAAGTCCTCCAGCAGCAAAAAATGCATCAATTCGTTCAATCTAGAAACAAAAAGAAGCCACATCAGAACAGAATGTCTTGTACTCAGACTATTCTTCAAATATATAACCTCTGGGGCATTGAGCCATAAAAAAAAGGACAATCCCTGATCTGTTTTAGTTTTGATTTTGTCAACCTGTGGAGCAGCTGACGTGCTACAATTGGCTTCCACAGGGAAGAACGAAATAAAATCAGCTAAGGTTCTTACTCCAGAGAGGCTGAATGTTCTTAGCCTTAAGACCGTTACCAGAAAATTTAAGATTGTGGAAAAATTTCACAAAATTCTTAAATTCAGTCTGAATTTGGAAGCCATTTTTCTGCAGTCCACTTTAAAAGGTATGTTCACTAAAATAAAGGACAATGATTGTGAAATCTTAAATAA